TTCTGCGTGGATATTGGCTACCTCCTTTTTTGTTTGCTATTTCAGCATAGCTGAATGCCTATTTTGTCTTTTCTTAGAGGGAAGCTCTGCTGCCAGATTATTTTCCCAGATGCAACTAACTACTAATTCCTTTCTTACTGTTCTTGAAGGCTTGGTGTTTGCCTATATTAGCTAAGTGTTTGGGAGTGTGGGGAAAGGTTCCCTGCCTGTAAAGCTTTCAGTTGGCCGATAAAGGATTATAGAAAGGCTCCATCCTCCTTGTCTTGCTTCAGACAGGATATGACACACCTCCTGCTAGTTATTTATCGTTGTGGTTTTCTAGTCTTTTCTTATGGAGCTTCTGTTTTGCTCTTCTCACCAAGAGCACATGCTACATAAAGTGAATTAGAAATTAAGAGTAGAACTATCAAATGTTAGGGGATCAGTAAAATAGTTATTATAGTCAATTTCTGTTATTGGTGCTAATGAAGTAGAATAATGATGTAGATATAGATATAGGTGGTGGTTGTCATCTCAAGGGAGTATTCAGTTGAACAAGAGGCTGCTTCCAGAATAAAATTTGCTACTACTGATGAGACTGGTAGTATTGATAACTTTATAAAGAAGTTTATGGTTTCCAAAGTGTTTTAACATGTAGTAAAAAGATATGTGCTAAATGGGAGCTAAATCTAGGGGTTCTTTTTATTTTAAGTTTTTAATTATTTCAAATTTTAGAGAATTTCAAGTACTCAGAAAAGTATATAACAGCTCTTATTGTGTAGTCACCTTGCAAATTAAACAGATGCTAATATTTTGTTATATTTGCTTCAGATTTTCTCTTTCTCTTTAAAGAAATAAAACATTTCAGATACAGTCAACATTCTTGCTCCCTTTGCCCCATAGATAAATACTGTCTGGAAGCTGATGTGTATCATTCCAGTATACATATGCTTCTGTACCTTTACAACAGGAGGTATTCCTAAACAAGATGGGCTGTTGTGTGTATATGTTTCTATTTGACACAAATGGTATCTTCTATATATCCTGCTTTGTTTTTTTACTAACCTTGTTTTTGAGGTTTATCTGTGTTGATAAAAGAGGACCTGATTTGTTCATCCTGACTAACTTACATAGACTATAATATGAGTGGAGCCCCCTGCAGCTGTGCAACACAGCTATTATTTGCAGCCTATTATTTAACTGTATGAAAAAGGCATTTGTTTCTGCAGTGACCATCTGTGTACATGTGTCCTTATGCAGATAGGAAAGAGAGTTTTTTGCATAGATACCTGGACTGGAATTGCTGGGGTGTACACTTTCCTTTATTTTGCCAGATTGCTTTCAGAAGCAATGTATGACTTCAGTGTTGTGTTGGATAACACCTACTACAGTTTGACATGTTTATTTGTTGTTTGGATCACTATACTAGGATGCAAGCTTAACAATGGCAGGGATTTTGTCTGGGATTTTGTCTCTTTTGTTCTCTTCTTTGCCTGGCTTAGAACAGGCACTCAATAACTATTTAAGTGAATGGATATTTTGTGAATTTGATCTTCTCAAAGCTGTAGGGTAGGTAGACTGGATAAATAGACTGTGATGTCTGTTTTCCTGTGCCCATTATTCAGATGAACAAACTGAAACACAGAGACCAACTGACTTTTTGGGTTACACATTCAGATACTAATAATAGGATTTCTTGTCCCTTAGTTTTATCCAAACCTGTTTTGAGGTACATGTTAGGATTTATAGTTTTTCTAAAAAATAAGTTCTTGAGAGTCAGAATCTGACAAAATTAGCTTTCCAACTCTCAAGTATTTCGTAAATATTAATGTATTTCTAGCACTCTGAAATAAAAAAAAATCGGAGTTCAGGCAGAGGGTGATCTTAGCTGGGTAGACTTGAGGTTTACACTTTTGTGCACTTTATGGCACTTAGTGCTTGGCATTTAGATGAGGCACCATTTGTGTTTGTGGAATGAATGAATGAGCTCTGTCACTCTGGAGTCTTTCACTCTGGCTGTCTCTATGGGAGACATATGGCAGTAAACAGTTAGCTGGAAAGAGCGGAAGGAGAAGACATGAAGAATACATGGGCCCTAGAAGTCTGCTTTCCCAGAAGCAGTGGGCCATGTTAAGAGCTCGGGCTAGATGAGAAAATGGTCCAAGGGAAAGTCCTGGTGATCAGCGTTAACTGGCTTAGTAAAATAGTGGAAGCAGAGCCTCTATGAAGAAAAACAAGCACCCAAGGTTGGACCTTGAAACATATCTACCTAGAGCCTAGTCAGGAAAAAGAGTATATTAAGACCCTGGTAGTGGTGGTGGTGGTGGTGGTGGTGGTGGTGGTGGTGGTGGTGGTGGAGGTGAAGTGTCTCATACATTTTAGCTCCAGTAATGGAAGAAAAGGGATTTACTGTAGACCAGGCACTGAGGCCAGCACTTTATAGACGTTATCTCTTTAACCCTCTCTACAACCCCATTAAGTAGATGGTAGGATCCACATTTACAGGTAAGGAAACTGAAAGACCTAGCAAGTTACTTAGTTACCAAGTTAACAGAGCTGGGAATTTGAGCTTAGGTCTACCTTGCTGAAATCCCTCTGCTCCTTTCCTAGACCAGTGTTCCTCTGGAATGGAGAAGGAAATGAAGGCCTCATTTGTTCGACATATGCAGAAGTTTAAAAAACAAAAGGCTCGGGGCTGGCCCCGTGGCCGAGTGGTTAAGTTCGCGCGCTCCGCTGCAGGCGGCCCAGTGTTTCGTTGGTTCGAATCCTGGGCGCGGACATGGCACTGCTCATCAAACCACGCTGAGGCAGCATCCCACATGCCACAACTAGAAGGACCCACAATGAAGAATATACAACTATGTACCAGGGGGCTTTGGGGAGAAAAAGGAAAAAATAAAATCTTTAAAAAAAACCAAAAAAACAAAAGGCTCCTAGAAATAAATATTAAATTCTGTCGGGCTTCTCTGTCAGAGAAATGCTACAGCAGCAGCAGTCATATTAAGCAGCTGTCTCTCTTGCTCCTGAGTTGATCAGTTCCAGGAATTTGGTTTGCCTGTATTTCATGGATAAAATGCAAGCATGGGCCTTGGGCTGTGTGTCTGAAAAGTTCCATAGTGCCCCTTCTCTTCATTGGAGGAGAGAAGGCCTGGTGTCTGCCTAGAGAATTATACTGTAATGTCAGATTTTTTGCTGATTAAATGGTTTCCTGTAGTCTGATTGAGTTTCTCTCCCACGCTAATCTCCTTGTCTTGTTTCTTGCTGTAGTTTGTGATGGCCATAAGATGGGGCTGCAGCCTTGCAGTCAGCCTTAGGGAAAGGCTGAGGGGAGGTGGGGCATCAGTAGGTCTCAGAAGCGATTGTGTGGGAGCTGTTGCTTTAGGACTTCTTATTGCTTTTCTTTTGTGAGGGGCATTTTTTAGCTTTCCAGGAAAGGTGGGTAGGGCTGTGCTGATACAAGTCTTTAGGGCTGACGTAGAGTCAGGCAGGCTGTTTCTCTCTGCCGTGTGGTCTGCATTCTTTTGGTGTAGAATAAACAGCTGCAATAGGGACGAAACACACGTAACCTCTTTCCTTCCACTCAGTTCAGAGCTCTTTGGGTTGTGGTGTTATCTCATTTGTCAGACACTATATTGAAAAATCAGGGTGGGTCAATCCCATTGACATACCAGGGTGATTTTTGAATCCAACTTTTTAGACTTGTACTTCAGACTTCCTGCCCTACTGCAATGTAAGTAGAAACCATCTGGGCCTCATTTTAGCAACTTCCTCTCTTACTCCCAAATAGCAGGTGTTATCTCTTTGTTTGAATCTAGTTGCCAGTTCAGAAGAGTGGGGCATCCTCCTGTTTCACTTGAATACAGACTTCCATCCCTGCCACAGTGAGAACGTAGTGTAACATGGGCTTGAAATTAAAAGTCAAACAGGAGTTCGTTTTCTGGCTTTGCCACTTAGTAGCTGTATAGCTTTGAGCAAATTAATCAACTTTCTTAAACTTCACTTTCTTTACTTGTAAAATATAAAATAATAGTTTTGACCTCATATGATTACTATGAGAATTAAATGAGATAATCCGTAGCTTAGCACAACATTTGGCACATAACAAACACTAAAAAAATGTTAGCTATGAGCAGCAGCAGCAGCAGTAATTACTGTTGGGCATTTGTGTCCACTGTTGTTCAGCAGAGCTGCTGCTGCTCTGTTGTGTTTGGAAGCAGTATCCTTTTTACCCAGTGTCCATATACTATACTCAAAACTGATTTCTGGGTTTTTCTTCTATGTGTCATTGGCCAGCACAATGAACAGATCTTTCTTTCTCTCTCTCTTTTCGTTTTTCTTGGAAAAGGAGGCAAGCAAATGCTACAAGAGGCTAGATCTTTAAAGCCTGTGTTTCTTTTCTTAACTATGAGGATTAGGCTCTGTTTTCTCTTCGGGTTATAATTTGATTAAAATAATATTTTTTCTCACCTGAAAAAACTGAGAATATGTCCATCTTGCTTGATATTTTCTTTTGGATATCTTGCTGCAACAATTGAAATCTGTTTCCTTTCAGAGTCTGGGGCCATAATTGCAGGATCCCCAGCCCTGGTTCTTCCCGGCCCTTCCCTTCCTGATTAGTACCAGAGCACTAGTTTGCTTTCCCCTCTCTCTCTCTCTCCTCCTCCTTCCTTCACGTTACCTTCTCCTCTGGCCTCCCTTCTTCCTCCTTTCCCCTCCCTTTTCCCTTTACTCTTACATTCCCTCCTCACCCTCCCTAATTTCTCCTCTCCCCTGGTTTCTAGCTCCTTTTTGCTTTCTGTTTGTGTTTCTGAGGGCAGTGCTCCAATTACCTCATATTTGGAGAGAGGAAGCTGCAGCCAATCCGGTTTCTGTCTGCTTTTAGGTCAAGTGATTTCTGAACTGCAGTGAGATGCTTTGAATTTGTCTTGTTGCAGCTCTGAGCCTGTAAGATGGCTGTCTGAATCGGCAGCGGCTGGAAGAGACAGAGGCGGGGAGGGAGGGAGAAAGAATTGGAGGGATTGCTGGCATACTGCATGTTTTTAAATGTGCATCTAATCCGATGAAGCCAAGGTTGGGATTTCTCTGGGATCCCAGGACCGGCTTAGCTGCGTTTTTCTTTTAGGAGAGGAAGGCGATGGGAAATTCACTGGGCTGTGTTAAGGAGCCAAAAGATTCAATAGCTATTCCTGGGAAGGCTCCCATATCTCCTAAGAAAAGGGTTCGGTTCAAAAGGAAGTGGAGGGGGAAGAAAACCCCTACTCCTGAGCTATCTCATGAGGAAGAACCCTTGGAAGGAACTGGAGTCATTGAAGAGACCAAAACCCTAAGGAAGTTAACAGTGAGTCTTGGAAAAGAGGAAGGAGTGGGAGGGGTAGAGCATCTGCCCCCAGACATTTTACTGCCTGGCGAGGCAGCCCCCAGCTCAGGGGTGGGAGATCAGGGGATGATCGTGCAGGTGAAGGAGAGATTCCAAGGGGAGATCCAGACTGCCCACCTTTTGTTGGAGAATGAGTCATCAGTTGCCAGAGGGGTCTGGGATTCCCTGGAGGAGGGGATGACTGTCATTGCTCACCTGCTTGATAACCCAGCCGAAAGGAACTGTGAGAAGTCAGTGAGCCAACTGGTGGAATTTCCGAGGACAGCATCCTGCAGCAGCAGGGCTGTGCTGCTGCCTTTGCAGGGAGAGACTGCAGTGGAGAAAGGAGATACTCAGCTTGGATTTCAGAGCAGCACTTTCCCCAGGACAGACTACCCCACTGACGCTGGAAATCAAGACCAACTTTCAGACAGCTGGAGTGTGAGGGGAGGAACCAAGGGTATTTTAAGTGCCCCTCAGACAGGTTCCTGGATTGCAGAAGGTTCTGTTCCTTCCTCACTACTGGACCAGTCAAGAGGCCACAGGCACACACAGCCTGCCCATGTGGGTCGAGTTCCCCCCCAGGGCCCCAGACTGCCTACTTCTCAGAGTGATTTATCCATCAGTGGCATGACCGTGAGCATTTTACCCTCCTCCTCTGGCTATGGCAGCGATGGGCCACACTTACATGGGATCCAGCCTAAAGATATAGAACCTGAAAAGAGCTCCACATCCTTCTCCGAAGAGGATGGCACCTTTTCTTTGGAGGCAAGCCACACCCCATCTTGGGGTCTGGAGGAGGTAGGTGGGCATGTCCAAGAGGTAATAGAGCAGCTGTTTGGATCTCTGGCCCTCCCACTTATTAGAGTGGAGTGTGGTGAGTAGTGAGGATCATGGAGCTTCTCAAACTCACCCCTGTGTCGCTTACTGAGAGTTAGTGACTGCTGGGCTTGGCAAGCAGAATCTATTTCAGGTCTGCCCCTTGATGCTTGAAACCAAGTCTTGTTGCCTCGGGGGAATCTGTGATTCTGGGTAACCATGCAGCATAATTGCTCAAGCTGTCTGGTGGGGTCATCTCTCAAAGGGTGATGCTAGGTAGTACTTACTCTCAAGCAGGTCTGTTTATCAGCTTCCCTGCTACAAGAAGTTGTGGTGTAGTACAAAGGATGATGGGAAGCTAGCAAATCTCTAAAATGAATGTGAGAGGGGTGAGGAATATGGAAGGGGTTGAGGAGTGGGGCAGCTATCTTCAGTATGATTGCTCTTCTCCCCTAGAGAATGATGATCCTACTCCTGCTAGAGCTGATGCAATCCCACTCCTGTGGGACACTGCTAATGACAATACTCATTCAGTATTTGTATAGGTGGCAAGGGCTAGTCCTCTTTTGGTTCCTAATTCCAGTGTTAGAGGAGAGGAGCATAGACTTTTCTGGAGAATAGTTGATTGGGGGGTTAGGGCAGTTTAAAAGTTCAAGGCTTAAAAAAGTTCCTTTCCTGATTGGACTTGTTTATGGCTCTAACAGGTTTTGTTTATAAGGTATATACTGAGGCATAGGTGGTGGCGGCGGCGGCGGCAGTGGTGGTGGTGGTGGTAGGTGCTGTGAATGTTTTTAGGGTCAAGGAGCAAGTGAGAATTCAAGAGATCTGGGCAGTGAGAGGAAAGGACGATTTAACCAGACTCAGGGTGGCACAAGGTCTGGCATGTAGGTGTATGATTGTGTAGGTGACTGAAGTTGTAATTCACCAATGACTGAAGAACTTTTGTTCGCGTGTCAGCCTCTGCAGTGGAAGAAATAAAACACTTTAGGATCCCAGAGCAGAAAGAGATGGAAGAAGAAGGAGGGCATTTCCTTGCTGAGGCTGTGGGCAGCTGCCCTGAAGTCTACAGAGCAGGGATGTGGCCTCCCTACTGGTGCCCTGCTTGTCATCAACAGTGTGAGGCTGAGGAGAGACATAAATTTTAAACTGATCTGTGCTTAAAATGTCCTCTTTGGGGACAAGTTTCCCCCATGGACAGGCTCATCTCAGTGACCTTTGTTTTTATTGACTTTGGAGACTCTCAATAGTTGGAGAAAAAAGTGGTCGTTGAAAAATATTTATTATATGTCTGGGTAAGAGCCCTCCTTGGGCTTTTCCATATAAAAATGGATGTGTTTGTATGTGTGTTAAAGTAGGAAGGCAGGCAGTGAGGCTGCTGGTGTGGGGGTGGGGGGGGGCGCTGTTTATGAGTTTCATCAGATAAGAAGGAATGTCAAAGTCAGCCTTTATCTTTATATGGAATTGGCATGGAGTAATTGGGGATAAAACCAACTGCTGAACTGATTGCTCTTTTGATACCACTGGCATTAAAGTTGCAATTGTGGAGGCATCGTGATATTTTAGGATACATGCTCATAATTGAGTGAGATTTTCAGAAAGTTCGGAGTGTAAAATTTGAAGGGACTCCTAGTGGAAATCAGTCCTAGATAGTGGACCGTAGGTGACCATGGCACTGTTAGTATGGGATCCCCACACTGGGAAAGGAAGGTTCCGAATAACTCTGTGAGGAGTCTTAAAGAAAAGATTGGTGGGAGAAGCCTTTGGACCATGATCTTTAAGTTGATAGTATCGACAGTGGTGTGATTCTTTGGCTGTTCAGGATGTGAATCAAGTTGGTATGTGACGTTTTCTGGACAGCCAAGCTCTACATCCCATCCCTTCTACCCTTTCAGGGCAGACACAGCCAGACTACTCACTTTCCAGCCCAGGCTGGAAAACAAAGTGACTGAGTGTCAGGTCAGATGGCTGACATGTCTCTGAGGCCCTGTGTCCATCATGTGATATAGGGATCACAGACTGACCATCCTCTATGACAGATAAGAAGTAACTTCTCAAGATAAGTGTGGAATCCCTTCAGAATGAAAGTCCTCAAGGCCAAGGGGCCTGAAACCCTCACTGGTCTCTGAAGGAACTATCTTCAGGGAGCTGCTCCCTCACTTGCAGGCTGTTCACAAAGCCTGAGGACAGCAGCAGCCAGAGACAGAGGCAGTGTGTTCTGACACAGCAAGCCTGTAAAATGTGGGTTGAGACTGAAGGCAGGAGCCTATGACTGGAGCGTGAGTTTCCTCTGCTGAGCATGAGAGCATAGGGAGGACACAGGGTCAGGAGAGCAGCTACTGCTAGTCACACACCAGCTCCTTCCTAAGAGGCAAGAGCTGGCAGTTCAACAGTGTGGGGTTTTTTAATCTGTTTTTTGCTGCTTCTTTTGTTTTATTTTTAACATGTCAGAGTAGTAAACCTCCTCAGAACGTAATCAGAATTCCAGAGTGGTGTCTGTCCTTGGCATAACTCAGGCTGCATTGTCTCTCTTGTTGATCAGTCCAGAGCATGTTGATGGGAGTGGGACCAGGCTGTGGCTGGACACAAGCCTCACAGTGGGTTTTCAAGATAGAGAGAAATGAGAACTAATTATGATTCTTGCTGAGTGTGGGATTTAGATAATAGAAGATAAGTGGCCCGCTTTCCTATTCACCTGGTGTTGTTGATACTTCCCTTGTGGGAAATAGTTAACACAGAAGCAGGATGACAGGAGCCAGCTGACAAAAATGGTTTTCAGAATGGTAAGTAGACAAGCACTAGGAGCTGGATGGGAGTGGGTTAACAGCAATTGTACTTTGATGTCAGACAAAGGCCTTCTCTAGCCCATTCCTTCTCTCAGGAGGACTCCTTACTCCCAGCTGCTATCAATATCCACGATACCTGGCTTATTGGAACAAGGAAAATTGCTGAAAATCCCTTCCTCCTCCCTATCTTGGCTCCCACTGCCAGTCTCCTGCCCACACTGTTAGTGGATCTGTTGAGTGAAGAATTTGGCTCTATACCAGTGTCCTTGCCACAAGCCCTCAGAGTCCCTACAATTTCGGGTGAATAGTCAGATAACATTGGGGGTAGAAATGATGAGATAGAGATTAGTTGGTATATTTTTTTCTGGACTCAGGCTTTTCAGTTTACAAGTATCCCTTTCCCATTTCTCCTCCTTAATTATAGGGAGTTGTTTTACTAATATTGGCTTTGTATTGCAAGAAGAAAGCAAAATTAACCAGATGATTCTATTGGAGGGATGTAGCAGTTAAAGTTTTACAGTTAGAGCTTTGTTTAAGAAAAGGTTTTTTTCTTTTGCAAAAAATCTTGCTTAGGGGCCGGCACCATGGTCGAGTGGTTAAGTTCGTGCGCTCTGGTGGCCAAGGGTTTCGCTGGTTTGGATCCTGGGTGCAGACATGGCACCGCTCGTCAGGCCACGTTGAGGCAGCGTTCCACATGCCACAGCTAGAATGACCCACAACTAAAATATCCAACTATGTATTGGGGGGATTTGAGGAGAAAAAGCAGGAAAAAAAAAGAGGAAGATTGGTAACAGTTGTTAGCTCAGGTGCCAATCTTTAAAAAAAAATCTTAATTAAAAATATTACTAAGGAATCATTATTTTTTAGGTGCAACAATGATGGTGTGGTTATGTTTAAAAATGTTATCTTTTAGAGATACTTACTGAAGGGTTTATGGAGGAAATGATATGTGTGGGATTTGCTTCATGACAATAGAGGAGGGGCGAAGTGGGTGGAGTGCAGATGAAACAAGAATTAGCTGTGAACTGATAACAGTTGAAACTGAGTGATGGGTATGTAGGAGTTCATTATACCATTCTGTCTCTTTTTGTATTTATTTGAAATTTCCCATTTCAAATGGAAAGTTAAGAAAAATAATGGTGAAAGTTATATAACACATATACTGAAAGAGGATCAATATCTAGAATATATGAAGTGTTGTATAGGTGAAGTGGTTAAGAGAGTAGAGCCTGATTGTCTGAGTTTGAATTCCAGCTCTGCTACTCACTAGCACTATACCTTGGGACAAGTTACTTAACTTCTCTGTGGCACAATTTCCTCGTTTGTAAATTCAGGATAAGAATAGTATATACTTTTTAGGGTCGTTGTGAGAATTATATGTGCTAACATAAGTAAGAATGTTATCGTTTAAAGAATCCCTACAAATAAACAAGAAAAAGGTAAACATCCTAGTAGCAAAATAAAGGAAAGCCCAGGAATAAGCAGTTCACAAAAAAAGAAACCCAAATGCCTCATACACACGAGTCTTTCTGCCTAGTAATCTAAGGTATAAAAATCAAAACAATAAGATACCATTTTATACCCATCAGATTGGCAGAAAATAGAAAGTCTGAAAATACCAAGTGTAGACGAGAATTTAGAGTGATGGAAAACCTCTTCAGCCCCTGTGGGTGGAAGTGTAAATTGGTACTGTTATTTGGAGAGTAGTTTATCCATGTTTAGGATAATTGAAAAATGCCCATATTCTATGACCTAGGACTTCCATTCTAGCTATATTCTATAGAGAGACCTCTACAACTCTGAATGTGAATACTGAAAGGAACACCCCTGACCATTACCTAACGCTGGTGTTGGTCATAAAAACAGCTGCCCTTAGATCCCTCTAGCCAGGCATTTGTAATGAACTACTGCATTGTACCCTCTTCTGCTTCTTGAATGAAAGTTTTCAAAGTCTGGCGCCTTCCCTTGTGGTGGGATGAGGTCACCTAGAAACTTCAGGATATGACTCAAGTACCTATTTGCTCTTACATCGTCTCATTTCCTGAGACTTACATAGACTTAGAAAGTCCAAACTTTTCATCCTGGTGTTTCAGATGCTCCATTATCTTATCTAATCTTCTCTCCGATATCAGTCCTACCTGTCTTAATGGGCAACCCCTTAACCGTCTACTATTCCTGTTTCAACTTATGTCAGCTTCCAGTCTTTGTTTGCATCCACTTTCTACCTGGAATTCTTCTTTCTCTTTGTCTATTCTATAATGTCCTTCAAGGATGCATTTAAATAATACTTCTTGAAGAAATAGTTTTTATCACTCCAGCCCATACTAACTTTACATTCTGCTAAGATCCTCTATTGGATATTACTATTTACTGTATTACCGTTGCTCTTTTTGGGCCTTTAATTATGTGGAACTCTTTTATGTGACCTGCCACATATGACTAAATATAAGGTAAGATTTTTTTTTTCCCTCCAGATCTTAGCCTTCAGAAGAGAGAGATTCTCTTTGTATTTGACTTTTTATAAAATGTTTCTTGTTATTGGGCTCTCAGTGAAATTATAATCAGTTTGTGAAAAAGGATGAATGAATTTGTGTCATCGTCTGCTAATTCAGTCAACAGCAATTTTTGTAGAGGTCAACTGACATAATTGGTTAAACAAAAAGGAGAGACCAAAAATGTAAGAAAGTTTTAGTTATTGTTCTTGGGAATATAACTTACTAGTTTGAAGTGTTGAAAGTAACTATTTAAAAAATTTTTTAATTAAAAATTAAAATGGGGCCAGCTCCATGGCCGAGTGGTTAAGTTTGCATGCTCCGCTGCAGCGGCCCAGGGTTCGGATCCTGGGCGCAGACATGGCACCGCTCGTCAGCCCACGTTGAAGCTGCGTCCCACATTACACAACTGGAAGGATCTACAACTAGGATATACAACTATGTATGGGGGGCCAGGGCTGGGGGGGAGTTGGGTAGATAAAGCAGAAAAAAAAATTAAAATAATCACATTAAAAATTTTTTTTAAAATCACTCATATCACTTATAAAACACACGCAGCAAGTGGTCGCATTATGGAGATCATACATAAATACTAATAGAATAAAAGGAAAAAACCTAATCCACTGTTAATGGAACTGGATTCTTGTGTCTGGGCATGAAATTTCCACTGAGAGCATAGATTCAGAAAAGTGCTATTATATCTCAAAAATCTTCAGAAGGAATGTACATGACATGTTCTAGACAATTCACTCAAAACATAGCTTTATTTTTTTTAAAAAACAGCTTATTGCTGAAAAAGACAATGTCAAAGATGCATGTGAAGAGTTTGAATTACAGTATAGGTAGAAGAAGCATTAATACTAAATTAATGCATTAGTATTAATTTTAAATATATATATGTGTATAAATAAACATAAAAATTTGTATGTTCAAGAGGACCACAAAGCTTTCCTTTCCTCCATTTTTCTCTTCCATTCACCTGTTGTCATTTGGGAAAATTTGGGACTGCCTTTATTTGGGGTAGCCTTATTTTAGCCAGGTATGGCATGTCTCCACTAAGTTGTTTCATGGCAAGCATGTCTCCTTTTCTGTGTCCTCTTTTTCACCTGGCTAACTTCTACTTATATTTTGAAACTTAGCCTAGATGCTGTCATCTCGAAGTCTCTTGGCATTGTCAATTTGGGTTACTTGCTGATCTCTGTCACAGCGTGGATCTCTCTGTATAGTATATTTGTCTCCCCCACTAAACTGCTTGAGCTTGGCACCCCGAGGTTCTGCTTTTGTGTTGAGATAACAGGAACTTAAGCACAGCTCCTAGAACAAAGTGGCTGCTCAATAAATAACAACAGAACAAGTAAATGGTGTTTGACTTTTTTTGTTCTTTCTCCATAGTGCCTTGCAGTGTTAAGCACAGATGAGATGTTGTTCAGTGAATACTTAGTGAATTATTAGGAACACATTAAGTTTCTAGATATGCTTCAGAGGAGGAATTAATCAAGCCTTGGGAAGTGTGGGTTGAAAGAGAATTCAACTAGATGTGCATAGCCTCTGGGATGGTATTGAGGCTGTCCTCCCTCTCCAAATGGCTTTCTTTTAAAAATCCAGAGGAGGGAGAAAGCTCCCTGACACTGAAGCTGGGTTTCTGCATTTGGGAGATTAAGGTAAAAGCTTCTGCTTAGCCCAAAGCCAGCACCGTGCACATCACATGTGAGCATTTCATGGAGAGATGGACGAAAGCCAAATTTAATTACTGAGATGGCTGTGACGATAATCCCATTTTTCTCATCCAGTTCACAGTCTAGGAAGGGCCCTCATCCAAACATGGTATTTTTGCTTTCCCTGAGGGAGCCAAACATTTCTCTGTCTCATTATAACCTTGTGGAAAATCTGAAATAAAGCTGTTCATTGAACTATTTTCAGTGCAATTTACAAAGATATTGTGATTGGCAGATAGGAGATGCCGTTAGAGAGATTGACTGTGGTTGTACTAGACATACAATATCAATAATTAACTGGAATTTCTTTTTTGGGTAAAGAGCCCAAATACTCAGATTTCATTTTGCTTATTCAAATTCTATCCTTTTTCCCTTGAACAAATCTGTTTCCTGTTCTCAATGTTTTGCCTTAATGTGCATGTGAAGCTCTACAATGAAAGAACTGGGATATGTCAGTGCAGGTGGCATTTAGCCATGGAAATAAGCAGTTAGAAATGTTGTTAAGGAGAAGTGGGATAGAATTGGTACTTGGGAGGGGCTGTTTACACTGGAGTCAGGTCTGACTCAAAGGCTTTTGATTTTTATTATTGGTAAAGAGTATTTTATAGCTTTCATTAGAAAAGTAAAGTGTGCTCATTATCTAAAGTCTGAAAAAAAGAAAATTCAAGGGAAAATAAAACTATCCATAGTCCCACTCCAGGGGAGACAACCATTGTTAATATTAGCCCAGGCTTGTTTGATTATTCACATTGCTTTGAAATTGCTAAGTAAATTTGCTGTCAAAAAAGTAACATGTCTCAGGATTCTAGGTGGGCCTTACCACAAAATATATTTATTTTTTATTTTCATTGCGTTGTTTGTAAACCAAGGGATTATTAATGAAAACATGTTAAGTGTTCTCCATATGACCAGCACAATGCTAGGTGCAATGGGCCACAATCACTGATTCTCAGAATTGCAGGTTATTTCTTCCAAAGCATCTCAACTTCTGCTTGAATGTGTCTAGTGGCAAGGAGCTCTCCCTCATAGTGGCTGCTGATATTCAATTTTAGATAGTTCTGATTGTTCCAGCTTCTCAGGAAACCTATAGTCTTGGGGAGATAAGATCAAATGTATGAAATAATAGCCAATAATGCACAGTAACGTTTAATTAAACAGTGATACCTGCTGTCAGTGCTTGGGAGTTAGATGAGAAAGAATTGAAGGCAGACCATCATCCATACAAGGAAGAACAACGGGACCTCTCTTTGTTTTACACAGCCCTGTGTCTGGGCTAGGTGCTTTCCTGTAGAGTTGATTATCACAGCAATCCTGGAAAGGTAGTAGGTATTATTTCCACTTTACAGATGTTACAGCTGAGGTGCAACTTGCAGTTGGTAAAGTTGAGATTCAAATCCAGGTCTGTGTGGAATCAAAGGCATGCACTTTCTGCTCTCCCACACTGCCATCTCTCTAAAGTAGATCTTGTGCTAGGTTTGGGGGATTTCTTAAAGTAACTTTTTTTCTTATTATAAAAATGCGCATAGAAATAGAAGATTTGGAAAATATAAATATCACCTATAATGCTTCATTTAGAAATAACTAATATAGACTGGTAATAACTGATTACCAGTTTGATACATTTCTCTTCTGTATTTACACTCACATACATATATGCAGCTATCACATAGATTATGCACTTATGTATATATATGTGTATATAACTATATATATTATATTGTTTGTATTCTTTTTCTTTTTGTAAAATATGGTTATTTTCCTATGTCATTAAAATTTTCTAAAACATACCTTGTTAAGTGCCTCAAAGAATTCTACCATGTGTATATACTATAATTTGTAACCAATCAATGCCTTATTAGAGTTTAAGTTCTATAACTTTTTGCTATCATATTTATCATGTTTTGATAGTATTTTGTTTTGATAAACATTATTGTATAAAATTTTTTGTGCTTGTCTCTGGTTTCCTATCAAGTTTATAAATATTTTAAGACTTTTGATTCAAAACTGCCATCCAGAGAACTTATATCATTTATACTCTCACCAGTGGCAGTGTATGAGAATATCCAATGTTAGATATTCTCTCCAATACTGAATAGTATCATTAAAAAATTTTCCTAATTTGGTAGGTGAAAAGTGATGTCTCATGGTTTTAATTTGCATTTCTTTGGCTGCTAAAGAGAGTGAGTATATATTGGGGTCATCTGAAGTGCTGCTAGCCTTGCCTCTCCCTCTTTTTCTAAGAGACATAATGTATGAAGAAGAGAAAGTTAAAAGGCTTCATCTTATTTATCCTAAATTACTCCATGTGCTGTCTTTTGGCAGATCTCTGACATCTACATTAGTGGAGAATCAGGGGACATGTCAGCCAAGGAGAAGCTGCTCCTGTGGACCCAGAAGGTGACAGCTGGTTACACAGGAATCAAATGCACCAACTTTTCCTCCTGCTGGAGTGATGGGAAGATGTTCAATGCACTTATTCACCGATACAGGTAAATATGGTGGAATTTCATTGTGCCTGGAGGGGCTTCTTCTCATCTCTTGCTTGTAATTAGTTATAATACCACTTTTCCCCTCAACTAAGAATCAAGGCTCTGATTCATTTTATTCATTTAAAAAAGGAATATGTATTGAACTCCTACTATTCAAGGCACTGGGCACATATAGCAGTGAAGAAAATAGCAAAAGTTCTTGCTCTCATGGAGCTTACCTTCCAGTGGGGAAAATAGGCAATAAACAGATAAATGTATGCTGTCGTACAGTGCTAAGAGAGTGACAAGGGGTTGTGGTACTTTTGACAGGGTGGTCAGAGATGGCTTCTCTGATGAGGATGTTGGAACAGAGCCATGAGGGTGTGGGTCATGAAGGCCTCTAGGGACAGAGTGTGTCACTTAGAGGAAGTAGCAAGTGCAAAGGGCCTGAAGTAGGGGCTTGTTTGGAGTGGTTGAGGAACAGCAGGTGGCTGGGGTGAGATGAGTAAGGAAGATAGGAATGTTGAACCACAAAAGGCAAAATTATTGCACTCTTAGTGGTCATAAATACTCCTCAATTTTCACTCTGTATTAGTTTATGATACCTTTCCCATGAAATCCAACAAACCTACTGTTGTGTAAGTTTAGAATTAGGGAGCTCTGGGCTCCTGGCGTGTAATTAAAAATGGGCTTAGTACCCCTCTAGACCTCCTGCTTTCTTTCTAACTCATTCAGTGTTTCTCAGCTTGAAGTACATTTAAGAGGGTTCTTTGTGTAAACTCATGTATGATGTGTAGATGATGGCCTTTCATGTGCTTTGGTGGATTTTTACAGACCTGATCTGGTAGATATGGAGAGAGTACAAATCCAAAGTAACCGAGAGAATCTGGAACAGGCTTTCGAAGTGGCAGAAAGACTGGGGGTCACCCGGTTACTGGATGCAGAAGGTGAGAGTTCACCAAAGTTGAATAAGTTTAGCATATACTCGCTATTCCTTCTCCTGGCAGGTTCCTTTGTTTTCACTAAGAAATTTCTTACACTTTCTTTCCCAGATGTGGATGTGCCATCTCCAGATGAAAAGTCTGTAATCACTTATGTGTCTTCGATTTATGATGCCTTCCCTAAAGTCCCTGAGGGTGGAGAAGGGATCAGTGCTACGGTAAAAGAACACTTTCCTAAAATACCTTCTGACTTTGATTTGTTTGGGTGGAATGTATTAATTAGACCATGTTTCTTAAATACTTGTTATATACAGAGCAAACTGAATCCACATCCTCTTTATACATGGTCATTGTCCTTGATCCCTGGGAAGCAGTCTAGATAGCGCTAATTTTGTAGCATCCAGCATAGACTATCCTAGATGTCAGGAAATTGAATCCCCTCTTGAGAGCCCTTGAGGAGCTTTGAAACTGGGACTTTGAGCGTTATACCGAGCAGCTGGGTAGGCAATTAGAGGAAAGGATTTCCTGTGGTTTGGGATGGCGTGAGCTACTTTCTCCTGTGCTTGTTTTGCATACTGCTAATCAGAAGGTGTGTGACATCTACCTTTTGGCAATAGGAAGTAGACTCCAGGTGGCAAGAATACCAAAGCCGAGTGGACTCCCTCATTCCCTGGATCAAACAGCATATAATACTGATGTCAGATAAATCTTTCCCCCAGAACCCTGTTGAACTAAAGGTAAAGTCATGGATTTAAATAGTTTTTTGTAAATTCATTCTAGAGAGTGAGTCTCAGAGCTTGTTGCTGCTGGCTTCTGGGTGAGGTGATTTGAGAAACTGGGCCAGGTTACTTGCATCCATTCATTCATTCACCAAATATTAATTTTGTAGGCACTTTATAACCAATATATACACTTCAAAGAAACAGAAATTCTGGCCAAGGAAAGAGAAAAAGGAAGAATTGAGGAATTATATAAATTGTTAGAGGTAAGGAAACTTATCTTTTGCTGAGACTTGAGTTTGGTGGTGGCCCTGTTGTTGCTTAGTCAGATTCCTGGCGTCCTCCTCCCAGCCTGCATTAACAGCGATATTCTCAGGGTGACCAATCTAGCAGCGCACTCAGGCTGCTCTTGAAATTTATGGTAAAGGGAAAGTATCAACTATGTGTATTTTCTAAAGGGCCTGTTGAAAAATGGCATACATTTATTCAGAAGTCTTGAGTTTTGTGGATGTTTTCCTTTTTCTCAGAGGGAAGCTAATTCTTTCCCTATGATGGAAAGAAAAGAGACTTCCATTCGCATTTTGATTCCTAGAGAATTTCAAGCTGTTGAGATGGGCATTTAACCTTTCTGGAATGGGGATTATTGAGAGGACAGGAGGATTTGTGGAAAATGTAGAAGGAATGGAAGGATTTAAAGCACATAGTCCCTGTATTTTAGAGGTGACTTTTTTACTCTTACCTCAAGGTGAGGTACTGCTAAATATTCAGTTGTTTACTCTTATTAGACAATGAGAAAAACTACTGAATGGCTGGGTAAAGAAGCAAGAAGTGATGTACAAAGAATAAATAACAACTGAGGGTATGGCTGTGGTTTTGGACTAAAAGAGTATCTCTGGGTTTTTTAAGGTGTGGATTGAATTTGGCCGAATTAAACTGCCTCAAGGTTATCACCCTAATGATGTGGAAGAAGAGTGGGGAAAGCTCATCATTGAGATGCTGGAGCGAGAGAAATCGCTTCGGCCTGCTGTGGAGAGGTGGGTGCAGAGCCTGAAGGTGATCTGACATTACTTACTGGGGCCACTTTGACCCCCACGCTTGACAATGGTTTTTATCTTATTTTAGGCTGGAATTGCTGCTACAGATTGCAAACAAAATCCAGAATGGTGCTTTGAACTGTGAAGAAAAATTGACACTAGCTAAGAATACACTGCAGGCCGTAAGTCTGTGACTGTTTTGTCTCACCTCTTATGTCACATGTTTTCCACTTCTCAGCCTGTGCTCTAATGGTTGAAGTTAACAGTTGAGGAGTCCAGCTGTGTTACTTCCTTACTCTCGGAATTGCAGTGCTCCCCTTGGCTCCCTCGGCCCTAGTGGGTGTGCGTTCTCGAACTCTTATTCTTCCTTTCTCTCTCAGGATGCTGCTCATCTGGAATCAGGACAACCAGTCCAGTGTGAGTCAGATGTCATCATGTACATTCAGGAATGTGAAGGTCTTATCAGGCAGCTGCAGGTGGATCTCCAGATCCTACGGGATGAAAATTATTACCAGCTGGAAGAGCTAGCTTTTAGGTGAGGAAAACGGGACTCAAATGGAGGGCTTGCACACTGTTGAGGATCATGGATCAAGAGTCAGGCACTGAATCTTGTAACTTGAATCTTGAGGTCAGTGTCTCAAGAGGGGATACTACAGGTATTTTGGGCAGGAAAGTTCTCATGGTGGAGGACAGTTCTCTGTTGTTGCAGGCCCCTGCCCTCTAAGTACCTGTAGGATTCCCTAATCATTGTAGCATCTTATAACAGCCCCACATGTTTCAGAGTGACTTGCAGGGGTGTGATACCACATCTTGTTTAGAACTGCAGGTGATCCAATGCATCATTTTATAGAGGAGGAAACCAAGACCCACAGAGGGGATGAGGATCATCTGAGTCACATGGTTTGTATAGAGCCAAAACTAGAACCCACATCTTTTGGCTCTAATCCCTTGTTTGTTCTGTTTTACCATGAAGGAGTTATATAAATGGGTATTGGTTTGCCTACCTCCAATTAACACTGTAATTTGGCATTTGCCTCAAAGACAACTCTAAACGATGAAGATGTTAATAAAACCACCTTACGTTCATACAACACTTTTTCTTTCTCAAAACACTTCCTGATATGATCTCACTTTTATTTTTACCTCATCCTTGTCAAATGGATAGGGAAGGTTTTTGTCTTAAAAAATGTGTTACAGATTTAAATCTCTTCCTTCTATCTCTTCCATTTCAGGGTTATGCGTCTACAGGATGAGCTGGTCACCTTGCGTCTAGAGTGCACAAACTTGTATCGGAAGGGCCATTTCACTTCACTTGAACTGGTTCCACCCTCTACTTTGACCACTACTCATCTGAAGGCAGAACCCCTGACCAAGGGAAGCCATTCTTCTTCTGCCTCCTGGTTCCGGAAGCCCATGACTCGGGCTGAACTTGTGTCTATCTCCTCCTCTGAAGATGAAGGCAATCTCCGATTTGTGTATGAACTACTCTCTTGGGTAGAAGAAATGCAGGTGAGTGTATGTTCCAAATGCTTATGCAGTGCACTGAGGTTTACTGGATCCAGCAGCTTTTCTAAGAGGACTAGGGTTCTCTATGTCCCTTGTATAGATTACCTTAATTGTTGATGCTGCCTAGGACCCACACCCTATTCTCCTTAAATTTTAAATGATTGGGATCAAAGCATCATAATCCCACACTGAATAGCGTAGCCTATTCTAATTTGAAGCCATTTGGATATCTCTTCTGTTCAGCTAACTGTGCCCTAAGTGGAGCCTATAGGAGAAACTCCAAAGTCTATAAATCTCGGTTATCTTTTCTAAAATTTCCTCATTGGCAGAGGAGCTTATTCTTCACATTTGTTGTTCGTCTTAGTTCTTAAGTTGAAGCAAGGCTGCAGTGTTTCACAATTCTAAGGGGCGCTATTTATATGTGTTCTAGGATGATGGTTCAAGTTCCATATTGTCCTTCTTGTCCTTCTAACCCTTTTGTATTAAATTCTTCCGATCTCCTAATGATGGATTCCCCATGGACCAATAAATGAAAATATCCAAAGACAAACTAACTCTTATAAAATTATCTTCCATTGGCCAGGGTTGATGCCATGATAGTTCTTTCTTATATCCGCTCTATTTGTGAAATGAAGAGACTCCATAAAGGCAAATGCCTAAACTATATAGTTAGGCCTCTTCAGCCTGTGGAAACACCTTTCTAGGCGATAAATTCAGGAATGCATTCCTACAATGCAGCATAAATGCTACCTCTGCTGCTGTGGTTGGTGGGGTTTAGTCTCCAGCTCCTTGGGGGTGATGATGGCATGTTTTCCTGTAATAGGATATGGTTTAAGTATCTTTTTGCCCAATCCTTCACCTCCAGCCCCCTTGTCCAGATATCAATTCTAACAATTTTCTTTCTCTGCCAACCCAGCAGTAAATTATTATATAAGTATTTTTTCTTTTTTAGATGAAACTGGAGCGAGCAGAGTGGGGCAATGACCTGCCTAGTGTGGAATTGCAGCTGGAAACGCAGCAGCATATCCACACCAGTGTGGAAGAACTGGGCTCAAGTGTCAAAGAGGCCAGGTTGTACGAGGTGCGTGGCATTCAGAATCCATTGTGGGAGGTTGGGGCAGGGCGGGTAATGGGGCAGCATGCACAGTGCTGCTCTCACTGAGGAGGAGGGGGCTCTGGAAAAGAATGACAACCATGAGCAGCCCTTTACAACAAATTCGCTTTTCACATGAAGTGTCTCTTTTGCTCTTTGAGAATACCTTGTGAGAAAGGTATTTTTATTAGCCTGTTTTTTTACTAAAAAGTCATATTGAAAGCTAAGGTAAAAATTAGTAAGTAGTGGATGCAGTATCCAAACTCAGGCCCTCTGCTCCAGAAGTTTATGCTCTTTGCACTTCACTGTCTGCCTGTAATAGAGAGCTGGTATAGAGAAACTCTTCACTCAGTCTGTCCTCTCCCTCACTCACTCAGTCTCCCCATTTTTTATTTCACCTCTCCCCTTTAAAAAAGCAATTGAGTAGTTTGGAAATCATCAGGCATAGGTTTTGCTTGGAAACCTTCCAGAATTAAGGGAAGCACAAGACGGTGAGGTCTGTCAGTTGCAGTCACCCTGCTGAACTGTTCCTCATTTAGTGCTGCTCCTAGCTATGAAATCTGACCCAGAGATTTGTTGTGTATTTTCTTGGAGTAACCAATCTCTATCTCTGTGCAGACGTAATATTTACATAGTTGAAACCATACCATAGATATAGTTTATTTACTCTTTCTCTAACGTATTTTTGTTTCATTCCTTTCTTATCAGGGAAAAATGTCCCAAAATTTCCATACCAGTTATGTTGAAACTCTTGGAAAGCTGGAGACACAGTATTGTAAATTGAAGGTGGGTTTTGACTAACTCTCTTGGGTTCTGTTCATGGAGATTCTGGCTCCCTACAAAGAATTCTTTTCCCTGATTTAGAAAGGTCATGGTTTGGCCCTGTTTTGGTTTTTCTGTTTATTAGGTTATATCATTTACTGTGCAGTTGTTCATATGTATTATAACATTTTCTCAATTTTCTTAATGGATCAGAAACCACTGCCCCAGAAAGTTTTAAGTAAGTAGAACCTATCCTAGTTATCATGCTTCACCGAAGCAATGGCTGGCTATGTGTGCTTTGAGACACCAAAACTAAAAGTTTGATGTTGGCGGGAAAGGGACTCCTCTTCTCTCTGTTGTTCTTCATTCCTGTCTTTCAAGATTGTCCAGAGTAGGACAGGCCCAGGATCATTCTTTATCCAGGGAGCCCCACAAAGGCCAGGTGAGTTCTAACTTGTAGGTAGGATTGACAGTGGTTCTGGGAGTCCTGTACCAAACTTGTGCTAAATCTGCGTCTGCTGAGAGGCACCCAGAGATGAAAAAGCAAGGCTAAATTGATTTCCTGGGTTCTTCTTTGCTGTGATTTCAAATGTGCTATCTTCTACAGGTGAAAGCCTGGCAATCTAACATTGTCATCTCTGCTTTGTCTAGGAAACTTCTAGCTTCCGGATGAGGCACCTTCAGAGCCTGCATAAATTCGTCTCCAGAGCTACAGCTGAGCTGATCTGGTTGAATGAGAAGGAGGAGGAAGAACTAGCATATGATTGGAGTGACAACAATCCCAATATCTCAGCCAAGAGAAATTACTTCTCTGTGAGTCTAGCACAACAGGCCTGCCATATTTATAACAGCAACAGAAGGAGCCAGTGGGGCTAGTCTGCTGAGAGCTTACATTTCTGGATTTGCATTCTGCTAGGTAGAAGTAGGTCTCCTGCCTAATGCATCTGTACATGTGAGAAGTGTCTATGGAGAGAGGGGAATGTGAGCCCTAGAATGAATTTATTTAGAATGCATTTAGAAAGGCAGTGTCTTGGGTGAAGAGAGCAGCAGTCTGCAAGTTGAGTCATTTCAGAAGCAGTATAGCTTTGTGATTAAGATTATAGGCTTTGGCCTGAGATAGAGCTAAATTCAAATTCATATTCCTCCACTTACTAGCTTTGTGACCTTGGGCAAGTCATTTAATCTCTTTGGACATCTGTAAAATGGATAATAGTACCACTTCAAAGGATGGTGTAAAAGATTGAGTAAGATTTAATGAGCTAATATGGACAAAGCATTTAGTATAGGGCTTAGTATTGTTTAACTGAGGTATACTCTTGACTTCTCACAAATTCTGAATTTTCTTTAATTCATTTAATAATTTTTTGGTCAGAAGTCTTTATTTGTAAAATGAGAAGGAAAATTCAGCATTGGACAATGATACAATAATTTTTATTCTTTTCAATGAATACAAATGGGGTGGAGTTTTTTTGCTACATTTAGTATTTCCACATCTCAAAGGATTTTTAAGGATTTTGTAAACGCAATGCAAATAGGAAGCTTTTTTACTGACATTTGCTTTAGGTACTTTAATTCTATTAGTTTAGAGTTGTTAAAAAAAATATGTAAGCTTCTCCTGTTTAAAGAATGGTATGTGATTCTTCTGAAGTAAATAAGAAAGAATAGGTGCTGTGATACAATAAACAGTTTGTATGAGAACAGAAATTAGGCTATGATAGAGGTATGACGAAGGTGCTTGGAGGACATCAAGGAGAAGGGATCAAATCTGATAGCAAGGATCAGTACTCAGCTTCCCAGAGGAGCTGGAATCTAAATTGGGTCCTGTAGTGTTAATAGATTTTAGAGCCGGAGGAGGGCACTGCAGCCTGAGGGAATACTCTGAGCAAAGCCTGCCAGTCAGTGATACAGATCTGCTAGTGTGTCAGGTGCTGTTAGGTGGCTGCCACTTCAGCCCAGTTGTCTCCTTTCTCTGCCTCCAGTGCTTATCCTGTGTTCCCCCACTTACTCAGGTCTGGTTCAGGTCCCATATCCTTTGTGAATCATTCTCCAGTAATTCCGGCATTTTTGATCTTCTCTGAAATCCTCTGGCATGTACTGTTTATTCGTCTCATTTTGGCACTAATCCTGTGTTGTAGGCTCCTTTAAAGCAGGGCAGAGAACATAGCTTTCTCTTCATTGTTACTCATCTCTTAATGGCACTTATTGCATAAAATTGAATTCATTTTTCAGGAGTTGACAATGGAGCTGGAGGAGAAACAGGATGTGTTTCGGTCTCTTCAAGATACAGCAGAGCTGTTGTCACTGGAAAACCACCCAGCCAAGCAGACTGTGGAGGTATGTGACTTGAGAATGTCTGAGGGTCCAGTGCTCAGAGGTTGTTACAAAAATATTCAAATCAGAGGCTTTGTTCTAAAAGACCTGGAGGAAGTATCAGGGATCATTTGTCTTGGATCTTCTCCCTTTTCATCCCAGCCTCCAAAAGACTGGAAACATTTTGATAATCTAAGGAAAATACTATGAGAATCAGTAAATGAGATATTGACTTCTAACTTCATGGGGAAAGTTGCTTGAATCACATTTTTTCAACTAACTATCCAGACAGGCCCTGCCTCTTGTTGGTGTGTTGCCTTTGCTCAGAGGAGAAAGACAGTGGAGAAATCCTGAAGGGATTTATTTATGCCTGGGTTTTGCTGACAAGATCATTTAGTTGCGACTGAATGTGGAAGAGGCCTTTTCTATGTAACCCCTTCTAACAAAGCCATGTTGGGTGAAAGACAAGCCCTTTTCTCATGGGAAGCATTGGGCAGATGCCATTCACGTATCTCCATGTATCTTCTGTTGGCCTCTGTCATTAGCAGAGTTGTACTTCTAAGAGAGCATTGTACATATATATTGGGTCTGTTAAACTCATGCCCTTCTGTCTGTGTGCTTGGTTATTGCAGGCTTACAATGCTGCTGTCCAGTCCCAGTTGCAGTGGATGAAGCAGCTGTGCTTGTGTGTTGAGCAGCACGTGAAAGAGAATACTGCATATTTTCAGGTATGTGGGCTTTGTGTTTGTGCCTGTGTGTGTATTTATATGTGTGAGTACGTGTGCATCAGAGAGGATGAGGAGAATACCCTTTTTCATTCAGGCAAGTCACTCTGTGTGTGTGTGTGCACGTGCGCGCACACATGCACGTGCAAGTATGCACATGGAAAAGGTGAAGTTAAAAACACATCTGTATCAGTTAACCTTTTTTTTTTTTTTTTTTGACGAAGATTAGCCTGGAGCTAACTGCTGCCAATCCTCCTCTTTTTGCTGAGGAAGACTGGCCCTGAGCTAACATCCATGCCCATCTTCCTCTACTTTATATGTGGGACGCCTACCACAGCATGGCGTGCCCAGCGGTGCCATGTCCTCACCCGAGATCCAAACCAGCAAACCCCGGGCCACTGAAGCAGAATGTGCAAACTTAACCACTGTGCCACCGGGCCACCCCAATATCAGTTAACCTTTAGTATATAAACCACCACCCTGAAAGTTAGTTGCTTAATAGAACAATCATTTAGTTAGCTCGTTATTCCATGGATTGACACTTTGGGCTAGGCTCAACTGAGTGGCTTTTCTCTTCTTATCTGGCTTACACATGGCTGCAGACACTTGGCAGGCAGTCTGGGGACTGGTTGGTTCTAAATGGCATCACTCACAGTCTGACGGTTGGGGTAGTGGGGTAAAAGTCCATATTGTAAGTCTCTAGCATCCAATACGTTATCCTGAGCTTCTTCACAAAGTAGCTGTCTTCTACAAGCAGCGAGAGAGAGCAAGCCCCAGTGCACGAGCACTTTTTTCTGCTGTCACTTTTATTAATGTGCCATTGGCCTAAGCAAGTCATGTGCCCATGCCCAGCTTCAAGGGGAGGAGAAATAGACTCTACCTCTTGATAGGAGAAGCTATAAAGTATCAGGACCATTTTTTTTTCCAATCTATCCCAACATCAAGAATATACTGCTTGTTTTTAGGTGAGGGTGGGAGGAGGAAATAAGCTATCATCTGTTTGGTTTTACCCTAAACTAAATAATCTCCCTGATTTTTTTTGTAATTATATCAATGAAGTGAAACATTTGATCCCTCAGCCTCTAGGCTTTTCATGAAATATACTTCACAGCCCAGTGCTGTCACTAGCCAGAAGTCAAGAGGAACGAGCAGTGATTTCTTTCTTTTTTTTGCTGAGGAAGGTTCACCCTGAGCTAACATCTGTGGCTAATCTCTCTCCATTTTGTGTGTGAGCTACCATCACAGCATGGCCACTGATTGATGAGTGGTAAAGGTCTGCACCTGGGAACCAAACCTGGGTGGCTGAAGTGGAACATGCCAAACTTAACCACTAGGCCACCAGGCTGGCCTGAGCAGTGATTTCTGAGGGGGTGAAGCAAACTAACCTTTACATAGGGTTCAACAGCCTTTGTGGTAGTCATCACTAATATTTCCCTGACGTGGCATTTTGAGCCCTCCAGTTTATAATTCTGGCCCTTGTAATGAACTGTCGCTAATCCAGGAGTGTGTAATCAGCTTCACTCAGCTCTGCACACTAAGATTGTTCTTTCTCAGTTAGTGTCTGGGTGTTGTGATGTATTGCACACAAGGCACCCCTCACTTCTATCTCCACAGTTCTTCAGTGATGCACGAGACCTGGAGTCATTCTTGAGGAACCTCCAAGACTCCATCAAACGCAAATATTCCTGTGACCATAACACCAGCTTATCCCGCCTTGAGGACCTGCTCCAGGACTCCATGGTGGGTGTTGCATCAGTGGGATGATTACTTCTGAGAAACAGTAAACCATGTCAGCTGCTGCTGTTTATATCCTTGAAAGCTCCAGAGCAATGGGTCATTGTTAGAAAGTTTGGCTCACATTCAAGTAGTTTAATCAGTTTTCTTCTTTTTCCTTTTTTTCTTTTCTTTCCTTAAAAAAGTTGCTGATAAGATTCCTTTGGGTATGCTATTGGAGTAAGGCCTAGTCTTCTCCCCCTGAGCCACTTAGTGCTCATCATACTTTCTTTGTGTTGTTCTTACTTTAATTCAGTGGTTGGGGCCAAAGATGAGGGATAGAGCATGAAAATAGCATTGAAGGGGATTAGCTGACATCGAATTCTTTTTCATGCAAAGAGAATTAAACCAAACCAAAACAAAAAGAACAATGAACTAGACCGGAGCCAAATTTTTCCACCTTGGTAATTTTCTTTTGGTAATGATAAGGTATTAGAAAATTGATTTTAATTAAGGGCAATATTAAAATCTTATTTAGATATAATGCAATGTTGGTCCAGTTTATTTATGTAGCAGTACTTTTAAAAAATAGTTTTGCACCCAGTATTTAATCCAAATCAATTTTATATTCATTTTCTCCAATGAATTATTCCTTCAGGAGTGCTGGTAATAAAATCAGCAGCAGGACTTCTTACATTTATTGAATGTATATTACACGGAGTTAGCAAGACAGGGCTTAAGCTACATCTCAAATTAAGATAGAAATATGTATATTATAGGGAAATTACTTTCCTGTGTAAGAAACCAGGAGATTCTCACATTTCAATAGAAAATTATAGGTAAGAGAACCAGAATAACTCAAAAGAGTATCATTTTTTTGTGGGTGAGACTTGGGCATTTGTGAACATTAGTTGGGTGGTTTTTTTTGGTTTTTGGTTTTTGGTTTTTTTACACTTTCAGATATTGTAAGCCTACGAATGAGTTTACATTTAGTGTTTCACCTGGGCAAATAATCTGTTAATTAATTTGGAATGAAGGATAAAAACCTGACTTTTCAGATGTTGTCTCTAGAATGTCTCTCTTGGAGGTACTTCAGATATGAAGGAGGAATATAATAATCCTTGGCTATTATCTCCTCCCTCCCACAGAGTACCTTCCTGTCATAGGGTAACTCCTCTGCAATTGTTGTCATATCTTCTCTTCTCGAGCGTCGCTGCTCTGTTCCCTCCTCTCCAGGTCAGGGGCATCGGGTTGGCGGCGTCATCGGGGCATGGAGTCACCTGGGTCTGCTCCTCAACTTGTCCGTCAGGTTCGGGAGCATCTGTCATGGCTTCTGGTTCTTTTCAGAACTTTTACCACGCTGAGCACATGGTCTCTGGCGCTTGAGATGTTTGGCTGTGGGTTAGACAGAAATTGACATCTTTATTGCAAGGAAACTGAAATGGGTAGACCAGCTCTCAAGTATGAACAGTATGGCTGTCTCCCTGATATATTCCATTCCTCTTTCTTAACTAATAAGTTAAAGTTGTATTTCTTCCAATCATGCTCCCGGGGACAGGCACAGGTAGTTTATTTAAGCATTTCTTTTTCTTTACTTGCATATTCTTAATTCTTTAATGGCATTTCTTAACATTATTAACTCTTTACTTCCATCACATCTACTTCCATCCTAAGAAAGCCCTCTTCTGGGGGCTTTTTATATATCAAAATGGGCTTGAAACATCCTGGTTAATAGATAATGGTTATCTTTTACCCTCTAATGGAATTGGTAGTAGATTGCTACCAATTTTGTTGACAAGAAGGTCATTAGTATTTGTGATAATTGGGTTTGCAGAGACTTGAGAGTTTCGATTTTGCATGATACTTCTTTCAAACCAATCAAATTTATATGAATATGGTACAGCAAGACACTAAAAGGTAAACCCTGAATCATTTGTCATGATGCCTTCACCAACAGCATTGGTTTACAGATTGTTGGTTGAAGAGCTAAGATCTTTCTCTACAAAGTCTGACTGAATTTAAGAAAGTAAACTATTTCTAGTAGAGCTTGGGAGATATAATTATTTTTTAAAAATTTTAAAAGAGCATATCTTGCTTCTCCTAAGAAGGCAAGAACTGGCTTCCACCAGTGAGAAAGTGAATAATAATAATAATGACAATATTGTTATTATTATTGTCTTTAACTTCCATGTTTTCTGAACTTTATTTGGGAAAATTCTTTGTTGGCAGTATTTGGCAGCTAGAAGTTCTTTTTTGTTTTATTTTATTTTTGCATGTGGCTTTATGGTTCATTGAAAAAGGGCACAGAGAGAAAGCTGCAAAATTTGAGTACAAAAGCACTTCATAGAAGACAGAAACATCGTCTCCTTTTTTCTTTATCCTTGTGTTTCTAAGATGGCTCCACCAAGGATCCCTACTTAACTGAGAAATGACATTCTCTGAGGGAGTGGAGCACTCAGTTTTCTTTGTTCACTGAGTCACCCTGAGTAGCAACATTAATGTCTTTTTCATTTTCTTCTCATTTTGTAGGATGAAAAGGAGCAGCTTATACAGTCCAAGAGTTCTGTTGCCAGTCTTGTCGGGAGATCAAAATCCATTGTTCAGCTAAAGCCACGCAGTCCCGACCATGTGCTAAAGAGCACCATTTCTGTGAAGGCCATCTGTGACTATCGGCAGATCGAGGTGAGGAGGTGGAAGGGATACCTCTGGCTCCAGAGGGAAGCAAGGGAGAAGGGAAGCCTTCAGTTAGGGTTATGATAATAAGGGAAGATCAAATGATAGAGTTGTTCACTAGAACTTAAGCATGCTCAGATCTCTCCTATCGCTTAAAAAAGAAGCCTCCATTCTACAGTCTTGACCTGCTCCCTGCCTCAGTGATTGCCATCATCATCCACCCAGCTGTGTAAGTTTTGACAGAAGGGTACTTTATAACACCTGGGAGATACCGTTGACTCCTCCCTTTATCCCCCACAGCTAATAGGACTATCAAGTCAATACTAACTTGTAAATAAATATCCCTTAAGTATATTTCTTTCTGACCCTGCTGCTAACACCCTAAGTTAGACCATAAATTTCTTTCACTGGGATCATTGCATCAGCTTCCCCATTCAATGCATTCTTTATCCTACCACCAGCGTGAACTTTTAAAAGAAAAGTCCCTCCCCTGCCTAAACTCCCCATTTCCATTTAGAAAGTCTAGATTCCTTAATGTGACTTCAAGGTCCTGAATAATCTTTCTTCACCTCTCTGGGCAAGACTAGGCCATGTCCCCTCTATGCATTCCCTGATAAATTGCATTTGTCACACAGTATTGTAGCTATATACCCCACCAGAATATGTGGAATATAGACCGTGTTTGTTGGCTTACCATTTTACCATTTTCCTCTCTAGTGGTCTAGCACACTTCCAGGCACGCAGCAGGCTCAATAAATATTTGTTATACAAAAAAGAATGAATGAACTTTTTCTGCACTTTTCTGTGTCTTAGTATTTCTAGCTATAAAATAGGGATAATAATGTTGGTTAGGGTCTGGCCCGGTGGCGCAGCAGTTAAGATTGCACATTCCGCTTCGGCAGCCTGGGGTTCACTGGTTCAGATCCCGGGTGCAGACATGGCACCACTCAGCAAAGCCATGCTGTGTCAGGCGTCCCACACATATGAAAAAAAGTAGAGGAAGATGGGCACTGATGTTAGCTCAGGGCCAGTCTTCCTTAGCAAAAAGAGGAGGATTGGCAGCAGTTAGCTCAGGGCTAATCTTCCTCAAAATAATAATAATAATAATAATAATGTTGGTTACTTGCCTCCCAAGGGAAAGAATCAATGATTCCAAAATGCTTAAACATTTTCATGAATTTGGGATGGGGTGATGGGAAGGGAGGAGGAGGAAGTATCACAAAAGCAAAGTTTTGAGTATTTATGTTCCTTTGATTTTTGCCCTAATGGTTGTAGGTGTAGAGAGATTGCTCTTCGAGGTCTTAGAATTTCCCTATAACTTTCATATACTGACTTACTTGGCATGTAATAGGCATTTAATAAACACTTGCTTCCTTGATTTATTTGATGTGGCAGCTTTTCCTGTGTTGTGTATTTGTATGTGTTATCTTTCTGTCAAAATCAGGAACTCTCATTAAGTGATGGCAGATCTCCAAAATGACTTTTTCTTAAGGATTTCATAACCTTGGGATCAGGCACCAGGTAATTACAGGGTTTTGGTTTATCCATTAGCAGTAACTTGTAAATTTGTCTCTTCAGATCACTATTTGCAAGAATGATGAGTGTGTGTTGGAAGATAATTCTCAGCGGACCAAGTGGAAAGTGATCAGCCCCACAGGGAATGAAGCAATGGTGCCATCGGTCTGCTTCCTCATCCCCCCACCCAACAAGGATGCCATTGAGATGGCCAGCAGGTAACTTCACTCAGCTGTCACTCTGTTTGGCCTGGTGAACTGAAGGAGGGATAATCTACATTTGTGATCTTGAACAGAATGACCAAGTTGTAAAATTTCTTTTGAGAAAGACCTCCTATTCAGATATCAAGTCTCGCACTGCCAGCCATATGGTAGATTTTCAGTAAATGCTTATGTTCAATTGATATATATTCAGTGATATTTCTTTTTAAAGAATTCTTGATTATAAACAGTTTACTCTCAGGAGATTGATTTTTATAGTGACAGCTAATTTTCTTCTTTAATTTCTATTTTACTAAAGGAATATGTGAACATATTTTTAAAAGTTAAATTATACCACAAAGCTTGTAATTAAAACTAGCACTTACCTCCCCCATCCCAGAGTTCTACTTTCCAGGGTCAGCTATTTTCAATTCTTTGAGCAGATTTTTCTGCTTTTTAACTCCAAATTTCTAAATAATGTGATTTTTTTCCTATTTCCTGATTTTTTTCAACTTTAGAAATAATCTGTTGACTTCCTACTCTAGGAAATTAACCTTTAGCTTTCTACATGCACATCTGCATATACTTCCACTTTCCCCATCTTCCAAATGTAACGTCAGATTTTTGTTTAAATTGATGTATTTTGTGTTATTATTACATTAAATTGTTTACAGCTGAACCAAGTAGTACTTTAGGGGATTGTTGTGTGGCTTATCCCGTCATGCCTTACATATCTGCACTCATCCTCTGCCACTCTCCTTGCTTGTGCTCAGCTCCACTCTGATGTTTTTCCTGTTTCTCAAACAGCTGGCATATTCTTGCTTCAGGGCCTTCACACTTCCTCTGCTTACTTCAGTTGTTTATGTGATTGATTCCCTCACTTCATTAAAGTTCATCCATCACCCTCATGCACCACTACCCCTACGTGATTCATTCCTTCACTTCATTAAGTTCATTTTATCACCTTCATGCACCACCACCCCCACTCACTGCCTATTACTCTCTATCTCCTTTAATCATCTTTATTTTTCTTTAGAACACTTAATACTGCCTAACAGATTATATATTTGTTTGTTGCCTCTCTCCTCCCATTAGAAATTCCAAAGAATAGAAATTTTTGTCTGTTTTGTTTACCCTCTGTATCCTCAGCACCTAGAACCATTCCTGGCACGTAGTAGGTGCTTCATAAATTGTTGAAGGAAAGAATGAATGAGTGGATGATTGAAAAAATATATATATATGAATGAATTATTTCATTTATTTTCTTGTATAATTTTTTGTTTCCTTGGAGTTGATGATTGTTTTGGTTTTAAGTTTGCTTTTATAACTGGAAGTTTATATCTTTTGACTCTCTTCACCCATTTCTCTCACCTTCCCACCCCCCAAGTCTTATTTATTGGTTTATTCCCTGGTTTGGGAGAGTACACTCTCCAGTAGCTTGCTTGAAAAAAGAGTGCATGAGAAGTAAATTTTTAAACATCTCTTATATTTGAAAATGTTTTTTTTTCCTTTCATAATTAATTGGTCAGTTACAGAATTTTTTTGGACATTATTTTCACTCTGAACCTTGAAGGCACTGTTCCATTGTTTTCTAGCTTCCAGAAAACAATTATTGTTTTCTTATTGTTGAGAAGTACAATATCGTTTTCATTCTTTATCTATTTTTTAAGTTTATGTAACTGTAAAAGTCCCCCTTTGCAGTGAGCAGTACTGTGGTTTGGCAAATGCATAGAATTGTGCATCTTCCACTACTGTCATGATACAGAACAGTTTGGTGCTTTAACCTTTTGAATGAAATCTGTTTCTCTCCAGAGCTTTTTAACTCTTGTCTTTACCTTTAATCTTTGAAGGGGATGCTGTGTTTCTGAGTGAATCTTTTTGCATTTGTTGTGCTAAGGGAACAAAAACTGGAAACTCATAGTTTATGGATCTGGGGAAATTTTTCTTGGATCATTTCTTTAATTGTTTCATTCTGTTACATTTTTTCTGTTCTTGCTTTCAAGAACTCCCATTTGTCAGATGTTGGACTTCCTGAACTGATTCTCTAATTTTCTATTTTTTATTTCTTTGTATTTTTATTCTTCTTTGAGATTTTCTGAACCTTTATTTTAACTTTAATGAAATTTTAGTGGGATTTTTTTGGAGAAGGGAAAGATAAACTAATGGGTTGAATGTCTCTTATTTAACGGACATCCTGGCTTCTGGTTTCCCATCCTATTCTTTATATCTCACATATCTCAACTTGAAGAGATTCAAGGTAATCTAGTGTGTGTGCCAAGTGTCTGTGTATCTGTGAGTTTGTAAGTCTTCTTGAAATTGAGATTTAATTAGCCATGGGATGCGTAAGGAAAAAAATCGTCAAGCCCTCATACGGTAGTTTCCTTTTATATGCCAGATAAACTTCTTGAGTTGCTATTAACTTTTAAACATTTTAACAGGTTTGTAAATATATAGAACACAGCAAATAACTTTGTAAGCATTGATGTCATTTTTCAACAATTCCAAATGGGATTATTTTATCTCTACTTTTCTCTCTTATTATTCTCCATGAGTATTTCCTCTCTTTCTAACTTCTTGTAATCATATTACATTCAGGTAACATTTATGAAATTACTAAATATGTGCTGACATAGTATATATAATATTGTAGCAAATCCAAATTGTTTGAGGATCTCAATTAGTTCTAAAGATTCCTGTGTTGTTATTATTTGACTTGTTCCCTTTTTCTGCTCAGCATATAAAGTCAATTCTACTAAAGCAATCACATTTTTTTCTTAGAAGGTGTCCAATGTGGAGCTCAAGTCTTACAAAAGCTATAGCCACATTCTGTTTTGTTCCTAGGGTGGAGCAGTCTTACCAGAAAGTGATGGCCCTTTGGCATCAGCTACATGTTAACACCAAAAGCCTTATCTCCTGGAACTATCTGAGGAAGGACCTTGACCTTGTAAAGACCTGGAACCTGGAAAAGGTAATTGTGAAAACTTTACCCCAGGCTCACATCCTACTGGCAAGCCTTTTTCAGAAGGAACTTTTTTATTTTTCTCTCTCTCTTTTTTTTTTTTTTTTGAGGAAGATTACCCTGAGCTAATATCTGCTGCCAATCCTTCTCTTTTTTGCTGAGGAAGACTGGCCCTGAGCTAACATCCATACCCATCTTCCTCTACTTTATATGTGGGATGCCTATCACAGCATGGCTTGCCAAGCGGTGCCCTGTCTGCACCCGGGATCCAAACTGGTCAACCCCGGACCACCAAAGCAAAACATGAGCACTTAACTGCTGTGCCGCCAGGCTGGCCCCAGGAACTTTTTTCATTATTCTGAGACTCTTACGACCCAATCAGAGTAAAATCGAGTCAGAGTTAGGGGCCTGAGTATCTTAGGGACCAGAAACAGCACCCTGAATGGTTAAGGATATTCCTGATGAAAATAAATCACATATTTGGTCTTCTTGGCAGAGAGAGAAGGTTGTAAGCCTCTTCTCACTCTGCAGGACGAGCATCTCTTTGGCATGAGTGTGTGTAGTAAGGGAATACTGGTGAAATAAACAGTATTAAGGGTTATGTCCAGGAGGGCACAAAAGGTGCTTCTGGGTGCTAGTAGTGTTCTGTTTTTTGATCTAAATGTTGATTACATGGAAAAGTTCAATTTGTGAAAAATCAACATGTTTACAATTATGGTTTGTGCACTTTTTAGTATATACGTTAAATGTCTATAAAAAAGAGAAAGTACTATGTTCCCATTCTTTTGAAATTCCTTCTGGCTTTTTTTCTCTCTAGCTTCGATCCTCAGCACCAGGGGAGTGCCACCAGGTTATGAAGAACCTCCAGGCCCACTATGAAGATTTTCTACAGGATAGTCGTGACTCTGTTCTCTTCTCAGTGGCTGATCGTTTGCGCTTGGAAGAGGAGGTGGAAGCTTGTAAAACCCACTTCCAGCACCTGATGAAGTCCATGGAGAATGGTATATACCTTGGGAAGAGGGAGAGAAATGGTGGAACGAACCCTGAAGGATGCTGCTAGATCCTTCGTATAAACTAGAAAGTACCACGACCACCTTTTTACCACTTGAGTTGCTAAAAACTTGAGATAGAGAAAAACTTACAGAGATGAATTCTCAAAATTAGATCGTGGAAGAAGAGGCCATATTTCAGTCCTTATTGCTAATCAACCTATCTCATTTTATTGTAGAAATAACATGTTTGAATCCTTAAAGATGGGTATATAATGCAGGGAATTTAGGATCAGGCAGAAGGTTTCCCATATAAGGCCTTCCTTTCATTCGTGGAATATCAGGCCTGCTGGAACCAGTGGTGCCCTCTGTCTGAAGGTGAATCTGTTGTTCTCAGGTTTGCTGATCTCTGTTGTGGTGCTTAATGTCTTCTGTGCTTATGCATTCACAGAGGACAAAGAGGAAACTGTGGCCAAGATGTACATTTCAGAGCTGAAGAATATCCGGTTGCGCCTGGAGGAGTGTGAACAGAGGCTAGTCAAACGAATTCAGTCCCCAGCCAGCTCTAGGACTGACAAAGATGCCCGGCAGGACAATGCATTAAGGATTGCAGAGCAAGAGGTAAGCCCTAAGAGCAAGGCGGGTGCTGCTTGCAGAGTAAATGCTTTCAGAATGAATTGGATGGCAAGAGAGTATGTATCCTAAGAAATAAGGCAATAGACTCATGGCATTCCTACTCCAGAATTCTCCCCTGCAGCCTGTAAATATCTTTTACCTGTAGCGAAGCATGATTTCAGCTCCCAGTGTGTTGCTGAATGTTGATTGGTTTCCTATACAGTTGGGAAGGCAAACACTGGTAAATTGTTCTAAGCACTGCCTTTGGGCTACGTATTTTAAGATTGCTTAGTAGAGGTGCTACTCTCTGCTCTAACCCTTGCATGCATGTACTTTCTATGACATGGTTACCATCAGTCACATGACTCAAAAAATAGTAAGGAAAGACTCAGATTCTACTGTGGGCTTTGATATACACTCTCTCTGTGACTTTGAGCAAGTTAACTCTCATCCTTAATTTCTTTTCTTATAAAAAGGAGAAAATAATATGTGAGTCACAGAAATTATTTTGAAAATTAAGTGATAGAGTACATATCTTCCTGGAAAAGCAAAATGCTATAAAAATGTAGGGTAGTATTCTTGAAGTAAAAGCAGTGAATGTTAATTGCTTAATTAAGTACTCATGGGCATGCAAAGAAAGTAAGCCAGAGTCCTTGCTTTTGGTGTATAGTGTAAAGAAGAATAAAAAGTTGACGTCACATTAGAGACTTCAGTATAAGAGGTGGCATGAGAAAGTACTAGTGTGGTTCCAGATTCCAAGCAAACAGTGCTGTAGGAATTTAGAGTGTCATTAGAACGTTTCTACGTGGGTGGCATGAGAGAGCTCTGCGCAGAATATTAGATTTGATCTGGGAGCTTAGAGCGAATGGAGAGGAATGGCTAATGAGGAGAGTGATTTTTCTTACCTTTCTCAATTATTGCTAAGCCTGAAGAGGAGGATGAGAGGGCAGTGTAATTTTCCTTGGCCAAGAGGGATCTGATATGCCTGTATGAGGCATATCATGTGAACGTGTGATTCTCGCATTGAAGCTTTTTACTTTTCGCTAGTCGTCCAAAATCTATTAGTCTCTGCAAAATTGAACCCTCTAAGAAATACAGGTTAATAATCAGCTCTTCTAGGAAAGGACCTTTCGTTTTTTAAACTTTTTATTTTGAAATAGTTTCAGATAGACAGAAAAGTTTTTATTCTCATATAGCCTTCACCTAGATTCCACAAATGTTAACATTTTTCTACATTTGCTTTATCATGTTCTTCTACATATGCTATACATAATAATAATCTTTTTTTGCCTTGAGAGTAATCCAGACGTGATGTTCCTTCACCCCTAAATACTTCAGTGTGCATTTCCAAAAAGCAAGGGTAGTCTCTTACATAACCACAGGACAGTGATTAAAATCAGGAAATGAACAGTGATATAATACTGTTATCCAAGACCTTATTAAAATTTCATCATTTGACCTAATGCCTTTTCGGGGAGTGCCCTCCACCCTTCCCTACCACAAAAAAAGGAATATTTTTGGTACAGGATTCAGTCCAGCATCACACATTGCATTTAGTTGCTTTGTCTCTTTAGATTTCTTTAACCTGAAACAATTTTTTGATTTTTCATGATCTTAATATTTTTGAAGAATGCAGGCCTTTTGTTTTGTAGAATGTCCCTCTATTTGTGTTTATCTCAGGCTTCTTCATGATTAGATACAGGTTACACATTTTTGGCAGGAATACCACAGAAGGGATACTGTGTTTTTGGTGCATCATATCAGGAGACATGTTGATTTGTCCCATTGCTGGTGATAACTTTTATCACTTGTTACTATTTTCTCCTTTATAATTACTAAGTATCTTGTGGGGAGATAGATACTTTGAGACTATGTAAATTTCCAGTTTTACATCAAACTTTTGCCAGTTAGTTTTAGCTAGATATCTATTGTTGATTCTTGACTGAACTGAGTATGACTGTTGCCAAAAGGTGATTTTCTAATTCTGTCATTCCTTTTACATTTTTAAATTTCCATTTTATCAAAGGAAGGAGCTTCCCTCCCTCCTTTCTTCCTTTTTTATGTCCATGTGGACTTCTGGATTCTTATTTTAGTCAATGGTTTGTAATTTACTGCTATTTTTATTTCAGTGTTCAAAATTTCCCAAAGTTAGTCATCGGGAACCCCTTCAAGCCTGCTCCTATGCCACTTTAACATGTCCCCATCATTCTTTGAGTGCTTTCTTATTTCTCAACAAAACAAGATATTCTGGTTTCATCTTGCCTTTGCCAGCCCCAACCCTGGAATTAGCCATTTCTCCAAGGAGTTCTGCTTCCTTTAGGTGGAGAATGTTACTTATAAACCAAAATCTGGGTGCTGTGTGCTCATGTTGTTGGGTGTCATTTCTTTTAGGCCTGCTCAGCATATAGAGCTAGAAAAATACATATTTACAAACTCATTAATGTACACACAAATACAAACACATCCCTATGTTGTATACACACACATATATTTATATGCATACTTATATATGTATATATACATATATATGTGTATGTATACATATATCACGTAGATCAGTATATTTATTGCTCTTTGTCACACACACACACACCCCCCACGAATTCATATATATCTATCTTCATCCAGTTCCAAATCAATGCCACAGGGCTTATTCTATCCTCTCCTCTTTCCATATTTGTAACTCCCTTCCCCAGACTGAAAAACTTGCTTATGTTATCCATAATAAATTTGCTGTTTCACAGTTTATTCAGCCACTGTTCTATATATATGGGCATTTAGGTTGTTTGCAATATTTTGCTATTGCAAACAAAGACTTCTTTCTAATGTCTTTGTTCAATTCTGTCTTCATCTTTGTTGCGTATCTCGTTCCTAATAGCACACCCAGGAGGATTTGCAGCAACTGAAGTCAGATTTGGATGCTGTTTCCATGAAATGCAACAGCTTTCTCCATCAGTCCCCATCTGGTTCCAGTGTCCCAACTCTGCGCTCAGAACTCAATCTACTGGTGGAAAAAATGGACCATGTATATGGTCTCTCCACTGTCTATCTGAATAAGTGAGTGAGCTAAGGATATGGATCTAAAGGGCAGTGTTTTTCATTGGGATGAGAAGGGCAAATGCCTGGAGTGTTTCATGAATCATCCACAGAAATTGCAGATCTTGAAAGCATGTGCACATGACAAGAGATCTTGGCTTTAGTTCCAAGCAACATGGAGTAGGTTCATTTGAGTGGCAATAAACAAATGCCAGTGATACAGAAGGGGAGTTGATTTGCACTGTTAGGACTATTTTGTACCTCATTTCTGTTTGATTAGATACTTCTGAAAAAAAAGAGAGAGGGACGTTAAAGAATAAAAAGAAGGGCCAGCCTGGTGGCGCAGTGGTTAAGTGCACACGTTCTGCTTCGGCGGCCCAGGGTTCGCTGGTTCAGATCCCGGGTGAGGACATGGCACTGCTTGGCAAGCCATGCTGTGGTAGGCGTCCCACATATAAAGTAGAGGAAGATGGGCACGGATGTTAGTTCAGGGCCAGTCTTCCTCAGCAAAAAGAGGAGGATTGGCGTCAGATGTTAGCTCCAGGGTAATCTTCCTCAAAAAAAAAAAAGAAAGAATAAAAAGAAAAGTTTTCAGCCAGACTAAATATTAGTCTTTGAAGGTCTTTGCTCTACCCACTCATGACCTTGAGGAGTAACAGATCTAAATTCTTCATTGTGTTGAGTGGGTTTCTGGTCTCATACCTTTTCTCCCATGAGTCTGCCACATGTGTGCATGTCCCAGTGCCACCTACAACTTTATTTTGAATTGGCTTAAATTGGCAGCACATATACCATGCTTTCTTGTTGTTACAAAACCCTGTTTTATAATACAGTAATGTTGAAATTGATTTTGCAGTTATATTTTGTGAACCTCTCTATAGTACTCCAGATCTATAGCCCAGCTGTTAAAATGCGTGTGTTAATGAAGATGATTTTCTCCCCACAGGCTACAGACAATCGATCTTATAGTGCGTAGCATCCAGGATGCTGAACTCTTGGTCAAAGGTTGTGAAATCAAGCTGAGTCAAGAAGCAGCAGTACCAGCAGATCTCTCAGCTCTGGAGTCCCATCGGTCCACGTTACGGGTTAGTGGCTCTGAGTTTCTTAGGAGGTTGGCTTAACATATCCATAGCTTTGGGTTAGCAGAGAAAGGCAATTTTGGATGGCATGATATTGGTTTGTTTGCATTTGAACTAAGCAGAATATCATAGTTAATATATTTTAATATGGGTTCAAAGAAGAAGGGATTGAGAAATATGTCTATCTAAAAAGGGAAAAGATATGCCTTCCTATTTTCTCTCTTTTCTCCTCAGTAAAATCATGGCTTAATTGGATACAATCAATGGTTATGCTGTAATTTTATAAATCACTTAGCTGTTATCTCATTTGAGTCTCACATGCAACTCTGTGAGGTGGATAATTGTGGGAGGGATTTTTATCTCTATTTACAAATGAGAAAACCAAGACTCAGATTGGCTAAATGACTTGTCTTGTTTCATAGCTTATAAGCTGTGGAGCCAGGTTTCAAACACGATTTCTTTGCACATCTCTCTATACTGTACTGCCTGCCCTTGGCTTCCCAGTGTGCATGAGGACGTGGATGCATTTCTGGCACAAACATTATAGGGTCTAGCTTCTGAATCACAGATATAATGTGGAGCCAGCTGTAGACAGTGTCCTTGTTTCTACCTGAGTCTGAGTCCTTTTTGGCGTAGAATATGTTTAACCTGTTGCTGTGCTTGTGTTTTGTAGCACTGGCTTAGTGATGTGAAGCACAAGAATTCAGTGTTTTCAGTCCTGGATGAGGAAATCTCCAAGGCCAAGGTAGTGGCAGAGCAGCTGAGCCGTCTGACCCCAGAGCGAAACTTGGATTTGGAGCGCTATCAAGAAAAAGGCTCCCAGCTGCAGGAGCGTTGGCACCGGGTCATTTCCCAGCTCGAGACCCGGTGAGTGGTGGCCCTACCCTTTTCTCCTATTAGGTCTCAGGGACTAGGTTTTAAACAAAAATAGTTATAATTGTGTATTCTTGTTTAAAGGCAGGAATTGATAAAGAGGGGTAGAAATTAGATGACAGTATAAATTCTGGGCAGGATAAGTGACAGAAAGTTGGGACCACCAACCCTGAAGCAGACTCCTGAGGCTGGCTTTTGGATTAGTACTGCTGGTCCTATTAGCAATGCCTCTCCTGTATCCCAGGTCTCACCTAGTTAAGCTGTGATAACAGTAGTGTCTTAGAATATGGACTGGAAAAGTGATCTGGTGATCTTTTCTCAAGGACAGAACCTGAGTTCTAGTTCTTGTTTTATTAGCTTTGAATCCAACTGTGAGCCATTTTACATAATGAGGTTTTGCTGAATTTCTTGCTTCCATTTTCATTTGCTAATTCAGTAGTTTTTATCTCTGTTACATGAGGTCCTGCTGCTGATGACTGATTTGAATAGGAAAGACAGAAAACTTATCTGAGGCAAGGCTGGGTAGAGAGTGGGTTTTTTGTGTTTGTTTGTTTCTTTGTTTTGGTGAGGAAGGTTGGCCCTGAGCTAACATCTGTGCCAATCTTCCTTTACTTTTGTATGTGGGATGCCACCAAAGCATGGGTTGATGAGCAGTGTGTAGGTCCACGCCCGGAATCCGAACTCATGAACCCTGGGCCACTGAAGCAGAGCATGTGAACTTAACCACTATGCCACCAGGCCAGCCTGGGAGAAGGGTTATAGCAACTCATTTAAGTTTGGGTTGATTCTCTATAATTGAATTACTATCCCAAGGCTGGTTAGACTAACGAAAGTAGTATAACAAACTGTTACTAAGGGGCCAGCCCAGTGGTGTAGTGGTTAAGTTCATACACTCCATTTGGGCAGCCCGAGGTTTGCAGGTTCGGATCCTGGGCATGGACCTATGCACTGCTTATCAAGCCATGCTGTGGCAGGCATCCCAAATATAAAATAGAGGAAGGTGGGCACAGATGTTAGCTCAGGGCCAATCTCCTCAGCCAAAAGAGGAGGTTTGGCGGTGGATGTTAGCAGAGGGCTAATCTTCCTCAACCAAGAAAAAGAAAAAGAAACCTTTACTGAAATTAATAGTAAATAACTACTATTTTTCACCCACCCCACTCCCTCTTCCCTCCCCAAGAAATTGCAGGGATTCATAAGTCATAGCTATGGTACTCTGACAGGTACTTTGTCATCAGGGGACAGAAGTGTACAGTGAGTACTACCTTATTGGCAAGGTGGTAATCCTTGGCAACCTACATAAAAAATTTGACAGGGATTGTCAAGGGATGCCAGCCCACAAAGCAGCTTCCAGGGCTAGCAAGGCACAACTGGTTTCTACTCACTTTTCAACATAGAGGACACTGAGTAAGTGCGTAGATCTCACTCAGTGTTGCATTGCTGTTCCTCCCAAACAGAAATGTATCCTCTGTGGTCATGCTCAACTGGGGGCCTGGGATGAGGAGGGAATTGCCTCATATGCTATATTGTATTTAAACCGAGATGTCTGATAGCAGTTTCCTTTTGCTTCTCCAGCCAATCTGAGCTAGAAAGTATCCAGGAAGTTTTGGGAGATTACCGAGCCTGCCATGGAACTCTCATCAAATGGATTGAGGAAACCACTGCCCAGCAGGAAATGATGAAGCCAGGCCAGGCGGAGGATAGCAGAGAGCTGTCGGAGCAGCTCAGCCAGCAGACGGTGGGTGCAACAGTAGCATGGTGAAAGTTGATGGCGGCGAGTTGGTTCATCATAAGAGAAGGTGATGTTCTAGCAATTAAGCTTCCCTCAAATGGCAAGACATTCCAAGCCCCATCTTCTGAAAAGGTTCAAGCTAATGGTTTTGTATTTAGCCCGGACAGACTTGTAAGGGTCTCTTCCAATCCTGAGTTTCTATGACTATATATTGAAATCATAGATGGACAGATTAAAATTATCTTGCTTTATTTTTTTCTTGATATTACATTTGATTTTACTCGAGTTAAAGTATGGGGGATTGAAAACCCAGGGAAAGCTGTGAATGGAAGAAAATTAATCAAAGTGGTTTTTATTTGTGGATATTTTTGTTTGTTTTGTTTAGCATTACAATTAAGAGTACGAAGTCTGGAGTTAGATGCCTGGATTCCAGTCCTGGCTCACTCACTCACTATGAGACCTTGAGCAAATTATTTAGCCTCTCAGTATTCTACTTCCTTGTCAGTAAAGTGGACATAATCCATATTTTTTCAACCTACCTCACTCATAAGGTTATTGTCAGGTTGAAATGAAGTGATACACGTAAAACACATAGAACAGTGGTTCTCAAAGTGTGGACCCCAGACCGGCAGTATCAGCATCACCTGGGACCATGATAGAAAGGCAAGTTCTCAGACCAGAACCCAAACCTCCTGAGTCAGAGACTCTAGAGGTGGGGCCCACCCTTCTGTGTTTTATCCACCCTTCCAGGTGATTCTCATGCAGCTAAGGCTTGAAAACCACAGCCTTAGAACATAGTAAAAGCTCAGCTGCTTCAGTCATAATAATGACAATGATACTGTTGTGAAATTTTGGTTCCCAGGATCTGTTTGCAGAAATCGAGAGAAATCAGACAAAACTGGACCAGTGTCAAAAGTTTTCCCAGCAATACTCCACTCTTGTAAAGGTAACTCTGCCTTATACCCAAAAGGAACGTAAGTGACCTCCAGCTTAGGAAGACTTGCATTGTCGCTCTAGTTTTGTTTCCACACAGATGAGCGTAGCTCTTCTGCTTGAGGCTGGCCCCATCCTTCACGTGTTATTACATTTAATATGGATGTGTACTTCTTGTGGCCCCACATTTGGGGATGCTCAGAGAGGTATCAGACATGAGCTGTGATTCAGGGAGTCTACATTTGGGTGACCTACAGGCTTCTTAAATTTACCATGTCAAAAACGTGCATTTTAACAAGATTCCCAGATGATTCGCCCTGCTCTGCTCTAGGTCATTGAAAGTTTTCAAGCGGAGGTACAAAGTGGTCATCTTTGTGTTTTAGAAAAGTTATTCTGATAGGATAGAAAATAAATTGGAGATGAGACTGTAAGCAGGATAGTAAATAAGAGGCTCTTGCACCCGTCCATGAGAGATATGAAGAGGGCCTGGACTAGGGCAGCACTCTCAGGATTGCAGAGGAAGTGATAGAATAGCATGGCGACATGAGAAGAGCATGGGTCTAGGGATTGGAAGACTGAGATTCTAATCCTGACTATTGCTCACCCACTGAGCAATAATTAATTAGGGAAACTCACTTCCTATCTCTGGACGTCAGTTTCCCCATGTATGAGATGAAAAGGGTGGTCAGCAAACTGCCAACTGCAAACTACAGGAGTCAACAAACGATGACCCACAGGCTAAATCCAGCCTGCACACCTATTTTTATATGGCCCATGAGAAATGGCTACGAAAATCAAAGGAAGAGTACTACTTGATGACACGTGAAAATTATCTGAACTTCAACTTCCAGTGTCTGTCAGAAAAGTTTTATTGTGACATAGGCATACTCTTTCATTTATTTATTGTCTATGACTGCTTTCACTGACAGTGGCAAAGTTGAGTAATTGTGACAGAGATAGTATGGCCCTATACAGGAAAAGTTTGCTAACCTCTAGTTTAAATGATCACCAAAATGCCTTCCAGCAATGAAATGCTGATTGTATTACATGCTGTGTGAGCTATAAAGCCCTATGTAAATACAGTGAAATTTCTTCCTCCCCAGGACTATGAATTGCAACTGATGACATACAAGGCCTTTGTGGAATCACAGCAGAAATCCCCTGGCAAGCGCCGTCGCATGCTTTCCTCTTCAGATGCCATCACACAAGAGGTGAAAGTGTGGGGCGAGGACATGTGCCACCATCTTTCCTTAAGGGAAGATTTGTTTGTCTGGGCCTGCAGGTTGATTTAGGGTTCACCTTTCTGTTGAGATGTGACTTCACAAAAACTTCCTCTTATTTTCAACTATTTAAATTTACTTTTCTGGTAGATAATATATCTAAATTGTTTTTTTGAACCATAGTTCATGGACTTAAGGACTCGCTACACAGCCTTGGTGACCTTAACGACTCAGCATGTAAAATATATTAGTGATGCACTCCGGCGGCTGGAGGAGGAGGAGGTGAGGACAATTGGGTCCCAAATCATCTTGAAAATAGAGTTTAAAATCCTGTGCCTCATCTGTCAAGAGTTAAAGTGCACACACAGCTGATTTTCATTATTCATGGTAGTTGTGTTCTGTGAAGTTGCTGCGACTCCTGCCTTAGTGAATACTGGACTCTTGAACCTAGGGGAAATATAGGTTTAGGTTCCTGCAACATTTTTGTCAACAGATAATGCATAACCTTGTGTTCTGTGTGCTTTTGTTTAAAAACACCTTATTTAATGTATTTTGCAGATTCACTAACATTGAACTCATGGCCAAGAGCACTATGACTCATCCCTGAACAAAGCTTATTTAACATACGTTTTCTCCGTAAGGCACATCACAGTGTTCTTGTGCTTAGGAACACTAGACAGCACTTCAGTGCTATGCTTGGGTCCATTTTAAACACTGAAATCACCACCAAAAAACACAAAAATGTGAAAAACATGGCACTAAATAGACTACGAAAAGGACACATTTACAGTATAAGAGCTAGAACAAGAAGGCAAAGTGTCACCTTGTTCTACCTGAGCTGAGAACATTGGGTAACTAAAAGTGTTTGCCACTCTGTGCATGTCTGGGAATGACTGAAAATGCCACAAGTATTGATTTTGGAGTTATAAATAAATTTTAGTGAGTAGCTAAATTCACAAATATGGAATCTGTAAATAATGAGGATTGACTATTATGTCCAACACTCCCACTTCCGAGTATGTTTATTATAGAAATATTATAAGTATGAAGAAAGGGATGTGAACAAAGAAAGATCCCCAATAAAGCGTAATTTGTTGAAGGGAAATATTGGAAATATCCAAATTCCACAGTGGAATGCTATGAAGCTGTTAAAAATAATGAAGTAGATTTAAGTGAACTGACATGGAAAGATAGTCGTGATATATTGTTTGGGGAAAAAAGCAAGTTAGAATACTATGTATAATTAAGATTTTAGTAAAAACAAAATTGTGTGTAGCATAAAAATGTAATATGAGCATACAAACAAGTTTAGAAGTATATATACCAAATTTCTCAGGCAATGAGATTAAGGGGCCATATATTACACATTTCAGATAGTTTGAATTAGATGTAATGAGTATGTAATCCTTTTTTAATTATAAAAATCTTCCATGTCTTTGCAAAATTTTCCACATATTCAACCACTCTTAGAAAAGAAATGCCCTTGGAAGCATTAACCCATACCAACTTTCGCATATGTAAATTAGCAAAAGACTTCCTTTTTGTCATTCCCTGCTTAATCTCTGTAGACGTCAATCTCATCACCTGTAAATCTAAGAATTATGAAAATAAGTAAGATGCTGTATGTACAGGGCTTTTTTAAATCAGTAAATAATTATTGAGTGCCCATCATATATAAAACAGCGTGCTTTTTTAGAAAGTTGCTAACCGGGGCTGGCCCCGTGGCTGAGTGGTTAAGTTCGCGCACTCCGCTGCAGGCGGCCTAGTGTTTCGTTGGTTCGAATCCTGGGTGCGGACATGGCACCGCTCATCAAACCACACTGAGGCAGCGTCCCACATACCACAACTAGAAGGACCCACAACAAAGACTATACAACTATGTACTGGGGGGCTTTGGGGAGAAAAAGGAAAAAAATAAAATCTTAAAAAAAAAGGTGTCAACCTAGATATAATGAATTTAGCTATTAGTATCATACAGTTAGGCACTTGTATTTAACTTGGGTTCATTTTAGCTGCCTACTGATTTAGGTAAATTTTATGGCTCTATTTTAGGAAATCTGAGGTCAGGCCAGTCTAATAAAACATTGACCGAGACACTGATTTTCTATTTTCTGTTCTAGAAAGTGGTAGAAGAGGAAAAACAGGAACATGTGGAGAAGGTTAAAGAACTTTTGGGCTGGGTGTCTGCACTAGCAAGGAATACACAAAGCAAAGCTACCTCATCCCAGACCAAAGAATCAACAGACATTGAAAAAGCTATTTTAGAGCAGCAGGTGAGTAGAAGGTCCATCTGTCTCTTACTGGATGGAATAATATATGATATTGCCTTAGGTGGAATAATATAAGTCACATATGGGCCACCCGTGAATGATTGTCCCAGTAAATGTTAATTTCCAAGACTTAAAGAAACTTAAGAAGTCGTCTTATTTGTACTTGTGCCTTTTTGATCAGCTATGTATAGTTCACTGGTAATAATAATCTAACTTAAGCTAGGTTTTTCCCTAGGATTTAAAAAGAGTTATTTCAAATAATTTTTGATTTTTTAATTTCTTGAGATCTGAAGTTTTTCTCTTTATTTCTACTACATAGGTTCTGGCAGAGGAGCTGACAACCAAGAGGGAACAAGTCTCTGAGGCCATTAAAACTTCACAGATCTTCTTGGCCAAGCATGGTCATAAGTGAGTATTAAGTTAGAGATTATGGCCCATCTCGGGTAAGTGAGTATTAAGTTAGAGTACCTGGCTTAAACTTAGGGTCATGATGAAAATTCATGCTGGAGGATTCATGGCAGCAAGAGCCAGATTACAAAGAGCCTTGTGGTTCATGCTGAGGAACTTGCATTTTACCCTGTCAGCTATGAGGAAGGATTTTAAACATGATTGGGTTTTGTTGATAAAGGTGTCTAGAACAGTGTTATAGAGAATGGATTGACATAGGGTGAAAGTAGAGGCTAAGAGACTAGTTGAGAGACTGGTTCTGATAATAGAGGCAAGAAATGAGAAAGGATGGGGAGGGGACAAAGATTCAAAAGATGTTAAGGGAAGGTTTGGTGACTAATGAAAATTATCAGATATAACTCCCAGGTTTCTGGCCTAGGCCACTGAGTGTATGGTGATGCCACTAACCAAGACAGAGAATACAGGAGAAGGTGTGGATTGAGGGAGAAGAAGGTAGCTTTAGTTTTAGACATTATAAATGAGAAGAGCCCATAGGACATCAGAGCGGAAATACCTGCTATGTATTAGGAAGTACCTAATACGTTAATTTATGCCTTACATAGTTCCACTAAAGTTGTCCAATAGGTAGCTGTATATGTAAATTTAGAATTAATGAGTGGAAATTTGAGTCACTGGCATAGTAGAGACATAGGAATGAATTAGCTTAAAAGGGTCCAAGGGCTTTTCAGTGTTTCTTGGCCTGTAAAGGAAGCCTGAGAGATGTAAAAGGGAAATTATGAGTGATATCTCAGAACTCAAGGGAGAATAGAGTTCCAAAAAGAAGGGAGTAGTCAGAAGTCAAGAAAGATTAAGACTGAGAAGTGTCTGTTAAATTTGGCAAGTTGGAAGTTTTTGGTGAATCTGGTGAAAAGTTGGGGGATGATGTCAGATTTAGTATGATGGGGAGCCTATGAGGTGAAAAAGGTAGCAATAGTGAAATTAGACTACTATTTCAAGAAGCTTAGCCATATGAAAGGGAAGAAATAATACAATAAATAATTAGAGTAGAATATATGATCAAGAAGAGTTTTTTCTTTTCTGAAAAGACCAGAGAGACTTAACTGTGCTTATGGATTGAGTCTCAAGGACCAAAAAGGAGAAAGGTTGAAGTAATAGGAGAGGGGTCCCAGAGGATAAAATTCATCAGCGGGTGGGAAAGGACAGCCTTAAACAGGAATTAGGACAGCTTTTCCTCTGAGGTCTGAGGAAAAGGAGTTAGAAAAGGTATAGATAGAGGTAAATATGCCAGGGGTGAAGCCAGAAAGCAAATAAACAGTGCCCAGTGAGTGATCTGTATTTTCTCTTTGAAACAGAGAGGCTGTTTGCTGAAAGTTAGACTAGTGACGAGGGGAAATAAAGAAGGATTGACTGGGAGCCTCCAAGAGGATTTTCAGGAAGCACTGAAGTCCAGGAGAGATTGGAAACCAGTAGCATCTCTTCTACATGGTTTTGGAATCCCTCTCCCCTAAATGGATATACTTAGCCTGTGTGTAGGAGCCGAGAAGTCCAATGGTTTGAGTGATCTGGGGCTGGAGTTTTATCAGATTAGTGACGAGAGAGTGCAAGGAAAATAGTTAAGAAACTGATTGAGATGATGAACTGCGGAGTCTGGACTCTAAACTGAAGATAATAGAGACGACTGATAGATTAAGAGAAAGTGGAGGAGTCAAGGAAGGCTTACGAAATCTCAGTAAGTTGATGGATAGTTACAATATGAATCACAGGGTTCATTCTCAAAAACGTAAAGTAGAATGAGAAAAGGAACTTGCAAAATTCACCAGATTCAAGATAATGATTACCTCTGGGGAGAAAGGGAAAGGAATGGGCTTGGTGACAAATACACACTGGACTTTAATTATATCTGTGATGTCTTATTTCTAAGAAAAAGCTATAAAGCAAATCTGGTAAAATGCTAACATTTGGTAAAGCTGGATGGTTGAGTACTGGGTTAATGAAATTTTGTTATATTTTTCTCTTTTGTCTGTTTAAAATATTTCATTTTTAAAAGAGAAGAGGTATAGGAATAAAGAAATAAAACTGGAAAGGCAGGGTTATAATCAGATAGTAGGTTCTTCAAGTTTCAAATTTCAGAAGTGCAATAATTTTAGATGATGGCAAGGTCTAAGTTTGCCGTTGGTAGCTGGGGCTAAAGTGGAGTGGAGGCCATTTGGATTGAGAAGATTGTAGGACTACAAGCATGGGGTGTTAGACGACTGGTGGCATGAGCATTGACCTCACCAAGAGCCATGACTTGATATGAGTTAGATGCCAACGTATTCAGTGAGTGTGGAAGACTGACCAGACGATCCACGGTTAACAGTGACAAAGAATACTATCCAAGGTGGAGAAGTCAAGATTTTGAAGCAATAGAGGAGAGTTTGGAGAAAGATTTTTCTCTAAAAGAGCTTTAATGCTTCATCCTTCAGGCTCTCAGAAAAAGAGAAGGAACAGATAGCTGAGCAACTGAATGCCCTGAATAAGGCTTACCATGACCTTTGTGATGGTTCAGCAAACCAGCTTCAGCAACTTCAGAGCCAGTTGGCCCAGCAGACAGAACAGAAGGTACTTTTCGTTTTTCTCTCCAAATGTTGAGAAAGGTACCTTTTGAATGGTATGAAGGAGCTTTGCTGACTGAGAGTCATGATCACTAGCTTTCCGTGACCAATGTGACTTAATTTTTAACCTCACCGTAGCAGCCATTTGTCTTGTGTTTCTTTACTGGGGGTTCCACGATGTGTTGGTCAGTCAAAAACACTAAAAGCCACTGAAAGTTAACCCTTCAGACTGGGTTCACCGTTTTGTTGTCTGCCATTTTGTGACAGATCACAGTCAAGGAGAACATAAATTCTATATTATATCTGATCACAGGGCAATAAGATTACTCTTCGTGCATTGTCACTCAAAAGTTGATAGCTAAGAGTTCTGAGTTTTGGGAAGAAGAGGTCGTGAACCTCTTCACCCATACTGTTTCTTAATATCTGCTAAGTAAATGAGAAATGTTCATTTCCAAAGCAAACTGGTGGATTAGCTGCGCTGACTGAGACGCTGGTTCCCCTTACACATAGTCATCCCATCATGTGACATCTTTACCAGTTCCCACTGATATTCATTTCCTGGACAAGATGAAAGTTGTTAAGTTCCTGCTGGTTCTCCTAAGTTCTTCCTGGATACTTGTGTGTATATGTAAACTTACCATATTATATACATGTGTCTCTGGGATATTTATGTGTGTTTGCCTGCTTATTTCCTATGTTGTGAAGCAGTGGCCAACTTATGTGGGGCAGGCCAAAATTTAAGTTTGTGTGGTAATCAAATTTGGTTTAGATGATACTCAAAATGATATTCAGACAAAATGTATTTTGACTCTGATCCTTGGATATGGAATTTGTGTAGCAGGAGCTATAGAGTTGTAAAGAGCACAAAACAGAACCAGCTATGATTTATTTGAGAGTAGATTTCCAAAAAGAATGTGCTGGTTTAGCATTCTCTGTGTAAGTAGCCCACTTCTAATGGCTGTTGCTTCACCATATAAGGGAATATGTGAAAAGTTTTAACAATTGCTTGCTGAGAACATCCAGTTCTCATTTTGAAATGTTAAAAAAAGGGGAGAAAAAAAGAGAGACAAGCTGCTGAGCACCACTACATTGAGCATGATGTGTCCCCTGTTACCGTTCGTGTGTTTCATGTGAAGTATTGTTCTGATTAACTGACATCCTTGCTTACAAGTTTCACTAACCCTTTGGAGTTTAAGCACAAATGCACAAAGGGAAAAGAGGACGACCTGTTTGGGGTTCTTTTTTGCAAAAAACAAACAGTCGCATGCTGGACGCTAACACCAAGCTTACACTGTGTGTGCGATACGGCTGAGCTGCTCCATAAGGCTCTCTCTCTTATCTGCCCAAGGCGTACTCTGCAACTCTGGTAAGTAGAAGCCTTTTATGTTTTCTTTCCTCCTCTCCCTCTGTCTTTTTCTGCTTGTTTAGGTCAGAATGCCCATGTTTGGTGGGACTGAAATGGATTTCTCTGGATTATTTCCCAGCTCAGTGCTTCCTGCCTATCGTCCACTTACAAGGGTGTTGGAAGGAACAGTGTGTAGTCTTTTCTCTTTGGCTAGACTCCAGGCCTTTTTTTCAATATCAGTGTTTCTGAGACTTCATGGATCTCATCAAAGAAATTAGAAGTTCTCAAAAGAGTCTTTTTCTTTGTCATAGTGTCTGCTTCTGAATAGTCTTTATGTGGATTTTGTAAAAGGACTTTTTTATGTATCTTAAAGAGTCATATGCCAGTGCAATTTTTGCTTCAATCTGTGTAGAATACATACCTTGTAGAGTCACATGACATACATTTACCTCATACGAGTTTAACTCTACATTCTGGGTCAGAAAACCAGGGGGGATGGAGAATAACACATAATATTTTGAGGAGTGTGGAGAATTCTGTCAGTCCACTATTTGAACAAATACAGTGAGGTGGAGATGTGAACCAACTCTGCTCCCTCATTTGCTATCTATTCTGAATCTCTTATAGTGTGCAACTAATCAGGCTTGAAATGCTCAGTGCATGTTTTTAAAATCTGAGGGGAAATAGGTTAATGATTTTAAGGATTTCCTACCATTTATCAGTTTATTCATTTATTCACCAAATGTTTATTTAATTGCTGGTACTGTTCCTACACAACGAATGGGCAAAGTACCTACTTTTATGGAGCTTACTTCTCTCTGAGACAGAAATGAAATACATTATTTACAAGGCAGGGAAGTGATTGGCAGTTGCTTCAACAAGATCCTCCATGGATAAGTTAAAGAGTTAACTGAGGATGAGAAAGTAGTACCAAAGAAAGGTAGATAAAACCATCTATAGAAGGTGAAGATAATGAACATGAACAAGAAGAGCTAGAAAGTTGGAGAGTAATAAAAGTGAGGAAGTGTTCTAAATGGTAGAACACTTGAATGATTTAATTTCTGAATACCATCATTCTGTGATAAAAGGCTTCAAAATAGGCATTCTTTAGGAGCTGTTTTTACGCCTTTTTGCAAGAGTAATTTTGACACCATATAAGGTTTGCCTTATTCACTGACCCTAGGACCTAACTCCTGTGTAAGATTCAACTCTACTGTACTTATCCTTCATGCTCTCCTGGATCTAACTGGGGAGGCAGTATACTAGCACAAGATTTAGAGTCAAGTCTTGGTTTGATTCTGGAACTCCACTAGTTTTGTGACCTTGGACAAGTTACCTAACCTTTCTGTGCCTCATTTTCTTATCTGCAAACTAAAGATTAAAATAATTCCTTTCATAAGATTGTTGTGAGGATTAAATATCAGTGCTCAATAAATATTTTAAGTGCTCAATAAATCTGTTAAGTGCCCAACAAGTGGTAGCTGTAATCATGATGGCTGTACTACCCGTTCTAGCCTGGGTAGTACAGAATAAAAGTTAGCAGTGGCTCCAGAGGCAAGGGTCCCCAGTCTGCTCCTTCCTTGACTTGCTACTTCCAATTCCTAGAAGTAATTTAGCTCAGAGTCATTGCTTTGGAGATGCTAGCACTGGCCACTGAGAGTATGACTGCCCCAATTGCTAACCAGCTGCTTGAGTAATATACACAGGGCCATTTACTGAGATGCACAACTGTTGTTTGACTGTCGGGCTGCTTAACTCTCTCTTCTGATCCTGTGGACTGGTCCTGCTGAATTCATCAGCAGGGAAGTGCTACTTCAAGAGTCTTCTGCATGGGTTGTGACACTGAGAAGTTGTTGTATGGGGTTGAATTCTCATTTTGAGGGAAGTGGTATGTGTCTGTAAGAACTTTGTGGTGATTTTGTCTTAGAAATAGCTGTCCTTTCATGTTCGCTGCTTGCTACTTCGTAGAGCTTGTCACTCAGATATGCTTAAGGCTACCATCCCTCAAGTAAGCTGTGAACTTCTGGCCATGTTAAACATTCTGCAGTTTAGAAAAATTCTTTAGCATTAACACTGCCAGGCTTCAGAATGTTCCCCATGCGGTGGGGCTCATCCCAGGCTGAGTTTTTCTTGTGATCAGCATTTGATATACATAGTTCTTTCAACAGTTGTGCTTCTCTGATTTAGTTTTCTTTTTCATTTTTTCTTTTAGGGTTGCAGAGCAGTTGCTGGGGTGATTGACCTAGGCACAGTGGAGATATTTCCCATCTTCAGAGCCATGCAAAAGGGCCTCATTGACCAAGACACAGGCCTTGTGCTCCTGGAATCCCAGGTTATCATGTCTGGCCTCATTGCCCCTGAGACCAGTGAAAAGCTCTCTTTGGAGGAGGGCCTAGCCAGAAACCTTATTAATCCCCAGATGTACCAGCAGCTCCGGGAGCTACAGGATGCCCTGTCTTTAATAAGCAAGCTTACTGAGAGCGAAGGCCCTCTTTCTGTGGTGGAAGCAATTGAAAAGAAAGTCATCAGTGAGAGAGTTGGACTGAGAATCTTAGAAGCTCACCTGGCAACTGGAGGTTTCAGTCTGCCTCCCAGTAAGAACTATGTTAACCTAGAAGAGGCTTTTCACCAGGGCCTCATTTCTGCATGGCTTTACTCAGAGTTAGAGTCTCACCTGAGATCGTCCAAGAATTTGATAGACCCCAATACAGCTGAGAAAATTGGTTTACTGGATCTGATGCAGAGATGTATTGTCCACGAGGAATCAGGGTTGAAATTGCTGCCTGTCAAGCAATTGGCAGGGGGAATGGTGAGCTTGAAATCAGGCCGGAAGGTTAGCATTTTCCGTGCAGTTCAGGAAGGACTAATAGATCGGCAGGTCACTGTCCGGCTGCTGGAAGCTCAGCTTTTTGCTGGTGGCATAGTAGATCCAAGAACAGGACACAGACTTACAGTCGAAGAAGCTGTAAGACATAATTTAATTGACCAAGATATGGCCTGTGCTATTCTCATAAGGCAGCTTCAGACAGGTGGTATCATAGACACTGTCACTGGGCGTAGGCTGACAATAGATGAATCAGTGAGCAATGATCTAGTAGCTGCTAAGATTGCCCTTGTGATTCTGGAGTCCCTTTGGTCAGTCATGGGGTTGCTGTGGCCTGAATCTGGAGAGATCCTCCCAATTACAGATGCCCTGGAACAAGGTATTGTGTCTACTGAACTAGCTCATAAAATCCTTAGTGGCCGACAGCATATTAAAGCCCTGTTTCTACCAGCAACCAGAGAGATTTGGACCTGGAAAAAAGCAATAGAAAATGGTATGTTGGACAAAGATCTTGCCAATAACTTAAAATCGATTTGCATACCTGATGTGATGCCCCACATACAATTAGCAGACTCTTCAGAACGAAGCAAATTGAACATTAGTCCTGGAGCAGCAGGTCTACTGTGCAGCAAAGGCCCAACTGAGGGCAGAGCGAGCCACAGCGAGAAGCTGTTGTTTGAATTGATGACTCACAGCTACATTGATGTGCGGAATGGAGAGAGGCTGCTCCTGTTAGACAGTGCGCTCATAGAGACACTAAGAGCAAGACGTGAACGTCAGGCAGATCCTCCAGAAGTCTTGGGAATTGGGCGTCAGAGTCTAGAAACTCCTGAGGAATTACAAGAATCAGTAAGAGTGAAAATCACAGGAACCTCCTCTGATGGGCTGACTGTGAGGCCACGTAAGTTCCACTTTTCTTCCCAGAGCAAAGCGTATCCTGATCAGGCAAATTGCACTGAATCAGAAAGCAAAAAGACCATTGTAGAAACAGAAGTTTCCTTCATAGAGAACCCCAAAAAGGACCTGTTTGTAGGGCAACAAAAAGTGGGAATTCCAAATGTTAATACTTTGAAGGTCATAAATAAAGTCAAATCAGAGTTAAAAAGGCAGTTGTTAGCTACCAAAAAAGAAGACCAAACAGAAATGTCTTCTAGAGAAAATGTCAGCAGAGGATCTCTCTTTACGGTACCTCCTGAGGAAACAGAAGATGTGACCTTGGTGGTGGACAAAAATCCTTTCTCTATTGAAACACCAAAGGAAGAATGGCAGACTATCAGAAAGGCTTCCTTAATGTGTCAGAAAGAAGAAGCAAACACACTTGAAACAAAATATATTCCAGGTGAAACTGGAAGACCTCTCCTGAAACCACAAAGCGAAAAGTCACAATTTCAGGTAGAGAAAACTCTAGCTTTAGAATCAGAACTAAAGCCTGAAAATGATATGGATATTCATTCTCTGGACAAAAAGGAAGCTTTACATAAAACATCTAGGGATGACCATAAACAAAGTCCAAAAGGACAGAACATTGCAGGTGGTAGTATGATGATGTTAGAAAAGACAAATGAGGAAGATGATGGTTGTGAAACTTCCCTGTCAAGCAGTCATCCTTCAGAACTGCTTGAAGAAGCTACCTTAAATATATTATCTGCACAGTTGCTAGATGGCGGTATCTTTCATGAACAGACAGGTCAAAAGCTCTTACTAAATGAAGCAGTAGCCCGAGGCATTGTGCCCAGTCACACTGCTGTGAAACTTATGGGAAAGCTGAACATGTTTCGGGGCTTCTTTGACTCTCAGACATGTGAGTCTTTGACAACTGAAGAAGTCATTGATGAAGGTCTGATGGATGAGAAATTATTACATAATGTCCTTATGGCAGACAAAGCTATAAGTGGTGTTTTAGACCCCCGAACCCACACACTCTGCTCTGTGAAGGAAGCAGTTGCAGTTGGACTTCTTGACACACAGACAGCCACCAGAATTTTAGAGGGGCAGGTGGTGACTGGTGGAATTGTTGACCTGAAGCGAGGTAAAAAAGTTTCTGTAACTTTGGCCTCAAATCTTGGCTTGGTAGATAGTGCTGACCAGACAGAACTTATAAATCTGGAGAAAGCTTCCAAAGGCAGAGATGCTGAAAAAACAGTTATGGAGAGATTAATTAGCTTACAAATGGAAACAACTGGAATTATGGACCCTGATAGCAAAGCCCCTTTAACAATTGTGGAGTCTATTGACAGAGGACTTTTGGAGAGAGAAGAGGCTGTTCGGTTGTTGACTAAGCAGGTAGTGGATGGAGGTATCATTCACCATATATCTGGGATGAGACTTTCTGTTGATAATGCCTTTAAACATGGTATCATTGATGAAGATTTAGCCAAGCAACTCAAAAAAGTTGAGAGCTTAAGCCTCCATCAGTTTTTTCATCCTGAAACAAAGGAAACTATTTCCCTCCTTGAAGCCATAAATTTAGATCTTGTTACCCCAGACTTGAAAAGAGAAATCCAAGAAATTCAGGCCTTGACTGGAAGCTTTGTAGATCTCATTTCTAGCCAGAGATTGACCTTGGCAGAAGCTAAAAAAGAAGGACTGTTAACTAATAAAGCAATATTGTCTTCGGGAATGATGCATGGGATTGTGGATCCTGAGAATTACAGAATTGTTCCCTATTCAGAATTAATAAAGAAATGTAAGATTGATATTGATTCTGGACAGAGATATCTAGAAGTAATTCCCTTCTCAGACATTAAAGATGGAGTAAGTGACAAAGTACTTACATTGTCTCAAGCAACTCAGCTTGGGAAAGTAGAGTTTGCATATACACTGAAGGTTCTGGAAGCTCAGGCAAATACTGGGGGAATCATAGATCCTGCCACAGGAAAAAGACTGACATTGGCATCAGCTTTGGAACAGAAATTAGTGGATGAAAATATGGTCAGAATTATTGCATCTCATCAGGTGTTAAATGGAGGAATTGTTGACATATTTAATGATCAGAGAGTGACTTTAAAGGAAGCAATTGAGCAAGGATTTATCAGCCCTGAACTAGCAACTATGATCCAAATAGATACTTTAGAGTCCAGTGATCATTGGGCTCAGACTGAAAAGCAAGATGGAATTGAAGCATGTGAATTAAAGAGGGAATTTCTCAGAAAGGAAATGTTAATTGCTTGTACTCAGACTGCTGGAATGAGTTGTGGTAAAGGTGAAAGTGAGAAATTGTTTAAAATTCAAAGTCAGTCTGCACAAGAAAAGGTTAAAATAAGGGTTTCTGATGGGGAGCAGGCAAAAATGAGCAGGGAAATTTCGTTATCAGAATTGGAGTGCAAGGATCAAGATAAGAGGAGAGCTTCTCCAAATGCTGAAGAATCTGTCAGTTTCATAATTCCTAGTGATCGTAAGGGTAAATCATTGGGCCAAGTTTCAGTGACACACCCTCACTCAGAAGATAGTGATTTTAATCTCAAAGAGGTGGCTAGCAATAACATGGAAAAAAATACAAATGAAGAGCAGGAAAAAATAGTGGCACAAGTAGAAATTATTTCTCATGTGAAACAGTCTACATCAGGTCTGGATTCTAAAGAAATAAAGGAAAACCAAGAAGAAATTATTTCAGAAGTACAAGAATCAAATTGTGTAACTTCAGGCAAATTTCTGAGTGAGCAGTTTATGCAGAAACTAATGAATACCAGGGAGAAAAGTAAGAGAGAGAAGAGGGAGATGATTGTTGAAGAAAGTGTCAGAACATACAAACCAGCAGTTCATTCAGAAGAAAAGTTGAATCAGGAAACTGCCATTAGAGAGGACCATGATTCCAATATAAAGAGTCAACCCACAGAAGTAACTGTAAGTGAAAAAGGGAAAGAAGCTGATAGAGAACTGGGATTTTCTCTTATTTGTAAAGCTGAAGACTCTTCTTCCCAAATGATACCCCAAGGAATTTCTGTAAGAAATCAAGATGCTTTAACATTCTTCAGTTCTAATCAAGTCAGTGAAAAAGTCAAAAATTTGAGCCTCAGCTTGACTTTAAAAGCAGAAGAAAATTTATCTCAAGACATTACTGGTGGGACCCAGAGTGAGCCATTATCTTCTATGACCCCAAGACCTGAAGGATTGCACTACCAGGAATCAGTTGGAAAAGCCCAAGTTACAGACATATCTCAAATTTCCAAAACAGACAAATCTTTCCAAGGAACCACTAGGCAGGAGACCAACTATTATCAAGATTCCTGTGTTACCTTTAAGACTGAGGAAACCAAAGATCTGAGTTGCTCATCTGATGAGTACAAAGAAAAGATGTACCAAGAAGTACCTTTTAATTCAAGAAGATTCTTTAAATTGGAAGAAACTACAGTTTCTGGAGTAGACCCCAAAGAAGTGCATTTTGTGGAATTCTCAGACAGAAAGGACCTTCATCATCAGGACAGCAAAAATGATAGTGAACTTTGTGGAATTCTCGAATCTAAAATAGTAACAACTCAGGAAATAACTGGAGAGAAATTTCCAGAAATGTCAAACCCTATCATTACAGGTGCAGAAGCAGGGTCCTTTAAAGGCATAGTGACTCAGGGAGTTCCCAGAGTCTTGGTGTCTCTTCTTCCAGAGAAAGTGTTCAAAGATGGGTCTCAAAAAGAGAATACAGGGCAACAGGATGCCACCATCATTCCCGCTCTTCCACAGACCAGTGAAGAAAAGACAGTGCCTCTCATACACCCTACAGTGAAGATGGATGAGAAGACGCCACAGGAAGAGCTCAGAGAAACCCCTGGTAGTGAACAGACTCCCTTTGTGACTGCACCCAGGGAAAAGGGAAGTGAAGGTGTAAACCTGGAGCCCTGCAGAGCAACTAAAGTAAGTTTCCCAGTGGCATGTAAGTGTATAGTTTTAGATATAGCTAGTTTAATGCTAAAACTCTTGACTGGATACTGAGTTTAGTTATGTATTATTGGATGCATACATATATTTCAGGGCACGAGATGGTTCTTTAGGTATAACTTAGTTTATCATCATCTGTTTGTAACATAGTTGTTGGGAAATTAGGCAATGACTGAACGTCTTTCTGATATTTGCAGGGGTTTCAAGTTAGAAAGTAAAACATTGGAGCTAATTTGAAATACTGGGGTGATGCTATGTGAAGTCAGAGTAGCTTTTGGAAGTTTTATTGAAATTATGCTTATAGATTGATAATTGTGAGCTTCTTCTCCTTGAGGAAGTTAATAAAATCATTCTTTTGTCTATTGATTTGATACAACATAGACAAAATAACATGTTTTATTTCATCCCACCCTATGTGTAGTAAAAATTTCTACTTGTCTATCAGTAAGACCCAGCCTGCTTTACAAAGCAGACTTAAAGGAGAATGTGAGATCTGAGTGAGTTTTCTTTTCGGCTCCACAGAATGTATTTAACCGACGACTCTGTCTAGAACATGATGAGAAACTGGTATCCTATCTGTCTCTATTACGAGACATTGAAATGAGGACCAAACAGATTCAGCCTCTGGAGCTAGACTTGGCAGAGCTACGGGATCTGCTATGTCAGGCTAAGGTAAGTTTCCAGAGACTTCCTCCAGGCCTACCAGCTTGGAGGAAATAGAGACTATTCAGGAAGAAAAACGTGTTCAAAAACACCACCATTTAAAGGACAAAAAATAGACTGAAAAAGTGCAACTGGAGATCTCTGAAGAACACAGGAAATACTGGTCTCGCAGAAACCAAAGCAGAAGAGACTCAAGAGAAGAGTAGTCAGCAACATTAAATACTGGAGAGGGACTGAGTACAATGAGGACTAAAAGGGTGATTTAGCACCTGATAGTCATTGATGACCTTGATAAGGAATAGTTTTAGTGGAGTGTTGGGATGTAAACTAGGTTGCAGTAAGAATAAACAGAAGCTTGGAAGGTGGGGACAATTAATATAGATCATTCTTTCCAGAAGCTTGGTAATGCAGTCAAGGAAAGAGGTAGGACACCAGCTAAAGGAGATGAACTGAAATTACTGAAACAGGTTTACCAGTTCTCTCAATGGCCAGAGTATGGCCTTGGGTAGGGTGGCTGAAGGGGCAGTGAAGATGATGCCCAGAAGAACTACCAAGCTTTTCCATGGCTTATTTCTGGCTTCTATGCTGAGAAACAGAATATTGTAGAATAGATGAATGGGAAGGCTGGCTTAGGGTGTTTTTAGTTCCTTGGTCCTGCCCCCTTGGAATTTGGAGTGAAAGAGTCATCCTTTCAATTGGCTTAGTCTGTATAACCTTATATAAGGCATAATGACACTCTTGGAAAGGGAGCAAGTTGTCGTGGAAGGAGCACTGTACCAAGTCAACCTGAGTCCAAGTCCTGGCTCTATTGCTTACCAGCTGGGTGACCTCGAACAAAAAAACTTGACATTTTTAAGTTCTGAGGCATCTCTTTTATAAATCCAGAATAATAGTATCTACTCTGCTTACCTCAAGAATTAGTACTTGTGAGAACCAAATAAACTAATTGAATGTGTATGAAACCATTTTATAGGCCCTAAAGCCTGTATAGGCCTAAGGTGAGAGAAAAATGTGTTCACAGCTGATTCCTAGACAGCAAGATTCTAGTCTTGATTTTGGAGGTAACTCCACTTTATCCCCTCAGATTTTAGACAAGGAGCTAAAAGATCTGTCCACCTTGGTAAGTCAGGAATTGGAGTGTGTGAATCAGATTATTGTCAGCCAGCCTCAAGAAGTCCCTGCTCAACTGTTGAAGGCACTAGAGAAAGATGCCAAGAATCTTCAAAAGTCCCTCAGCTCAGTGACTGACACCTGGAGTTCCAGACTCCTCCACCTCCAGAGTGCTGTGGAAGTAAAAAAGGTAGCTTCTTGTCCCAAAGGTTCACAAAGTCAGGGCAGGCTTGGAGATTTTTGTAATCTAATTTGCCATTTATTTCTTAGACTAAAGTGTTAACTCAGCACGAACAGCTAGAAGGCAAACTTCAAGATCTGAGAGCCTGGGTTGGCAATACCAACCTTATTCTGAACAGCAAGGAATATAACAGTGAAATAGATGCTGAGAGCCTGAGTCACTGTCTGCAACAGTATGAGGTAAACTCTGCACCCATTCTCAAACATGTTTTATTTGTCCTTTAAGATGTATCAATTTTATTCTTCTGCTAGGCAAACCAGTATCTGTACTTACCTTTCTTAGAAAGTCTGATTCTCCATTTCAGTAATAAAGTCAGCTATGTTTATTTTTTTGGTTTCCGTACCCCTGGAGCTTCAGTGATTATGATTATTTCTCCTTTTCGCTGTCTCTGAGAGAGAGTCTACAGAATGGCCTCTGATTAGCAACTTCATCTCCTCTTTGTAACTGAGCATCTAGTATCCGTCCTTTGTTTCTGTTTTGCCCAAGATCTAATCCTATGTACACACACCTATTTCAGGAAAATTTTTCCTTTTTTTAAGATTTTACTTTTTATTTTTCCTTCTTCTACCCAAAGCCCGCCAGTACATAGTTGTGTATTTTAGTTGTGGGTCCTTCTAGTTGTGGCATGTGGGATGCTGCCTCAGCATGGCCTGATGAGCAGTGCCATGCCCGCACCCAGGATCCGAACCAGTGAAACCCCAGGCCACCGAAGTGGAGCACAGGAACTTAACCACTTGGCCACAGGGCTGGCCCCTCAGGAAAATTTTTGATCAATGATCTAGAGCATAGGTGGGCAAACTTTCTGTAAAGGGCCGGAAAGTAAATACTTTAGGCCTTACAGGTCATATGGCAAATGGCCCATTTCTGTGGCAACCACTCAGCTCTGCCATTGAAACATGAAAGCAGCCATAGACAATATGTAAATGAGTGATTGTGGATGTGATACAATGAAACTTTATTTACAAAAACAGATGGTAGGCAAATTTGGGTCTGGGGCTGTAGATTGCCAATCCCTGATCCAGAGAGATGCTTTTCTTCTTGTTAAGCCCCAAATTAATTGATTCTGTTTATAAATCAGTGAGAGAAGGGTAAAGACTCAGATACATATGAGCCAGATGGTTTTTCTCCCAAGCATTGTTCTTTTTTGTTGTTGTACTTAAGATAATATCAGATGTTACTTACACTGGTTTGTCTGCCTTCTGCTATAGATACCCCTCTCCTTAAATTCTTTTCAAGGTAGAGCAGAACTAGAGGTGTCCCCTGCTGTTCCATCTTCTCCCTTTTCCTCAGCCTTAAGAGGAGACAGAGGTTCATCTATGGTCGGGCTCCTTGTATACAATCTCATTTCTCTTTATCTTGCAAGAGTTGGCGTGCCTTCTTCTTTCATACCCTTTTATACAAAGATATCATTGGGTGAGTGAATGGCAGAATTTACCCATTCACTGACAGGGTATTACAAAGAAACAAGGGTGAAAGATTGCTATAACATAGCGTGAGATAGAAAAACAAAGCACCTCATGCATTGGTTTCCTCCCTAGTTGTAACTTATGTGCATTCTCTTATGGAAAGAGAGCCACAGTCTAAGCCTTGGTTTCCTAGTGAGTTTCCCATATCCATGTGTTCACAGTTCAAGGAAGCAGAGTCTTACGATAAATATCCAAGCAGCTCTCCTAGCCTGCTTTGCAGGATTGCTGAGTACTCTTGATAGAGATATGGATATCTTAATTGTTTTTATTGAGTCTAGTATAACATGGCTGGTAATCACTAAATGTTTGTGGGAAAACTGCATGCTTTTAATTGCCTGAAAACAGATAATTCTAGTATTTAGGCTGTTTTTACATAAGCTTTAAGGGAGCAATGTAACTTTTATGTAAGAAAGTCTGACTGTAATCCTTTACAGTTTTAAAATATATGAGCAACATTATTTGCTCTAAAAATTAGACTGTAGTGAACCACAAATAAATTGAATATTTTCTCACTTTTGGCCTACCAGTAACTCACTGCCAGACAAATAGAAATAGGTGTTTGAACTTCAGAAAATACAATTAGAGGGGCCAGCCTGGTGGCGTAGTGGTTAAGTTCATGTGCTCTGCTTCAGCGGCCCAGGATTTGCAGGTTCAGATCCTGCATGTGAACCTAGCGCTGCTCGTTAAGCCACTCTGTGGTGGCATCCCACATAAAATAGAGGAAGATTGGCACAGATGTTAGCTCAGGACAAATCTTCCTCACAAAAAAAAAGTAAAAGAAAAAGAAAATGCAATTAGATATATCTCAGACCAGAAATTCATGTTAAACTTTCCAAAACTTAAAAAAAAATTTTTTTTAACAAATATGTGAGATTAGCAGCAGTGTAATTCTGCTAACATAGATAGTGCTTGCTGCATTTGGAAATCAAGGCCTAGTAAAGGAAACCTAATTCTAATTTATGAGGAGTTTGGAGAGAGCAGAAGTGAGAGAGACTTCCAGTGCTAGTATGGCCCTAGAAATTATCAGTGTCTAATATAAAAATTGACACAAAATTAACCTCTCTTTGATTATGTTGATTCTTTGATTAGAACCAATAACTTTTGCTTCGATAGAGATTTAGAAGTTTCTTTTTTTTTCCTTTCCCGACTTACCTTAGGATTTGAAACAGCCCATGGCTGAAAGGAAATCTCAGCTGGATGCTCTTGGCTTTGATATTCAGTTCTTTATCTCTGAGCATGCCCAGGACTTGTCCCCTCAGCAGAACCGGCAGATGCTGAGGCTTCTGAATGAACTGCAGAGGGCCTTCCAGGGCCTTGTGGAGCAGACCGCGGCTCAAATGGATGCCTTGCAGGGCCGTCTTCAACAAGTGGAGCAGGCAGCCCGGGTCAAGGTCAGACTGAACCAGCAGCTGGGCGCAGTTTGTCTTTGAGATGTCCTCTGTCTTTGGGTTTTCTGGCCAAACTCCATCTATTCATGACTCCAGGAAGCTGCTGTTGCCACTTTGGAAATTTCATGTCATTCAGACCCGTTTGGTTCTGGTCCAGGAGGCAGCTGTTCTGCCTGATTTTCTTGCCATGTTTTTGATTTTATGTGTGTGTGAGAGAGAATATGTGTGTTTAGGTGTGTATGCATGTATGAGTACTTTCTTTTTAGTGAGACTCTACCCTCACTGTCTCACCATCTCTGACTTTCAAATCACATCCCTGGCCCTTTTTTCTCCTACTTTCTCCGTCAGCATTCTTTTGAGGACTGTTAGAAATATTTAGGTACTCTGAACTTTTGAGAAGAATAGTTCTGATACCAGTTTTATTCTGGGACTTTTCAAATGATTAACAAGAAGATTCCTTGACAACCTTCAAACAGCTCTACAAGGAAATTTTTATGAGAATCATATTAATTTTTTAGCACCTTTTAAATTATTGTTTCCTAGCACCTTTCTTTACACTGTAGTGCCCAGTGCTTATTCAATGATGGAAAATAGTGTGCAGAAGCAGGGGTGACAGATTTTGAAAAAAAACCAAGCAGTCCTACCACCTTCCATCACAGCCCTCTTCTTGCAAAACTCAACATAATTGCATCAGTGGTAACATTGTATCCTTAGAATACCAAGAATGATGCTTATGCCATTTCTGCTGTTTGAATAATAAGTTGGAATTAAGCAAGATGATATTAGAATTGTCATTATCATCAGCATATCTGTCTCAGAGTCTCCTTTATTAAATATTGTGCAAAGTAGAATTGAGCTTTTGGGTCAGGCTTAAAGGAAATTAGATTAGTCAATTCCATATGTCCCCTATTACTACTTAGCTGTTTCCACTGTATTGAAATTGAAATAAAATACTAATGAAACACTTTAGTTACCTTCTAAATGTGAAAATTTATAATGTCCTCACTTGGGAATTTGTATAGTGTAGTGTAACCTGGAGATAATTAATGAAATAGCGCTGACCTGAGCCACCCTATGACATGGCCCAGATCCAGGGTAGGCCCCTGAGCTGCAGCAGGTGGTAGCACTGCATGTGATCATTCTCTCTGAACGTGTAATTAATTCCACAATGTTTATTAACCTCATTATTGTCAGAAATGCTCTGCTTCTCTCTATATTTGCCCTGAACGCACGTGTATGTCTGTGTGTTAACTTGTTTGCTTTGCTTTTTTCAGATTCAGTCTGCACCCATCCTAACCCATGAAGATCCCGTTTTACAGCTGAAGAGCTCTTAGGAGTTCTCTTCCAGAGCCCTTCTGTTTGTCATAAAGAGGGGGAGAGGGGGCCAGTTTGGGCACCTGTTTGTAAGTGCAGGTGACTAAAATGCTATCAGAAGGGAGAAACTGGTGAAAATGGTTTTAGAAGGATGGTCAGGAGAACACATCATGCTCAATTGCTCAATCAGGTGCTTCAGTGTCATGCAACTGAGATGAGATCTGGAGAAAGGATCAGGCACAGATGCATATTCCCTCCCTCCCCTTGGGCCTGGTGTTTCTCTTTGATGTCCTAGTAGACACCTGAAGGACTGAGCCAGTTGCTATTCTTGGCAATTTCTTCTCAAAATAGTCAAGCCTCTCCTGCCTGGCATGTAATCATTCCATTTAATGGGGTGTCTGCATTTGTGAGACATTTGATTTATAAAGCCACTTCAATTATTAAGAAGTTCAATTAGCATATGAATTATCCAGTTTCTTGATTTTTCCTCTTAGTCCAATCTTTCTAATTTTCCATATTTTGACTTAATATGTGGCGTTCCCCTGGTTCTGGTAGAAGAACTGATCAGAACTACTAATTTATTATCATCTATGGATTTCAAGGATCTAGGCTCTCTGTTCTCCATTTCGAAGGATAATGATAGCAGTCTGGCAAAGGAGCCCCCAAACCAAAACCTGGGAGCATTCTTTCCTGAAATTACCCCTGATTATAATCTAGACCATAGATGCAGATCAATAGACTGTCCAAATGAGGGGAGTTTTCTGAATATGATTTCTGTGCTTTTTCCTGTTCCAGTCTCCCACCAACTTTTCCATCCTTGAGATATAATCTTCCTGTTTTACATTTCAGGGAGTTATCTTGTATTTGTAAAATGAGAATTATTTATTGTCTCTTGGCCCCTTTTCATTTTAATTAGACCCTGCAGAAACAACAAAATACCTGTCACCAGAAATTAGAGGATCTTTGCAGCTGGCTAGGACAGGCAGAAAGAGCATTGGTGGGCCACCAAAGTAGAGCCACCCAGCAGGATCTCTCTGCTTTGCAGAAGAACCAAAGTGACTTGAAGGTCAGTCCCTTTTTTTATCCCTTTAACAAGTATTTATAAAGGGTGGCCATGTGCCAGGCACAGTGCTTAGTGCTAGCAACATAACGATAAACAGACATCATCCCTGTTTTCATAAAGCTTACAGATAGATATTACACAAATAATCAAAAAATGAACATATAATTATTAAATGTTATATCTGTAAAGGAAAATTTACATAAGAGCATATAGCAGAGACCTAATCTAGTCTAGGATGTTAGAAAAGATTACCTTGAAGAAGTATCACTTAAATTGAGAAATGAAGGGTAGGTAGGAGTTAATGCATGAAGGGGTAGGAGGAGGAAAAGAATACACCAGGTAGAGGCCTATGCATCATCTTGAGGTAGGAATGGGATCGAGCACAACATGGTCAAGAGCTAAAACAAAGCTAGTTCAGGTGGACTGCAAAGAACAAAAGGAAGACTAGTGAATGACGAAGCTCGAGAGTAGGGGACGCACCTCATGCTGGGCCTTGTAGGCTACATTAAAGAGAAGGAGTGATAACCAAGAGAGCATAAAGGATCAACCAGGCCTCGGCTCAGCTAGAATCTTATCAACTCTTCTTTAGAGAAAAATGATCTCTTTGAGGATAACTCATTGCAAAATAAAAATCTCTGCTGTTCAGCATGTTTATGGGCAGTCTCTTCTTTTGTCATCACTAAATATGTGTTTAGACAATTAAATATTAGAAAATTTCTTAATTAAAAATATTTTAAAATTTGTTATTTGCGTTGATTTGGGCCTAAACCTTAAGCAAATTATAGTGAGGGACATACTTCTGTTGCAGATGTGTCATCCTAGCCATTGCATCTTCTTACTGTTTGTTAGAGGTCTTAGAAGTTCTAAAGTTGAAGGCTCTGCCATCCTGTTTTCATGTGTTAAGGATTTACAGGACGACATTCAGAATCATGCCACCTCATTTGCCAGTATTGTCAAAGACGTTGAAGGGTTCCTGGAAGAGAACCAGACCAAGCTAAGCCCCCATGAGTTGACAGCTCTTCGGGAAAAGCTTCATCAGGCCAAGCAGCAATATGAGGCTCTCCAGGAACAGATGCGGGTGGCCCAGAAGGAGCTGGAGGAAGTAGTGACCTCAGCCTTACAGCAGGAGACTGAGAAGGTAACCAGAGTGCTTTGATACTTGGTATATTTCAAAAACGAAAATTTTGGTACCCACACAAACAAAAGGTAATGAGGGGGAACTTCCTTACAAAGGGCATAAAATCATGAAAAAGAGCTACTTCAGGAGCTTGTCTGTGAGTCAATATCTATTTTTGCAAGAAATATCCAGAAAGACTTTAAGTCAGGAATACTTGGTAGACAGTTCATATGACCAAAAAAAGAAAAAGAAAAAGTCTTGCTATATGTGTACTCAGTACTCTGACTAATTGAAAAACGTTAGAAAGAACTTAGTGAGGAAGATAGTACCCCGGGGAGGAAAAAGCAAGGTGGTGTATTTCTAACATGAATCTGGACTGGTGATCCAAGAGTATTAGGGGAAAATATCTGGGGAGTCTTAGTGGGCTACAAGATATCCCCAAGCTGCCACTGTCATTTCAGTAGGAATCTTGGCACTGGGGTAAACCAGAAAAGATAAAGCCTCAAATGGTTGTCTGCACCCCACTCAGTACTGGCATATTGAATTAGAATCCTTTTTCTGGCTATGGACTCTGATGGGAATGAGGAAGATGGAGAAAGTGGAAAAGAGAAAAAGTTACCTGAAGATGAATCCTGAAATACATGAATGTATCACTTGGCATAATCTGTTTCATTAATTTAAATACTTAAAGAGTCAGAAAAATAGAATTTGGGAGGCAACTCAATGCTTTGTTTGGCAGAGAAAAGGATGGACGAAGTCTGCATTTCCCTTAGGGAAGATCAGCCAGGTAATCGAGTGTGACTGTGCTGTCTCTTACTCTACCAAGCCAGTACATCACTTCTGCACGCCTAGAAAGGATTCTGAGAAGCCTGGCAAGGGTGGCAGGATTAAATCATCTCTTAATAAAGCCCTTTTAAATCCTGGGATTTGCCTCCCTATTCTTTTTTTTTTAAAGCGGTGAGATGTAGACGGAATCTAGAGTGTTTTAAATAATTACTTTTCAACAGATTTAGAAGATGCTGCTTCTTTTTTGTGAGTGCAAAGACTGTTTATACTCAATCTTAGAGCTTCTCTTTTTGGTTAGCATAAAAATCTCCCGCTTTTACTTAACCTGTGGTTGTAGAGCTGAGTGTCTAAGACTTTCTCACTCAACTCCCTCTGTGGGTTTCAGAGTAAAGCAGCAAAGGAACTGGCCGAGAACAGGAGTAAGATAGATGCTCTCTTGGAATGGGTGACTTCAGTGGGATCATCTGGTGGACAGATGGAGCGGCCCTCAGGAGCTAGCCTGGAGAAAAGAGCCTTGGATACCACTGATGGCCACATAGGGATGAACCAAGCCCCAGAGAAACTGGACAAGCAATGTGAGAAGATGAAGGTGAGGATGTTAGCTTGTCCTCACTCCGCTGGGGGAATCTCTTCTGCCCTGGGCAAGTCACCATAACCTCCTTTGCCCTAAATGCAGTGAGCACTTCTCAGTTCGTATCTTCTTTGATATCTCAGCAGCTTTGACATTGTTGGCTACTCCCCTGGGAGTACTTTCTCCCTTAATTTCCGTAGCACTACTCTGCTGGATAATCCTGCTTCCTTTCCTCTGGCCAGTTTTTGAAATACTGATGTGCTTCCGGGTTGTAGCCTAGGCCTCTTCTCATCTTTCAGAACATGCTTTCCTTGGGTAATCTAATCTATTCACAACACTTCAGTTATCATTTGTATTAGTGAATTCCGTGCATATATTTGTCTCCAGCCCAAATGCCTATCCTAAGCTTCAAGCCAGTATATAAATCCATCTACCTGTTTGCAACTTGGAACTATAAGCCCACCTCAACCTGAAAAATGGAATTCATATTTCCTATAATACCCTCTCCCAGTCAAACATATTCTCCTTCCTATCTTCCCACTTAATTACCTGAACTAGACACCATCCTAGATTCCTTTCCATCCCTCCCTCTCCCATATAGAATCAATTATTAAATCCCATGCTTCTTCTTTTTCTTTTTTTTTTTTTTCTTTTTCTGCTTTATCTCCCCAAACCCCACCCTGTACACAGTTGTATATCTTAGTTGCAGGTCCTTCTAGTTGTGGGATGTGGGATTCCGCCTCAACGTGGCCTGACGAGTGGTGCCATGTCTGTGCCCAGGATCCAAACCCTGGGCCGCCGCAGCGGAGCGCATGAACTTAACCACTCGGCCACAGAACCGGCCCCCCCATGCATCTTATGTCTTGCAATGTCATCCACACTTCTTTATCTCCATGGAGATAGTATTATAGTTTAGACTACTATCAGCTTTCACTTCTGTTATTATGATAGCTTTTACTGGTCTCCTTGCCTTTTCGCTTTTACCCTCCAATCCGTTTTCCACACTACTAAGTGATTTTTCTAAAATGCTATATCCCTACTTAGCCCTTTTAATGGTTCCTTATTGCCTCAAGAAACCATTTCTTACTATTTATCTCTATTCGTTTATTCATTCATTCAGCAGATATTGAGCACCTGCTATATGACAGACATTAGAGACAAACCAGATAAACCATGTCCTAGTACATTAACTGGCATGTGCAGGCACATTATATTACATGTTTGAAAGATGATTATATATTTGAGGAACTTAGAAAACACATGGGTCACGTATTTTAGTATTGATACCTTTATAGCAAAGAAAACTTGGTCTAGCTGGAATGCTTCTGTTGAATGCACTATGTGGTCCATTGACTTATTTTATATTAATAGGATTTCTGCCTCTTGCATGCTATTGTGGTGTATCCCCCCAAAGCCATGGCAGAGAACAGAGATTGTTCTGCTGTCACAGGGAGCTTCCTGATACTTCTTGCTGGTAGCTGTCAGCTGACCAGGGAACATCTCCATTCTAGGAAGGAAACTGCCTTCCTCATGGGTGGGCAAGAATGGGGACATCTGGCTGGTGTACAGACAAGCCATAGTACTGCCCCCTACTATCTATTTGAGCAGGATATGTTTGTCACCCCAGCTTTCCTGAGATGCCATTGGCACCTGAAGCTATCAGGTTGCTGTTGAAACTGGACAATATTCTGGAGAAAAATAGGCTGTTGTCCTTCTTTAGGTAGTTGCATAAACAGTATAGATAGTCAAGAACTCTGACTGAACTCTCACTATCTTCTATTAGACTCAGGAAGAACATTTTTAAAAACAAAACAACCACTTCTGTCCTTAAAAAAACTTATATTCCATTGGAATAGAAAAAAGGTCCACATGTAAGCACATAGACATAGCACGTACAAATAAAAAGTAAAAATTACCTATACTATTTGGAAATACAGCTTACTCACACTAATATACAAATTGTTTATTTAACAAATTAATTTTCCTTGATCTTTCCTAGTAGGGACAGTATTCATGGATATGTGAATGACATATTTCACAGCTAAATATTTGCAATTTTTATATTGTCACATGTATGGCTTAGCCAGCTTACTCTCCCCTTCCATTAATGTGCGTAGTTATTAGTTGGCCATTTTTACCTTCTCTTAGGCTTAGGGTGGTTTAGTGAAGAGAGTCAGGTTCTAGGTACAGTTCATTCCTTAACTGTCTGCATGACCTTAGTCAAGACATATAACTTCTCTTTGGTATTCATTTGTCCCATCTTTAGTATGGATGTTATTGTCTGCCTACATTGCAGATTGTGCCACAAATCAGATGAGATAATACGTGTAAAATCTCTTTGAAAACTGTAAGATTCTATATGTGTCAGTGCAGCTGGGATTGGCATATGGTATAATGCTTAGAGAGAGAGATTGGTGATTTCTGAGCAGCTGGAAAAGTAGCCTCTTGAGATCTCTCTCTGTGTAGACATAACTAAATTACTCTGGTGTCCCTACTGATTATCCTTTGTTTGGGGGGATTTCTTTGCCAGGCACGTCACCAAGAATTGCTGTCTCAGCAGCAGAATTTCATCCTGGCCACTCAGTCAGCTCAGGCCTTTCTGGACCAGCAAGGCCACAATCTCAAACCTGAGGATCAGCAGGTGCTGCAAGAGAAGCTAGGAGAGCTAAAAGAACAGTATGCAGCTTCCCTGGCCCAGGCAGAGGCAAAGCTGAAGCGGGTGCAGACACTACGGGATGAGCTGCAGAAGTTCCTGCAGGATCATGGAGAGTTTGAAAACTGGCTGGAACGGTCTGAAAAAGAGCTGGAGAACATGCACAAGGGAGTCAGCAGCCCCGAAGCCCTTCCTTCCCTGCTAAAGCGCCAGGGGAGCTTTTCAGAGGATGTAATTTCCCACAAAGGAGACTTGAGATTTGTGACTATCTCAGGACAGAAAGTCTTGGACACAGAAAACAGCTTTGAGGAAGGCAGAGAACTATCAGCAACTGGTACCTTAGTGAAGGACAAGCTGAAGGATGCAACAGAAAGATATACTGCTCTCCATTCAAAGGTGCGGGAGAGCTTCCTGGCAGCCCTTGCACGTCTGTGGGTGGTTTCTGGGGCTTAGAATACGAACCTCAGGACACAGTGAGCAAGCTGATTTGTATATTGACCACAGACAGAATGTCTTTATGATCTCCTCAGAAATGCAAAATGTGTAGGCCGGTGGCTAATGCTTGATCTGAGCAATATCAAGAGTATGTCTCACTCCTGTGGTGAAGGAGTGGAGGTGCTCGCCTCCCTGTATCCTGACCAGCAGACGTGGGCTCCCAAGAGACATAGCACGGGGGAAACCAAGTACCCAGACTTGATTCCTGGACAGAGCATCTAGGGTAAATCCTTAGCTTGCTCCCTATCAAAGAGTCCCTTTTAGCTCCCAAGGTGTAAAATCCAGTCAGTTCTTCTTACCTGTCTTGCGCTTTTTGCCAACATCCGTAACCGCCCAAAAGGAATTTTTGTACCTCTCAATCCCTACCTTTGCCTACAACCTGACATATATTTCTTTGATGGGTTGTCATACAACTCACTGAATCTTCCCGGGTATGTAATGAAAGTTGGGATGGATAGTATGTATCACACAATAAGAACCCTGCTTGTAGAAGATGGTTGCTACCCATCTATCCATGGAGGCCCAGCACCACCCTTACCTGTAGTTACAGTGAGTTCCCTGTAACAAAGCCAGACCTTTCTTTGGGCTATGCCTAGGAAGCTGCTGCCTTTGGCCTGAGCTTGCTTAAGCCTGCTTTCTTCTTTCTCTGGCACAGTGTACACGATTGGGCTCTCACCTGAACATGTTACTAGGCCAGTATCAGCAGTTCCAGAGTGGTGCCAACAGCTTGCAGACTTGGATGCAGGCTTGTGAGGCCAATGTGGAGAAGCTCCTCTCAGATACTGTTGCCTCTGACCCTGGGGTCCTGCAACAGCAGCTTGCAACGACAAAGGTAAGCCAGGACACAGCCTATTGTTGTAACGCATGGCTTAGAGTACCCTAAAGCAAAGCAAATACTCACGTAGGTTAAAGGCAAGTGGTTGGGATGCCTTGGACAAGATCCGATTCCTAAACACTTTATTCTAATATCTATAGCTGTGGATAAACAGATTTATTCTATAAAGCTGCGTAGTAGTTCTAGATTCCTAGAACCAGCTTTGATTACTTACTCAGATGTTTTTCTTTTGTCCTTTTTCATGGACAAGCAGCAGTTGCAGGAGGAATTGGCTGAGCACCAAGTACCTATAGAAAAGCTCCAAAAAGTAGCTCGTGACCTCATGGAAATTGAAGGGGAGCCAGCCCCAGACCACAAGCATGTTCAAGAAACTATAGGTATGAAACAGCAATATACCCAGAGTGCTCCCTTAGTTCCTAGCGTGTGCCTCCTTCTGTAATACATCACATTATGTGTATAACTATCTGTAGCACTAGCTGGGGACTGAGGATATAAACATGAATAGCTCACCCCCAATGAACTTATTCTTGCACCATTGAAGGCTTTCACAATCTGCCTGCGTTCCTTTTTCCCCAGGCACTCTGCCTTTTAGCCACACCCTACTTCTTTCCTTTCTCAAGTAAACTCAATGTTTCTTTACCCCTAAAGTTTTTCCTATTGCTTAGCTGCTAACATGTATTGAGTGCTTACCATCCATGATGAAATCTTGCTCGTACTTTAAGGTGTAGCTGAGAAGTTACTTCCTTTGTAAAGTCAAAACCACCACCCCCACCCCACAAAAGCAATGAAAGATCAGAAATAATCATTCTTCCTTCAGGCTTCTCTAGTACAGTACTCCTAGTACCAATATAGCACTGAGATTTTATTTTTATGGTTAGTTATGTGCCTTAGAGTCTTAAGTTTGTAGAAGGCAGAGACTTTAATTATCTTTAGTCCTGAGCATTGAGCACAATTTCTGGCACTTAAAGGTGCTAAATAAATAATGCTTATTGAATTTGCCTCAAATACTAATATACTTTAAGCTTATTCCTTCTGTTTGTCTTGATGCCTGTTATTATTATAATTAACATGTGCAACTTAAATGCATTCTTTTTAAAAGCACAGCATAAAAATTGTTTCCACTCTCTTCTCATGGCCTCGATTTTCCAGATTCCATACTGAGCCATTTCCAAAGCCTCTCTGGTAGCCTGGCTGAGCGCTCAGCTCTGCTGCAGAAGGCAATTGCCCAATCTCAGAGTGTCCAGGAAAGCCTGGATAACTTGTTGCAGTCCATCAGGGAAGTTGAAAGAAACCTGGAAGAGGAGCAGGTGCCGTCACTGTCTTCAGGAGTCATCCAAGAAGCCCTGACGACTAGCATGGTGAGACCTATGCCCCAAGAGTTAGCATAGAGGGTGTATTTGCCATGTTCCATAATTATATCATTTTGAAAAAGTATCAGGAGAAGAATTCATTTCCATGAATCTTCTAATAAGACTTAGAGATGCATGTAAAGATATTTCTACCCAAGTTCCAAACCACTGTTAAGCTTGAGGAATAGTGGTTATAGCAAAATCATTGGTGGAATGGGGTGGAGAACTAGGGGATGACTTGTATGGTATTCTGAAGGCTCAGTTGCAATCCTCCAACCCTCTTTGAGGAGGTGAGCACGTAGTTATTAGAAGTTTATTCATTTGTGGCTCAGATATCCTGAAATAAGTGAGCCAGGAGCTGACAGACATGTTCTTGATGACAGAAATTGAAGCAGGACATTGCTTGGCAAAAGAGCAGCTTGGAGGCCACCCGGGAGATGGTGACCCGATTCATGGAGACAGCAGACAGCACCACAGCTGCAGTGCTGCAGAGCAAACTGGCGGAGGTGAGCCAGCGCTTCGAACAGCTCTGTCTACAGCAGCAAGAAAAGGAGAGCTCCCTAAAGAAGCTTCTGCCCCAGGCAGAGATGTTTGAACATCTCTCTGATAAGCTGCAGCAATTCATGGAAAACAAAAGTCGGATGCTGGCCTCTGGAAATCAGCCAGATCAGGATATTGCACATTTCTTCCAGCAGATCCAGGTGAGGATCTATCTGCCAAGTTGGCAGAATAAAGCAAAAAGAAGGGCAAGGAGGGGACCAACATTTTCTGGGCACATAATATGTCAGTCAGTGTACTGGAAACTTTACCTGCATTATCTTAAAGAATTATCACAGCCATCCTATAAAGTAGATACTGTGTGTCCTTTTTTTTTTTTTTTACTTTTTTTTTATTGAGTTATTGATAGGTTACAATCTTGTGAAATTTCAGTTGACATTAATGTTTGTCAGTCATGTTGTAGGTGCACCACTTCACCCTTTGTGCCCACCCCCCACCCCACCTTTCCCCTGGTATCCACTAAACTGTTCTTGGTCCATAATTTTAAATTCCTCATATGAGTAGAGTCATACACAGATTGTCCTTCTCTCACTGTCTTATTTCACTTAACATAATTCTCTCAAGGTCCATCCATGTTATTGCAAATGGAATGATTTTGTTCTGTTTTGCAGCTGAGTAGTATTCCATTGTATATATGTACCACATCTTGTTTATCCATTCATCTGTTGCTGGACACTGTGTGTCCATATTTTAAAAACTACAGCCTAGATTTATTTTTTACTCATATACATGTTCAACCAACATCAGCAGGGGTACTCAGCTCATCCTGGTCACTCAGGGATTCAGGTTGATGGAAACTTCATCCTCACATATGCTTTCGTGATTAGTGCTGCAATGGGAAGAGGACAGTCCGTTTACATTTCATTAGTCAAAACAAATTTCACGTGACCACACCTGACTGTCAAGGGGTGGAGAAATGGAATCCTATCATATATCTTATATGTGCAGAGCTAGAAATATTTGGTGAATAGTATTACCTACTACAGATAATAGATATATCCAGGAGTGGAATTGCTGGGTCATGGTATATGCGTGTACTGAATTCGACCAAGTAGTGGCCACCTTGAGCTCTGCAGTGGCTGCACCTGCCCACATTCCCACTGTAGCTCCTCACCTGCCTGTGTCCCCACATCGCTGCCTTGGGTTTATCCATCTATCTCAGTTTTTCCATTTTAAAGTGGGATCTCATTATTTTGTTTGCTTTGCTCTCCTAACTTTTTGCTTTTTGTTTTGAATAATTTCTAACTTACAGGAAAGTTGAAGGAATGGCACAGTAAACACCAGCATAGTTTTCACAGCATAGATTCACCAATTGCTAACTGTTTTCTCTTTCTCTCTTTATAAAAATATAAAAGAGAGATAGTGTAATTATGGGCTCCCATATTCATTATCATCATTGTTGTTTTTGATATTCAAAAGTTTTCCCCAGTTTGGTCAGTGGGAGCCCCTTTACACTGTCTCTTGGTGTCTTTTTGACATGTCCCTGTCAGCATATGAGTACTCTCTTGTTTCTTGGCACAATAAGATATTTCAGGCTCACCTTGTAATTAACCTGTCCCCAACCTAAAATCAGCTATTTCTCCAAAGAGCCCCATTTTTACTAGGGAATGGTACTTAGAAACCAAAATCCGGATACTCGATGAGCTACTGTGGTATCATTGCTTCTAGGTCCTTTCAGTGGATAGGGTTAGGAAATGTATATATGTTTTTTATATCATATGTTCATACTGATAATCCAGTTCCAACTCAGTACCATAAGATTCTTGCTCTGTTCCCTGTTTGTATCTTCCTTTTCCTACAGGGACAACCCTCGTTTCTAACAACCTTAATATATTTACTTATTTACTTTATCCTACAGTAAAATAAGATCACTTTGGAATTACACTAGTTCCTACTAATAACAAACCTACTAAATAAAATTCAAGATATCTTTCCTAAGACTATAACCTGCTGTGTGCAATTCTCAAAGTTACCTGAATTAAATTTTTTTCCTGTAATTTCATATATTCATTTGTTTCTCTTTGTATTTAACTTCAAGATTTTATTTTTCTGTCTTTGTTGATTAAGTTTTATTTTTAAATATGTAAAATATTAACATAGCTCAAAAGTCAAAACTGTTCAAAAAGTTACGGTCAGGGTATAGGAAAGTGAATAAGGATATACTGTCACCCTCTTCCCTTTCTCTTCCATCCCATTCCCACCACCCCCACAGGCAGTGGATTTCAGATTTATTAATTCTATTTCGTTTTTCCAAAATAAGAACACACATTTTTATTTCCATTCTTCCTTATACAAAAAGGGAGTACATTATATAATCTTTTGCACTTTCCTTTTTCCCTTAACATGTGCTAGAAATCACTTAATATCAATTCATAGAGGTCTTCCTTTTTTTTTTTTAACCATACATTTATTGTGAGGATGAACCATAGTTTATTCAAGACTCTCATTCTAGTTGTTTCCAAATTTGTGCTATTACAGATAACACCACAGTGAATAACCTTGTGTATTTCCCCCATATTATTGAAAGTATATCTTCAGAATAAGTTCCTAGAATGGAATTGTTGCACCAAAGGGTAAATAAGTGTGTGGTTTTGTTAGATACCAAATTCCCCTCTATCAGGATTTCACCATTTTGCATTCCCTCCAGCCGTGTGAGCGCGTACCTGTTTCCCTAAAGCCTCACTCACAGAATGTATTGTCAAGTGTTTGAGTTTTTGCTAATCTGATTGATAAAACATGGTATCTTGATGCGGTTTTAATTTTTATTTCCTCTCTGAGAAAATGAGTATATTTTTATACATTTAAGAGACATTTATTTGTAAACTATTGATTCATATCTTTTGCCATTTTCTGTCAAGAGTTTGGTCTTTTTTTTCTTTCAACTTATAAGACTTCTTCTGTGTTAGGAGATTAGTTCTTTACGTGTGATATGTTGGAAATATTTTCTCAGTTTGTCCTTTGTCTTTGTTTATGGTATTTTGACCAGGTGAAAGTTTTTTTAAAAAAATTTTTACACAGTAGATTTTTTCACTCTTTTATTGAACATGTATTTTTAGTCATAGCTTGAAAGCCTTTTGCCACACCCAGGTTATGAAGGAATTCACTCACACTTTGTTCTAGGACTTATATGGTTTCATTTTTTTTACATTTGAATCTTTTAACAATTTGTTTATTCTGAAGTATGGTGTGAGGTATGAATCCAAGTTCGTCTTTTTCCAAAGGTCTGTCTAGTTGTTCCCAATATCATTTGAAAAGTCCATCTTTTCTCCAGTGATTTGAGAAGCCATCTTTATCATCTACAGAATGCCCCTATGTACTCAAGTCTGTCTCTGGATTTTCTGTTCTGTTTTGCTGGTCTGTTTATTCATGAATCATAGCATACTATTTTTAATTCTAGGGGCTTTATGGTATGTTTTACTATCTGGTAGGCTAGGCTCCTTCATTCTTTTTTTTTTCTTTCAGGATTTTTCATAGCTATAATTGTACATTTATTTTTCCATGTGAATTTTAGAATCAACTTTATTAGTCCTAGAGAAAAAAATTGGTATTTTTATTTGGGTCACATTAAATATACTTATTTATACACGCATGTATACACATATACATGCATACATATATATACACACATATCTTTATGGATGTCTTTCCATTTATTCAAGTCTACTTTTGTGTCTTTCAGAAGTGTTTTAAAGTTTTATTCATAAGGGTTTTGTATGTTTCTTGTTAGTTGATTCCTAAAATTGTACCTTTTCTGTTGCTAGTGTAAATGAAGTTTTCACTCTTGATTTTTATGTTTGTTTTGTATCATGCTACCTTATTAGATTACTTCCTCATTTGATTTAGTTTTATTGTTGAGTCTCTTGGGTTTACAAGTATACTTTGATGTGATATGCAAATATAGTTTTACCTCTTCTTTTCTAATTCTTACGCCACAAATTGTTTTCTCTTACCTAATTGCATTGGCTAATATCTTCAATATAACGTTAAATAATAGCAAAGAGAGTGTATTTGCCCCATTTTACAGAGGAGACAAACTGTGGAAACTTAGAGAAGTTTAATAGCTTAAGGTCACAAACTAGTAAGTGGCAAAGCCATGATTGAATTTCAGGTCTTTTTGACTCCAAAAACCTCCATTCTTTTCATTTTGTCATGCTGCCTCCCAAATCTTTGAACATTTGTTTAAAGGAGATGAGACTGCAATTCCTAGTCACTCTCATGTGGTTTGAAGAAATTCTATGTATTTATTGTTTTGATCTAACAGTTGACCAAGCAAGCATGCCTCTTTTCTTGTTCCCTCTTTTTCTACAGTTTAGGGAGAACTTGCCCCAGATTTAATCTAGATACCTTTCATTTTTTAGAGTATATTTATTTGTAAGGATCAGAGGATTTAATACATTTCCTTGTTTGCTTGATAGGAGCTCAATTTGGAAATGGAAGACCAACGGGAGAACCTAGATACTCTTGAGCACCTGGTCACTGACCTGAGCTCCTGTGGCTTTGCACTGGACCTATCCCAGCACCAGGACAGGGTGCACAACCTCAAAAGGGACTTCACAGAGCTACAGAAGACAGTTAAAGAAAGGTGAGTTTTCTATATGTGTTGGTCAGTGTCAGAGCTAATTTTTCTTGCTATTAGTGAAATGATTTTCTCTACCTTCCTCCTTTACCAAAAAAGATAGCATCAAGAACTCTGCTACTGAGTTGTCGGAGATTGGAAAGTGCCTCTATCAGGCAAAGCTACTCAATCTACTTGATGCTTGGTGACTTTTCTATTGTTACATAATAACGAATTCCTTCTCAGTAATGGGGCTCAGTTCTCTCTCAGTACAATCAAAAGCTCAGGTCACCTGGACCAAACAACAAATTTGGGGCAGCAAGTAGGATTGTGGCAGGATTTGAAGTAAAGAGAAAAATTGGAGGCGACTTCCCAGGCATAGTTAAGGGTTATATTGGTACTCATCCTGCTTGTTTTGACCATATTTAAGTTACTGTTTTGGAGGAGTGGCTAGATTCTTCTTTTAAGGCAAACATGGGAATATGTGACAAAGGTAGCCGATTTCAGGTTATCAGTTCACTGTTGAAAAGCTGTGATTCCCTCATTAGGAAGCCTCACATGGGTTTAAGAGCTTGATAAGACTTTTTCCCTTGATTTAGCTATAACTATAATCTTGATTTTGGTGGTCTAGTGGTTAAGATTCGATGCTCTCACCACCGTGGCCCAGATTTGTTCCCTGGTAAGGGAACCATACCACCCGTCTGTCGCTTGTTGTGCTGTGGTTGCTGCATGTTACTGTGATGCTGAAAGCTATGCCACTGTTATTTCAAATACCAGCACAGTCACCCATGGTGGACAGGTTTCAATGGAGCTTCCAGACTAGACAGACTAGGATAAAGGACCCGGCCACCCACTTCCAAAAAAACTGGCCGTGAAAACCCTATGATTAGCAGCAGAGTATTGTCTGATATAGTGCCAAAAGATGCAAGGATGGCGCAAAAGACCAGGCAGGGTTCCACTCTGCTGTACACAGGGTCACTAGGAGTCAGAATCAACTTGATGGCACTATAGCAACAAATAATCCTGATTTAGCAGATGATTGCCTCATGACTAGAGGAAAACAGTTGCTCAAATCAACACTGTAAGCAGCAGGTCATTTAGTGAAGGGGAGGGAGACAAAGGCTAAGAAGGCCTTGCTTTTCTTCTGTGCTGAGGGCGTTTAGCTGTGTGAAGAGCCGCTGTCTCTGGCTTGCAGTCTGCTGGATGTGGCCGTTTCCAACACATAATTTCAAAATTGAATTCTCCATTCTTCTTGATTGATTTATTCATTGGTGTGCTTAACCTAACTTTTCTGAGCCTCAATTTCGGCATGTTCCTTGCTAAAAGAATTATTCGGATTAGACCTTGAAAGAGTCAAGCACCCAAAAAGTAGCCGAGCTGGACTTGAGATCCAAAGCCTGCATTCTTTCCATTGTATCATAGTACCTAAATAGCAGGCTCTCTTTCGTTTTTCTCACTTTCACTTTAGCCTAGAGTAAGACTGAAGACTCCTTTCCCCAGAAATGTCCAAACAAGGGCAACAGATTCCTTAGTTTGATGCTCCCCTACATCACATGTGGTTGTTTAGCCAAAGCTGCTGTGGCGAAGATTATGGGAAGGAAAGGCCCTGTTAGGAAGCTGATGCCTGAGTCCCAGAATGAACCTAGTTCTAGTTCAAGTTTGCTTCTTTACAAAGCTTAGCCTGGCAAGTAACAAAATGTCTTTGTTGACAGAGGGGAAGATGCATCATCTTGCCAGGAACAATTAGATGAATTCCGGAAGCTGGTTAGGACCTTCCAGAAATGGCTGAAGGAAACTGAAGGGACTATTCCACCTACAGAGACTTTCATGAGTACTAAAGAGCTGGAAAAGCAGATTGAACACCTGAAGGTAGGTGAATAAAAGGATCTCCAGGAATCAGGCTAGAGATCAGTGTGTAAGTTTGTATGGACTGATCTCCAACTGTGGTAGGGAAGTGGTGTGAGAAATTCAGGTTAACCATCTGCATCAAAATAGAAATTCCTCCATTCTCTTCATGTGATTCCCACCTACCCTTACCCAAGCACTGGGCACCAAAATGTCTCATATTTAAAAACCAAAACCAAAAAAATCTGGGGCTAATATCTACAAAGTTTCAGCTGTTTCTTGGATACCTCTCATGCTATGGTGGGTCATCTGACAGTTGTCAATGGCCAGTCCTTGAGAAGCTTACACCTCATTGTATGTTTGAGATACGCCTCATAACGACGTTTCAGTCATTGACGCACCGCGTGTACAACAGTGGTCCTGTAAGATTAGTACCATACAGCCTAGGTGTGCAGTAGGCTATACCATCTAGCTTTGTGTAAGTGCACTCTATGATGTTTGCACAGTGATGAAATCACCTAATGACGCATTTCTCAGAATGTATCCCTGTCATTAAGTGACACGTGACTGTATAGGTAAGCAAGGGACAGATATACAATGAGGAAATGGAAGAGAGAAGAACGAGTGCTACAGCTAATAAAGGAAAAAATAGAATCAGATGGGTGAAAGGTACTTCAAGGGTAGGACCAACCTTTCCCCCATCCCCTGCAGAGTGCCTTCTGTCCCATCTTGGATTCATATTCATTCAGCCTCTGCTTGCACCTCTAACAGTTCTTTTTTGTTGTTGAAATCAGCTAAATCTGCCTTCAACTAACTCTTATGCATTTGTCCTTATTTTATTCATAAAACAGAATTTATCTTGAACAGATGAAAGAGATTGATTGCTTTCACAGAGAGAGTGCCAGGAGCATTTGCTGTGGGGAATTCCCTAGGGCAGAGGTTCCCCAGTTTCTTGCTTCACAGCACCCTTAGCGTTTTAGGAAATTTTTCATGGCACCTCAAGGCCAAAAAAACCAAAGTACAAAAAACACCTCACTTGCTAAGTAGTCAGGTCCAAACAACTTAACAGTAGTTGTTCACCTGGTGTCCAACAGATGTCACTGTATTTCCCTCAAAAATTTAAAATATCCTATGAGTCAATGCATACATATTTTGGAGACTATGTCTCTTTGGAATCAAAGTGATTAATAAAAAAATTGACAAGCTGTGAATCAACAAGGTCCTGTTTGAAGTTAGGCAGCATGAGCTTGCTAGATGTTAATGGCTTTGTATCTTTCTCTGCTGCTACTCTGCAACTTAAAGTCGAGAGCAAACTAAGTAGATTCTCAGGGAAATTCAGTGTGGAGGAAGGGATTGCAGGCTAGGATAGTGTCCCCGTTTTGAAAGGAGTAAAATCCTCCTGCTGTGGCAGGCAATCCACATCTTAGAGACAACATGACCTGGTACTTTTGTCTTAGAGCAGAAGCCATTGTTTCCTAATGGCTTTCTGTGGTAGGTAGAGCTCTGACTTCAAACTCAATATAAAGTTCCCTTGAGAATGCAAAGTATAGCCTCTGATTCTATGTATTTCTCAACATCTCAATATCTAGCCCCTCATTTTACTCTCTGATTATCATTTCCTTTATATTCTTTATACACATGCTGTTCCCTTTGTCCACCTGGTAAACTCTTGTCTTAACTCAAAGCTTTCTTCCCTCTGAGCAGAGTTGGATGTGTCTCCTCTTGTGCTCTCAGTTTACTGACTGTCCATATTTCTATAATAGCATTTATTGCATTATAATGCAATTGATAATTTGAGCTCTTGGTTTTAAGAACTGTATCATAATCCTATTTTGTATCCCCAGTGTTTGGCATGATGCCTGGTCTATAGTAAATTCTCAGTAAATATTTGATGAATGAATGAATGAGAAGATCCTGAATATTCCAGGATATGCTTCTCCCACACCTTGGCTGGCTAAACCAAGATCTTGAAATGGCTGAATATATGCGGATGGTCACTTAGTGCTTATCAAAACTTTAGGGAGTATATATAGACGAACAGATGTCCCTACTGATGAGGAGAAAGCCCTCAGATGTTACATTTAGCTATTTTTTTTTTTTTTTTCTATTTTGTTTTTTGAACAGGGTCTCCTAGATGACTGGGCAAGTAAGGGAACTTTGGTAGAAGAAATCAATTGCAAAGGCACTTCTTTAGAAAATCTCATCATGGAGATCACAGCACCTGATTCACAAGCCAAGACAGGTGAGTGCAGGTTCTTAAAAATATAGTGAATAAACATCATTGTTTGCTTTGGCTTTGGTGATGACCCCTTGTTTAATAAAAGTCAGAATCGAGGTTGGATATGGGAACAAAGCAGGGTCCATAAAGCAGTCTTCCCCCTCAACCTGATCTGTTTTCCCATTTGGTATATAATGTTTCATTTTGTGAAATTCCTTCCTATGATGGGCAAAAGTAAAGGGACTAGTTGGCCCACTTAGAACTGTCAAATGAACATAGAAGGATTAAAATAGGATTTCCACCTTAAGGAGTTTCTCTCTTTTAAACATATGAATGGGATGGCTACGCATCATCTTTAGATTAGGGTCAGCCCTGGAGGACATAAGCATGCTATCTTGGCAAAGGCTAGATATTTAGGAGTCAGCATTGGTGCACCAAGGACTCGCATACTTCTTGGAAGTGGATACAAAGACTGTGTCAGATTTATGGATAATCTCTGGCTGCAAATCAAGTCTTTCAAACAAAATCCATTCTGAGTTCACAGTCACTTGCTCGTTGTTCACTGGGATCTCATAGGTTTTATCACAACTATGTTAGTACACTCGTAGTCACTTAAATAGTAAGGGAAAAGTTTACTTTCTTTTTTTCTCCTGAGAATGGCAGTGGGTTTTTTTTTGTATCCTAAAGTTTAAAGATCTCTTGGAACTACCCAAAACTGACATTTCAGGGAACTGATGATCCTTATATTTCAACACATAAACCTCTAAGCTCACTGACTTATTAATGTATGACTACATCAGGAGTTGGCAAACTTTTTCTGTAAAGGGATATTTAGTAAATATTTTAGGTTTGTGAGCCATATGGTCTCTGTCAAACTACACATCTCTGCTGTTGTAGCACAAAAGCAATCACAGACAATACATAAATGAATGCGTGTGGCTGTGTTCCAGTGAAACTTTACGTACAGAAACAGGCAGAGGGGCGGATTTGGCTGGTGACTATAGTTTTCTGACTCCTGGACTAGATCAGTGGTTTTTCAAACTTTTTGAAGCAGTAGGATCTTTTTTAAAAATAAATCTCATATAAAACTCTACTATATAAAATAAATAAAAATGATATTTTGTTGGCATAAATTTCTCTTATAAGTGAATTTATAGCATTTGTCTTTTATGAAATCCAGCAGTAAGAATAGTGAGAGTATCTTAGTGAATATAAAAATTTGTAACAAGGATTTTTGGATGACGGCTTTGTCACATGATTGACTTCTCAATTTTGTTTGGTTGCATTGTATCCAGCAAATATGGTTCACACAGATAAGTAGCTGCAAATGATGACAAATGTTTTTAAAAGTTCACTTTACAATCTCAGAATACTGTTTGATTAAACTGAACTACAAGCTTGGAAGTGGTGTAATTCTTGTTTCAAAGTTAAATCACCAAGAATATTCAAGGAGGGCTCACATTCTTTTCTTAAACATAGAAAACACCTAATACTGGCATTGAAGACAAAAACTGTCTGTAACCTGATATCATCATGGTCTGAAGTGTTAAGAATTCTATTATGACACAGTTCTACCCTGGTGAGAGCCTGCTCTGAGAAGATGTCCCTCGGCCTTTTTTGTCATTTTATTTACTGTAGGACACACGTGCTAGAGAAGAGTTTTTTGTACATGAATGGACATGTGTAGGATTGAATATTGTAAAGTGCTAGTGAAGAGCTACAGCTCTTTCAGTGTCACTCAAAAAGAAGTTTAAACGTATGCACAGAAGTACAGGAGCTGCTTTATTCTCCCCCCAAAAATCAGGATAAATTGGTTATATCTAGTGGGTTAAGACGTAGTGTCCAATATAATTGAACACGCATGTTTTCTAGCCGTTTTTAAGTAGTTAGAAATATATCCTGAGTATTATTATTTAAACCAAACATTTACAGAGTCCCTAAAGCACCTCCTTAGGTGCTTTGAAAATCACTAGCCTGAGTGTTCTCTAAGTTCTCTTACAACTCTGAAAAACCATGAATATCCCAGTTCCTTGGATTCGTGTACCTCTCTTTGTCTCATGAAGTGCTTCCGCATACATTACCTCATTGCCTCTCAATAACCCCATGAGAGTCGACAGGATAGGTAGTATTATCTTCATATCCTAGAGAAGACATTGAGGTCTGTCCATAGATTAAGGCTCACATGCGGAGTTAGTGACAATCTTGGCTAGGACCTCCTCCTTCTAGTTGCTAGTCCAGTTTCCTTTTGGCCATCACCACACTGCAATGGGATATGATCTTTCTGTTTGATCCATTTTTTAATTGAAAATACAATAGCGCTAACATTTAAAAGTTTTATAACCACTCTTTTTTTTTGTTGAAGTAATATCAGGATAATCACTAGTTTTTAATACGATCTTGCACATGAGAGTTTTATCCTGTCCTTTTGGTGTAACGTTATATCATCAATATTCTTCAGATTTCTGTGTAACCTTTATAATTACGTGATCTTGTATTTTAACTTGGGACATCCTCTGAAATACAAGGAATCAGTGTCGGGGAGAAGATAGGTGAAATTGTGGTAACTAGAAACAGAACCAAAGTCTCAAAGCAGAATTTATGGGCATGTTTATGAGCCAGATTTATTAGCATTTAGAATTTTTGTCTTCTGTTTGAGGAAGGGGAGCAGAAAGTCGTAAAAGAAAAGACAAAGAATCTTCCCTTTGGAACAATATAAGAAGGGCTCATTTTAATGTCTTTATTAAAAGAATGCTGCTTTTTATGTCCTTAATTGTACTTATTGTTCATTTTTATTATGTGGAAGAACATTGATGTTAAAGTTGAACCTTTTGGCTCTGTTATAAATTCTCATTCCAAAGTGTGTCAAATATCATTCTAAAGACTTCTTCATTTTACCAATACTTGCTTCACAAAATTAGGGCAGGGTCCAAAGAATTCAAGTTGGAGATTTAAAAAGGGAATTTGAATTTTCTCTAGAAAGCATTAGGAATCGTTACTGGTAAGGAGCTGAAACACCTTGAGTGACGCTTTGTTGCCTGGCAGCTAAAATGATTTGTCTCTTTCCATGAGTATGTTGTCTTGTGCTGTGTTAACTTCCTGAAACCCGAGCTTAAAGCAAGTACCAGAGAACAAATTCAGTGCCTGTATGTATTCCTAACACGTTTGTCTTGCCCTGTTTGTCTCTCTGTCCTTTGCTCAGGTTCCATACTGCCCTCTGTAGGAAGCTCTGTAGGCAGTGTAAACGGATACCACACCTGCAAAGGTGAGAATGCCATTTCAATAGTGCCTCTTTGTTGGGTGTGTTAGGACAGCGTTCACGTTTGCATCTGTGTATGTTTCTATATGTGTGGAAGAACTGCTGCCAGGATGGGCGTGAGGGTAAAATTCTGGGGAGAAGAAACTGTGATGCCTCTTTGTTTGGTAGCTATAGGCTAAATAGGTTGGTAGCCAGTGAAATAAAGAAAGGTGCAAGGAAATACACTGGACCACTAGATAAGACCAATAAGGAAAGACCTTGAAGAAAGTATATATGAATCTTTGAATTATAAAGAAGCTATACTAGAGGTAGTCCAGTCCAGCCCTCAACCTCACAGCTGGGTGACTTGTCTGTAGTTTGGAGTAGAGGAAGCTGAAGAATGCCCCAAATCCTTCACTCCCTTCACTTCTGTTGTTCCCTTGTTTATTTAGCATTTTATTTATACATCTGAGTATTTAATACCAAAATCAGAAATCAGATTAATGAGAGCTGTTTTGCTTTGTGTGTGTAAACAGCAACTTTGATGTCATTTTGCGGGAAGATAATCTCTAGTTCTCTAGAAGGAATAAGAGATACGCTTAATCCTGATGAGTAATTTAGTAGTGAGAAACCAATTGGGATGCTTGGAGAACTATTCCCAATCTGATTTCTGTTTCTATGGTACTAGATCTGACGGAGATCCAATGTGACATGTCAGATGTAAACTTGAAATATGAGAAACTTGGAGGAATACTTCAGGAACGCCATGAAAGCCTTCAGGCTGTCCTCAGCAGAATGCAGGAAGTTCAGAAGGAGGCAAGCTCAGTGTTGCAGTGGCTGGAATCAAAAGAGGAAGTCCTGAAAGCCATGGATGCTTCATCTCCAACCAAGACAGAAACAGTGAGAGCCCAAGCTGAATCTAACAAGGTACTGTTTTTATATTACCTGCATCCCAAACACTAAGAAGAAGAGACTGTTGTACCAGAGTTTCCTGCCTGAGCCCACCGACCTGAGAGTGAGATGTGGCCAACCACCCAGGCTGTGATGAGCAGCGTGTTTGACTTCCACATGACTAATATGCCTAAACTCTCCTAGAGAATTTTCTTGCCTATGAAATTAGAAATTGTTATAAATCAGATTCAGAAACAAAGCCAGATCTGTTTGCAGAAAGAGAACAGCCCTCATCAGAAGCATCAGCTCATTGAGAATGGGATCTCGTTTTCTCTATGACACTGCAAGGCAAACCATTCTCATCAAGCACCTCTCCAACTCTGGGAGGGATCTAAAGAACTGTGATTACATTTCATTCTTAAGATTGACATGTAGGAGTAGGGAAAATTGCAGGAGAAATAAGACCATGTGGAAAATCCTATAAAAACTTTTCACCAAAGTTTTTTATATTCCAATTGACCGTAGTATGTCATCTCTTCCAACTACATAAACATCATCATCATCATCATCATCATCATCATCATCATCATCATATCTTGATACTTTTAGTTTATAGGGATTAATAGTTTTTTCTTATTGGGTTCTACTAATGTGTTGTACATAAAAGAAATTCAGATCCTGCCATCTAGAGTTACATTTTAAAGTAAAAATTGAAGCATAAAATTTTAGTATCTTAAAATTGTGAAACAAGTCATGGATAGAACAGAAGTAGAGCCTATAACTGCTACCCAGTCTTCTGCTTATTTCCTCCACACTCACAGCTTAATTTCCTGTCCAGAAATTTCATGGCATACATGATCTTCTTTGTCCTAGGCCTTTCTCACTGAATTGGAACAGAATTCTCCAAAAATCCAAAAAGTAAAAGAAGCCTTGGCTGGATTACTGATAACATATCCTAATTCACAAGAAGCAGAAAACTGGAAGAAAATGCAAGAGGAACTCAGTAAGTTATCACAGGGCTGTTGCAAATTCACTAAAGTGCTTGTCTTTAAAGCAAATACAGAATTTCAGCACATCCTATAAAGCTGAAATTATTTTCAGTTAATTTTCATAAGCAAGAGGCCAGATAGGTTAGAGATTAAACCTGATTAGGAAAAAATTTAGAGTTTCCACTCAAAGTGTCAGCAGTTTGGCTTTCTTAGGAAGTTAAACTGACAATCTGTTAAAGAGAGCATTGCTGATAAAAATGAAAAATGTGAAATAGTCTAAATATTCAATGAAAGGATTAGATAAATTATGCTGTGTTCATTATATTGAACTATAAATAATATAGATGGATATTTATTGGTATAAAAATGTATTGGCATGAAAGATATTCATAATATAGTAAGTTTAAAAACAGGCTATAAAATAATATATATAGTATAAGATATTTTACGTCCGCTTGTGTATGTGTGTATGTAGTTCTGTGCAATTTTATCCTATGTATAGTTTCATATAATCACCACCACAATCAAGATACAAAACTGTGGGCCGGCCTGGTGGTACAGCGGTTAAGTGTGCACATTCTGCTTCTCGGCCGCCCAGGTTCGCTGGTTCGGATCCCGGGTGCGGACATGGCACCGCTTGGCAAAAGCCATGCTGTGGTAGGCGTCCCACGTATAAAGTAGAGGAAGATGGGCATGGATCTTAGCTCAGGGCCAGTCTTCCTCAGCAAAAAGAGGAGGATTGGCAGTAGTTAGCTCAGGGCTAATCTTCCTCCAAAAAAAAAAAGATACAAAACTCTTTGTGTTACTTTAGTTAAAATTAAATGAAGGTTATTTTTAACTTAAAAAAATATTTCAGTAATGCTCCAGGGATCGTCTCCTGTAGCATATTAGGAACATAATTTAGGGACCAGGCCAGTGGCTCATGAGAGTAAAGGAATACGTTTTTCTCATTTCTTCTCTACAGATTCCCGATGGGAAAGGGCCACCGAGGTGACAATGGCTCGGCAAAGGCAGCTAGAGGAATCTGCAAGTCATCTGGCCTGCTTCCAGGCTGCAGAATCGCAGCTCCGGCCCTGGCTGATGGAGAAGGAACTGATGATGGGAGTGCTGGGGCCCCTGTCTATTGACCCCAACATGCTGAATGCACAAAAACAGCAGGTCCAGGTGAGCAGCACAGCTGAATGTTCACAAGCCTGGATTTGAACGCTGCTCTCAACAAGTAGATTTCATACAACCCTGGACAAGTCATTTAATCCCTCAGAGTCTGGTTTCCTCAGTTTTATGAGGTCTCTATCATAGTTCCTGTCAAATAGTAAATGGCCAATAACTGTATTATTAATATCATTAACAGAGGCAGTAAGATGAGTGGATGTGAGAATGGGAACTTCTGACTAAATTGTAGGATCCCATTTTACTTTTAATCCCCAGTTGTAGTGATCTACTTAATGCAATATCTTATATCTGCTGGCTTTACTTAAAGATCTTCTGCTGATCAAACACCCCAAAAATTGATTTACATGCCTAGCATCATAGAAATTTAGATTGGTGAAATTTTGTCACGTCCAATGAAATCCTACTAGAACCTTTTCGTGTTCTACATCTTCTCCCAAACTTGTTTCATTTCTTCTCACCATCCACCAAGTCTTGTAAGTTAAAACCAAAGAGTAGTTTTTGAAGGAACCCTTTCTTTTAGCCCCTGCATCCAATTAATTATCAAGTCCTGTTTAGTCTATTTACAAATATTTTTCTAATCCAGTGGTTTTCAAACATTTTGGTCTCAAACCCTTTTATACTCTTAAAAATGATTGAGGACCCCAAAGAGCTTGTGTTTATCTATTAATATCTATTAAAACATTGAGGAATTTTAAAAATATATAATATGTATTTATTAACTAATTTTAAAATAATAACGATAAAACTATAACATCAACATAAGTAACATTTTTATGAAAAAATAACATTTTCTTCAGCGGCCCAGAGTTTTGCCGGTTCAGATCCTGGGCGCAGACATGGCACCGCTTGTCAGGCCATGTTGAGGTGGCATCCCACATGCCACAACTAGAAGGACCCACAACTAAAATATACAACTATGTACTAGGGGGACTTGGGGAGAAAAAGCAAAAAAAAAATTAATACAAGTGGCATTGTTTTATATCTTTGCAAATCTCTTTAATGTCTGGCTTAATAGAATATTCTCATAGATTTTCATATAGCTTTTGCATTCAGTCTGTTGCTATATCAGATGTCATGTAGCCTCTGGAAAACTCCATTGAACATTCATGAGAGAAGAAGAATTTAAAAAGGCAAATAACATCTTAGTATTATTATGAAAATAGTTGTGACCTCATGGACTCCCTGAAAGGACCTAGGGATTCCCAGGGGCCCCTGGACCATAATTTGAGAACCAGTTTTCTAATCCTTCTCTTCTCTTCTTTCTAAATGCCTTAGGTAGACTTGATCTCAGGCTTATACCCCTGTTGCAACATCCTTCTAATGGACTTCTTTGTCTAGTCTATCCTCCACACAATTATCAAATCTCTGTCCTCCACACAATTATCAAATTATCTTCTTAAATCATATATCTGAATATATGAAAATGCTTCAGTGGTTCTTGGCTGGCTGTTGAACAAAGTCCAAATACCTGCTCAGTGTGGTACATGAGGCTTTTCACAATCTGGTCCCAGTTTGTCTCACCAGCCTCATTTCCAACTCTTCCCCCATATATCCAGATTTCTACCCACACCAGATAATGTGTTCTTTCCCAAACACCCCACACTCATACAGCTCTGTGCCTTTGCTAATCATAGGCCCTCACCCTGAACCAGGCGTACTCTCTGCTCTCTTGGAAAGCTCCTACATATTTTTTATTGTGTCCTCTGTGAAGCCTTTCCTGATTTCTCTCTTCTACTATTGTCATCCCCTGCAGAGTTAATCATCTTCACTCCTTGCTTTCACAGTTCTGTGTTCATATCAATGTTTTATCATTTTTACTTTTGCTACATTCTATTATTGTTCATTTTTTACACATCTGTTTTTCCTTGAGGTCATGTCTTATTTATTTTTGTATAGCATAAGTGCTGAGTACTTTCCATAAATTTTCTTATTTAATCCATACAACAGCCAAGATAAATCCTTTACTATCATCATTTTACAGATGAGGAAGCTGAGATTTGGATAACTTTTAAAAACTTGCCTAAGTTTATACAGCTAGTGAGTGATAGAGTCAGCATTTTAACCCACACAATCTGACTCCAGAGCCTGTAAGCAATCTTCTTTGTTGAGTGAAGCAGTGGATAGAAAAGAGTAAAAAGTCATGGTACTTGCTTTAAAGAAGCTCATTATCTAATTGCGCTGTATTGTAATGTACAGATTGTATGTGCTGGTGGAATTCTGAGAATGAAACTAAAAAAAACAGAGGTATTGAGAGCTGAAATGACAAGCCCAGCCGGTAATATAGCTGGCTCTGGAACCAAGGGTCCCAGACACCCAATTCAGAGGCCTGGGTTTTGCCTGGCAAAGCTGATAAGTGCCAATCCAGAAAACAAACTTTGGTTTCCCAACCAAGGCTAATCTTAGTAACTAATGTTGAAACAGTATAGGACAAAGGAGAAAAGAAAGAAAGTAGACACAATCATTGATTCTTGCAAAACAAATTTTCGTTAAGCAATTGTTAAAAGTGATACTACGTTTTCCTAGTACTCTGGTTCTTGGAGTTTTCTGATTTAGTTTCAAAAGGAATTGGCACTACTTGGCACAACCCAAAATTGGTTTTTGTTTTGACACTGTTTTTAGGTCTGTCTTTTCTCTTTAAACATCTTGGTGTCATTTCTATTACAGTTTATGCTGAAGGAATTTGAAGCACGCAGGCAACAGCATGAGCAGCTGAAAGAGGCAGCTCAGGGCATCTTAACAGGCCCTGGAGATATCTCTCCATCCACCAGCCAAGTACAGAAGGAACTCCAGAGCATCAATCAGAAGTGGATTGAGCTGACTGACAAACTTAATTCCCGTTCCAGCCAAATTGACCAAGCTATTGTCAAAAGCACTCAGTACCAGGAACTGCTCCAGGACTTATCAGAGAAGGTGAAGGCAGTTGGACAGCGACTGAGTGGCCAGTCAGCCATCAGCACCCAACCTGAGGCTGTGAAGCAGCAATTGGAGGAGACCAGTGAGATTCGATCTGATGTGGAACAATTGGACCACGAGATTAACGAGGCGCAGACACTCTGCGATGAACTTTCAGTGCTCATTGGTGAGCAGTACCTCAAGGATGAACTGAAGAAGCGTTTGGAGACAGTTGCCCTGCCTCTCCAAGGTTTAGAAGACCTTGCAGGTGAGTTGGGGTGAGGAACACACTGCTGCCATTATTAGTGGCAAGCCAAAAAAAGAAGTGGGTTAGTGGTAGTCCCAAGAATCTAGGGTGACTCTGAAGTAATCTTGGGACTCGGAATATTATTACTCTATCCCTTTGTCCAGGCTACAGTAAAAACTGCTGTGGTTATTACACATTGATTGGGCAGTAACAATATGTGACTCTTTACATAGCATAATCCTAGAGATAAGAGTACTAATATAAAGTCGGCAAGTAGGTAGAAATTTATGCTCATAGATGTACGTATAGGTGGAGTTACACACATACTTTCACTGATACTCACTTATTTTCTTTATACCAGGCGCATACACACACACATATACCATATATACGAAATTAGAACATGTTCTGGTCTTCTTATGATGGCCTTGTACGAGAAAAATTTTGTTATTAATTCGTTCCTCTTTTTCTAGAAATATCTATGTCTTTTTACCAACTTAAAGGTAAAAGTTTACTTTTGTTACTCAGATCACCTTACAAGGTTGACGTGAGTATTAAATAACATATAGTATATGAAGGAGCCTAGCTATGTGCTTCTTTTATGGTAGGCCCTCGATTAATGTTAGTTTCCTTTGCCTATGATTAGCACATATACCGTCAGCAAACATTTTAAGTGCCATGTTCAGACTTGATTGATTTAAATCTGATTTTCTCATTTCAGCTGATCGCATGAACAGACTCCAGGCAGCTCTTGCCAGCACCCAGCAGTTTCAGCAAATGTTTGATGAGCTGAGAACCTGGTTGGATGACAAACAAAGCCAGCAAGCAAAAAACTGCCCAATTTCTGCAAAATTGGAGCGGCTACAGTCTCAGCTACAGGAGAATGAAGAGTTTCAGAAAAGCCTTAACCAACACAGTGGTTCCTATGAAGTGATTGTGACTGAAGGAGAGTCTTTGCTTCTTTCTGTACCTCCTGGAGAAGAGAAAAAAACTTTACAAAACCAGTTGGTTGAACTCAAAAACCATTGGGAAGAGCTTAGTAAAAAAACTGCAGACAGACAATCTAGGCTCAAGGACTGTATGCAGAAAGCTCAGAAATATCAGTGGCATGTGGAAGACCTTATGCCATGGATAGAAGATTGTAAGGCCAAGATGTCTGACTTGCGAGTCACTCTGGATCCAGTGCAGCTAGAGTCCAGTCTCCTGAGATCAAAGGCTATGCTGAGTGAGGTAGAAAAGCGCCGCTCCCTGCTAGAAATACTGAACAGTGCTGCTGACATTCTGATCAATTCTTCAGAAACGGATGAGGATGATATCCGGGACGAGAAGGCTGGAATCAACCAGAACATGGATTCCATTACAGAAGAGCTACAGGCCAAAACAGGGTCACTTGAAGAAATGACCCAGAGGCTCAAGGAGTTCCAGGAAAGCTTTAAGAATATTGAAAAGAAGGTTGAAGGGGCCAAACACCAACTTGAGATCTTTGATGCTCTAGGCTCTCAAGCCTGTAGCAACAAGAACCTAGAGAAGCTAAGAGCTCAGCAGGAAGTGCTGCAGACCCTGGAGCCTCAGGTAGACTATTTGAGGAACTTCACTCGGGGCCTGGTAGAAGATGCTCCAGATGGATCTGATGCTTCCCAGCTTCTACATCAAGCTGAGGTCACCCAGCAAGAGTTCCTAGAAGTGAAGCAAAGAGTGAACAGTAGTTGCATGACAATGGAAAACAAGCTGGAGGGGATTGGCCAGTTCCACTGCCGAGTCCGAGAAATGTTTTCTCAATTGGCAGACTTGGATGATGAGCTAGATGGCATGAGTGCTATCGGCAGAGACACTGACAGTCTCCAGTCCCAAATTGAGGATGTAAGGCAGTTCCTTAACAAAATTCAAGTCCTCAAGTTAGACATAGAGGCCTCTGAAGCAGAGTGCCGACAAATGCTGGAGGAAGACGGGACTCTGGACTTGTTAGGTCTCAAGAGGGAGCTAGAAGCCCTGAACAAACAGTGTGGCAAACTGACAGAGAGGAGTAAAGCTCGTCAGGAACAGCTAGAGCTGACGCTGGACCGTGTGGAGGACTTCTATAGGAAATTGAAAGTACTCAATGACATGACCACAGCAGCAGAGGAGGGAGAGGCCCTCCAGTGGGTAGTGGGGACTGAAGTGGATATCATCAACCAACAATTAGCAGACTTTAAAGTAAGTCTTGCCCTTGCTTTTAAATCTTTTTCCATCTAATGTGTATGTTTCTTTTCTTGTAACTTGGAAACCAATTGAGTATGCATCTTAACTTCTGTCCCTGGTTTCATTAGTCTCACTTCCACCACCATCAAAACACACTGGAGACTAAACAGTCTCTTGGACTTCTGAGCAACTGGTTTGAACATTTTGCTATTGTAATTTATTTCAGTGTTTATAACCAATTAAGGGTATAGAAAGAAATGTCCAAACCTTGTCTTTTACTCTAAGAATCCCTTCTTGTGATTTCTTGAGTTTCAAATTAACTGATTTTTGTAACAGCAGTGAATGTTTCTTCAGGTCCCTGTTTTTCAAATTGAGGTATGAGAAGCTGTAAGATAAACCTGGGCTCATCTTCCCAAAGTCTTGATTTTTTTTTTTGAGGAAGATTAGCCCTGATCTAACATCTGCTGCCAATCCACCTCTTTTTTTGCTGAGGAAGACTGGCCCTGAGCTAACATCCATGCCCATCTTCCTCTACTTTATATGTGGGATGCCTACCACAGTATGGCTTGCCAAGCGGTGCCATGTCCACATCTGGGGTCTGAACCAGTGAGTCCTGGGCCACCTAAGTGGAACATACGAACTTAACCGCGGCAGCCCCCAAAATCTTGATTTTTTTCACAGATTTCGAGGGAATATTATTGATGTCTTATCGATGTATTATGAAATAAAATGCAAAATTCTCATGAATTATTAAGATAAAACGTGACACTTCAAAGAAATTTGGGGGGCCGGCCCCGTGGCCGAGTGGTTAAGTTCGCACACTCTGCTTCAGCGGCCCAGGGTCTCGCCATTTCAGATCCTGGGTGTGGACATGGCACCGCTCATCAAGTCATGCTGAGGCGGTGTCCCACATGCCACATGTAGAAGGACCCACAACTAAAAATATGCAACTATGTACCGGGGGGCTTTGGGGAGAAAAAGGAAAAATAAAATCTGAAAAAAAAGAAATTTTGCACTTACAGCAAGTAGTGCTTAAGACTAACACCTCAGACTCCTCAAGAGTCCAAGTTTGCTACCTACAGGAGAGTGTGAGAAGTGCTACCTTAGTTGAAAATGTTTTAATCCTTTGCCTGAGTCAGAATTTCCAGTCCTGAGATTTTGTGTGTCTAAATTAAAACAACTGGGGAAGATGAGAGGAGTTGACTCAAAAGTGCAAATTTGCCAGGTCAGGGGCTTGGAACTCTTAGGACTGTCTGTTGGGTCTTGGCTCTCACTGCATGAGCCTTTCACCCTAAGAGTTCCCTTTTTTGTAAATACCTAGAAGTGCCTCACTCCACTGTGAAGGCCTCTCTGCTGCTGTGTCCTTCTTGGTGCATGGAGTAGATTTGGAAAGGATACTTCCAGCACTTTATTTCCATCACTAGTGTTCATTAGTCCCACTTACACAGTTCACAGTCCTGCCATTAGACTTAATTTGTTCTCTCAGGGCCCCTGCCTGTCAGGATTCTTTCTGTTAAAAACATAGATGGAGAGATGGTATTGTCACCAGGTCAGAGCCATCTGGTCCCGAGAAAGGTCACAGATTTGTAGACGAGATCCAGGTGCAGAAAGGTGGCTGTTTCAGAAGGGCCCCTCTAGCTTAGGGAATGTCCAGCATGAAAGTGAAACGTTGGCTGGACGCCCCTAACTGTGTTTGGAGATAGTGCAGTTTGGAACAACACAAGTCATCGTATTTCTTGAGGCACCCAAATAAGGAAAGTGTAGGTAGAGAAAATTCACACCCATGAGCTCACGTGTGTTGCTCTTAGGAACTGCCACACCTCTATTCCAGTGGCGGAGTGGCCTTCCCTGCTTCACTGTGTACACTTTTCTTTCCTCTTCCATTGTAAGTCCTCGAAAGCAGAGCCTCTCTTCTACAGGCACGCTTTGTTTATCCAACTTACTTGGATCCAGGTTACTTAGAATTAACTGTCTAACTAACTAAATGAATTTCTTAGTAAACTGAAGCTTATCCTTTTATGCTCCAAAATAGTTTTATCAAACTAGATTCTGGTTTATATGGGAATTATTTTAAATTTTGTTTGCCTAATTTTCCAAATACTATATTGTGCATGATTTATTTTGTGTGTGTGTGTGAGTGCAGGTTAGCATTACTGAAAAGATTATACTATTTTCTACTATGGTGATATCCTCAAGGAAATTAGAGACATTTGGGGCTGCTTTGTTTAGATGTTCCTAAATGACTGTGCAGTTTGAATTCTGTATTGAAGCTCTTGTTTTGGGCCTCTACGTTGTCGTACTGATTGGATTGGAGGTTTGTATATATAGGGTGGAGGTCTAGTTTCTTTTTTTTCCCTGTTACCCTGATATCAGGTATTATTTCTTACTGCTATTACTTGTCACTGCTGTGACTAGGTCTGCCTTTAGCAGTCTATCTTTTCCTTCTAATCTTCAGTGAGCTAGAAAATGAAGTAAACAGACCTGTTAAAATTGCATTACATATGAACTAGAATATAAAAAAGAGTTCACAAGCAGGCATATATAGTGTTTGGATTTGAGGACAAGTAATCATTTACTTTTCACTTGATCCTTGGTTTCTAGAGATATTCTGAATTTTGATGTTTCTGGAAGATTTTAAGAAATGATTGGACATTACCATGTTTTATTTGTATCCTAGTAGCATTCAGAGTTCAGTAGCTGCTTGGTTGCTTGTGGTAGTAGACTTGTTTCACTGATTTCTAAGAATAAGCCTCCTACCAGCAATGGGAGGTAAAGGCTGGGACGAGACACTGATCAGCTGGTCACCTGCAGAGTGTGTTTATCTGCAGGGGCCTGGTGTTGACAAGGCAAGATTAGAAGAGTGAGAGAGGGAGGGTGGTGAAGTTGTGTGCCCTGTGTGTATTCTCTTCAAGTTGGGGGTGCAGATCAGAAGTCTGGTTCTGTAGGTCCATCTTATAAAGTCAAAGGCTTTGGGAAGAATTTTTGCCTCCCCTCAGCAAAGGTCTTTGGTCAGAAGGGGAAGAGCATACTCCTAGCTTAGCTCATGCTGAGCTCATGGGAAGTGAAAACAATAAGAGGGGAAAAGCTCTGTGGACAGTTCCACAGTCCCCTTGAGGCTGAGTAAGAGAAAGGTCTTTTGGGACCCATTCTGAGGACTGAGTCATTTTCATGTTTTGAGTGTTGAGTTCCTGGGTTAATGTGTTCTATAATCCAGCAGTAGATTAATCTTCCCTCTCACCAGCAGCAGACCAGATTTGTAAAATGTGAGTCTGCTTTCAGATTCAAATTGTTTTTAATAAGGAAAAAACAGAGTTGAAAATAAATATTAAGAAACAGCATTAGGGTTAACTTTTCAGCTCTTTTCTTTTCATAATGAGATCACGCTCTCAGCACAGAATCCGGTGAAGAGAAGAGGATATGAATCTGTGAGACAGGAATGTGGTTCTGCTTTGACCTAGCTAAAACTCTGCTGGGTATGGTCAGAATAAACAGATGAGTCAAATCTGTGGAGAAGCCCAGGCGGACTTGGGACAGTGCAGTAGTGCTGATAAATGCGTGGAAAAGCATTTAGCCTGTGGGAAGAATTGTTTCCTCCTTAAATAAATGTGAAAAACTGAAAGTCATCATTCCTAGAAGAGGCTTTTCCCTCGATTACTTCTGAATAATTGATAGAATCTGGTCAGCCAGTGAGGATCTATCAGATGGGAATGGAAGAGAGTCCTTTCTCACTCTAACAGGCAAAGACCTCAAACCTTCCTGAGTTAGGTGCTTTACTGGGTTCAGCTCTCTGTTGGAAGCAGAAAAGAAGAAGCCATTCCTGAAATCACAAATGAGAATATTGAGCATGTTTTCAGAAAATTGGAAGGAAAAGACTTTGGCTAATCTGTTCAGGAAATTCCGTTTTCCTGAACAAGAGAGTCTCTGATTATTGAGGAAAAGGAATTGAATGTACATAACAGGAGACAAACAAGAAAGGAGGGACCTTTATTTCACTGAAACTTAAGCCAAAGAATTGCCCCAGGGTGACTTTCCTGGGAAGGGTAGAAAATGACTGGAAATTTAGAGAAGAAATCTATTAAGTCTCATAATAACAAGAGGCTTTCCTCATTTTGAAATTCCCTATGTGGGTTTTGTAGTCAAGGATTGAGGTCTTTCTGAGTCTTAAACCGGCCTCTCCTTTGCACCCCCCTCATGAACCACGCTGGCCTCTCAGTCAGGAAGCTTGTGGTGGTTTTGGCATCATACTGGTGGGCAGTAACAAGAAACCTGGATGCACCTCTTGCATTCCGTATTTCGTATATATTTATATTTACTAGGTGTTCAGGCTAGGCTTCAGACTTGGCACTCTACTCAGTGATGAGGTAGAAAGAACAAGTGGGGAAAATGGAAACCTTTTTATAGTAAGTAGGTTTCACAAAGGTTCACCTCATCTAATGGTACACTTGAAGTATGCAAGCCAGTGGGTCTTTTCCTTCTTTGTGTTTGAGGCTGGGCTGGTGGGATATAGGTGAGTCAGCAGGCTTCCTTAGCACTGTTCTCAGTCCTCATGCAGGTTGAGTAGAGCCCAGGGTCAGGGGCTGCATACACTTGCAGCTTCTGTCTAGACGCCTCAGTATCCTACTATGAATATGAAGCCAGAACAAGAAAGCCCTGTAAACCTCTTCTTTTGATTTTCTCCCTCATGGTAAGCAAGCTTAGGCTTCCCTATGGCACTTGTGAAAACTCTTGGAAGACAGGGCCTGACATGAAGCTGAGAGACCGCAAATTTGCACATAGATACTTACTCCTTCCTTTCAAATAATTACAAAGACAGTGTCAGCCCATCTACAGTTTTGCCAGTTAGAGTCACTAGAGAATAAAACAAATGAGGTCAGCATTATCTATCTGCCCTTGGAGAGAAAGGAAATCACACTTGATATGACCTGTCTGTCACCTGGAGGATTAGGTATCTCCAGCTTTACAGCAGCCAAGATAAGTTGAGTAGGCACCCCCACCCCCAGCCCCACTTTGTGCTG